GAAGATGATGAAATAACAGAATGCTGTGAAAACGAAGACTGCAGAGCTAAGAAAGTGAACTGTGAAGAGACAGTCAGCCTGGCTGGATTAGAAACAACGCGAAATAGATTGACCTGCTGAAAGGTGAACTGCAGATACTCACAGGAGGGCAAGCCTCTCGGGTACAGGGCAGAAAGTTCTTGAAGAGGGTAGTTACATCATTTTTGTATCACTCTTAAAGCCCAGTGGAATATGTATCAGCATGGACACAGAAATTGCTACCTTAGGAGAAGAGAAATAAATCTGCATGGCTGGGTTCCACCCGGCACCATGAGCACACCTGATGACATGGCTCTGGCAGAATTCTTTCTTCCTCTTGGCAGAATCACCCACAGAGCCAGACTGTAATGATCCTTAAGTTCACAGCCCAAGACGCCGTAGGTTGAGCTTCGCTCCGTGGTTTATTCCACTCTCTTCAGGTTGCAAAGGGGCGGCTTCCTTTTAGGAACAGAAATAGTTTTTAGGGCACAGCTTTTGTTTGAAATCTGCAGTAGCGCTTGAGGGCACGATCATAAACGAGCTGTTTGTCTTTAAGCAACGCCGCCGCCGCCCTCTGCTCTGGATTGCAGCTTGCAGCTTTGCTTTGCCTTTGTTGAGCAGGAAGTGTGATAGCTGAAGGCCGAGGGTGAAGTTCGTATGCTCTATCGTCTTGATGAAGCAGGGCACGATTATGCATAGATGATACAGAAATGACATCCTACGTACACTTTCATTGCAGTCACCAAAGAAATAAAAGGAAAATGTAAACTGGGAGCTCTTGGTAAAGAGCACTGGCCGGGGAGTCGGGAGGGTTAGGGCTGGAGCTGAGAAGGAGACCCGGGCAGCACTGGCTCTGGGGACGGTGAACACCTCTGAGTCCTCGGAGTCCCGTCCCTCGTGTGTTACAGGCTTTGGGCAGGATGACCGCCCAGGGCTCTTCCCACACTCCCATTCCGCCTGCTGTGCATCTCACTGAGGGTGAACTCCCTGCCAGTGGCTTTATTTAGGCTTCGTAAAAGTCATCGTTGCTTTCACGTTCATACTTCCAAATTAACACTACAAATACTTGTCAAGCACTACATGTCCTACACATATTGCCCGATTTAGTCCTTACAATTCTTCTCCGGGGGGAGGTATCATGACACAAAATTTACACAGGAGGAAACTCAGCTTCGGGGGAGGTTGGCGATACCACGCAGGAAGCGGTGGGATGGGAACTTCAACCCGACTGACTCAGCCGCCATGCTCCTGACCTGGGTATTACACTAGGTACGCCTGTACCTTATATGAAAAGACTACTATTAACAGTTTTTTTACATTGTCACAATTTTAGAGTCTTGACTAGAAGAAGGTGACTGAAAACAGACCTTATTAGAAACCCAACACTTCAGAGATGCGCTCTTGCCCCGAGCTGTGGAGGCGGTATACCCACAGCTGGGTGTGGCTACTTGCACTTGGCAGGTTTTTTGTTTTTGCTGAGAAAGATTCACCCTGAGCTAACATCCACTGCCAATTCTCCTCTTTTTGCTTGAGGAAGATTGTCCCTGCACTAACATCTGTGCCAATCTTCCTCTATCTTGTACGTGGGATGCCGCCACAGCCTGGCCAATGAGTAGAGTAGGTCCACACCTGGGATGGAAATTGCAAATCTGGGCCTCCGAAGTGGAGGGTGGAACTTTAACCACTGGGCCACCGGGCCGGCTCCCATGGGAGCCCCGGGCCTGCGATTAGGAACACTGTTCCGAGTAAGATCGTGCACATGCTGCTTTACAGTGTAGGTAGTGTCTCAGCATCTTCTCCTTGGACCAGCACTTCTCAAAGTCTGGTTCACAGGCCCCTGGAGTCTTGAGATCCTTGCATGGGGTCTGCAAGGTGGAGACTATTTTCACAATAATACTAAAACGCTATTTGCTTTTTTCACTGCACTGATAATTGATTTGAACTGAGGTGCAGGAGCAACGGTGAGCAGAACTGCTGGGATCTAAGCACAATCAGGCCAGTGGTCCCACACTGCTGGTAGTAAGGATAGTCTTCATCGCCAAGCACTGAAGAACAGAGCAGTAAAAATGACTGCTTTTACTAAATCTTGAACCCTAAGTAGTGTGACACAAAACGAGAAGGACCCATAAGGCACTCCCATCCTGAAGTACAATGTTTGTCTCAAAGAAAAGCACTTGTGCAGTTGAGTTCTGGGCTGAACTGGCTGCTGTCCTCATGGCACACCGTTTTTATTTGAAAGAACAACTGACAAACTATGGTTCTTTGGCACATGTGTTCTGGAAATTAACAAAGAGAGCTTGTCACTTAAAAGAAAAGAGTATTTATTGCCAATAATAAAATTTTAGGTCTTAAGCAAAAAGTCTAATTTTGGAAAACTTGTATTCACCACTGTGAGTCTGACTTAGAATGTCCTGAGATCTCTGGTGATATTTTTTTCTTTTGCTGAGGAAGATTCGCCCTGAGCTAACATCTGTGCCAATCTTCCTCTATTTTGTATGTGGGTCACTGCCACAGCATGGCTGATGAGTGGAGCCGGTCCCTGCCCAGGATCTGACCCTGTGAACCTGGGCTACCGAAGTGGAGCATGCTGAACTTAACCACTATGCCACAGGGCCAGCCCCTGCTGATGATATTTTGATATTATATACGATGTGATTTTTCTTGATATTTTATATAATGAAATACATCAACACTTGGTAGATCTACACTCATTACAGTAGTAGCAGTATTTCCTAAATGACCAATGCAGGTTATAAAATGAGTGTGGGAGAAAGATATACTCAAAGTGCAAGATAAACCAATGGATTTTAAGGTAATAGAGTAGGAGAAGTTTATTGATGTAGTTTCAGATGTCATATAGTAACCAATCTTTAAGAAACTTAAACTATTATCTTTAAGAAATAATGATCTGAGGGGCCGGCCCAGTGGCACAGTGGTTAAGTTCGCACATTTTGCTTCTTGGTAGCCTGGAGTTTGCCGGTTCGGATCCTGGGTGTGGACATGGCACTGCTTGGCAAGCCGTGCTGTGGTAGGAGTCCTACATATAAAAGTAGAGGAAGATGGGCATGGATGATTGATAGCTCAGAGCCAGGCTTCCTCAGCAAAAAGAGGAGGATTGACAGTAGTTAGCTCAGGGCTAATCTTCCTCAAAAAAAAAGAAAGAATGATCTGAATAGGCTATTAAAATATTTCCGCCTTTTCCAACCACATACCTGTATGAGGCTGGATTTTCCTTGTATGCTTCAACCCAGACGAAGTATCGCAAAAGACTGAATGTAGGAGCAGACATGACAATCCACCTGTGTTCAATTAAGCCAGACATTAAAGAGATTTGCCAGACTGTAAAACAATATCACTCTCTAAATTTTTTCTGGTTTGCAAATTTTTTTCCTAGAAATATGTAATTGATGTTAATATATCATGGTTTTATCATTATTTTTAAATGAACTAATATATATATTTTAAATCTCAGTTTTGATTTCTAAGACAATGACTACTGGTAGATGCACACCACATGAACAAGAGTGGTGTGGGGTCCTTGATAGTTTTAAGGATCAGAAGGGGCCAAGACCAAAAAGCTGCAGCAGTGCTGTCAGGCCTCTCGCATGCTCGCAGGCAGCTCCTGGCAAGGGAGACGTGAGGCACGGAGCGCGCTGAAACAAGGGCCGCAGCCTGTCTCTGAATTCCTATTCCAGGGCTCTCCAAATACCACGGTACCGCTGAGTGTGTGCGCTTGGCTTGGGGCCATTCCTAGCAAAAGTCAAAAGGAACAATAAACGAAAAAGAGCTTTGCAATGGGTGGGGGTAAATGAGGCTATTGATATAAAGCAAAAAGACTAAGCCAACGCTGGACCAATCCCATGGGACCGCTTCCTCTTTGATGCTTCAGATGGGCCAAAACGAGCAGTGAAGAGGAAATCCTGTTGGAGAAGCAAATGGCAGAAAAGGGACTTTGAAAATCATTTGCATGTTTGTCCTTTAAACCCTGAAAGAATTTCTGCAGTTGAGAATTCTGCAGCGCACTTCCTTGACTGCCCCTCATCTCCAGGTCACTGGAACTGAGTAGTACTGCATTAAAGAAATGGGAAGCGCCCTAGGGTTTCTCTCTTGCCACTGACATTTTATTTTTGAAGAAACAGCTACCGTCTTAGAAGTTCTTGGCATTCCTCTATCTTCTGCCTCTACAGTGGAGTTGCACTGAGGTGAAATTCGTAATAAACACAATCTTCCAATTTGGGGCTCTGCTGTTCAAGCTTAAAATGGACTGGGATTTTTGTTAGCATCTTTAGAAAGAGGGAAAGTCAACTTACTAAAGCAACCTAAATAAACTTAAAAAGTGTTTTCTATGTTCTTCTTTACCAGGAAGGCAATTTTAAAACCAAATAAGCTAGTAACAATAAAAACGGATTTATGAGTTCTGTCACTCTCAGATCAAAGACTGAAATGGGAAGACAGTGGGTGCTGTACTTCCAGACAAGGGGCGGGACACCAGAATAGTCCTGATGTGAATACGGGAGGGGTAGGAGAGAGAGAGAGAGGTGACTTACTGTGCGTACTTTTCACAATACGATGGATAGAAAATAAGGCTCGGGAAAAAAGAGCCGAAACCACGCCATGAGGTCTTTCCCATGAGTCTGTTGAGGGCCGTGTCTCCGAGAAGTCATCCGCCTCTCGCTGTGGCCGTCCGCACATTCTCGCCAGCCTCTGGAATCCAGCATAACTGGGAAGCTCAGAATGCACAAAGCCTGGTTTTTACAGATGGCCCAACAGCCAACATCTCTGCAAGCAGAGAACGTAGGCAGGCGCTTCTGAAAGCTACAGTCACAGCTAGAAAAGAACTACACAAAGTCTGGGGAATTACTAGATCTCAGTTTAGTTTTGTTTTTCCTTCCCTGAAGAACTGGCTTAAAAACAACTTTTTTGGGGGGAGTGGTAAATAGTAGGTATTTATTTGAAATGAAAAAAAAAAGTACCTGGACTAGTGCATTTAATCATGTATTGTAATTGTGTTACTCTACCTTTTTGCATCAGAGACAGATATACAATGAACATTCAGTTATCACAGATTGCACACTAGATAGTAATTCTTCAGGCCTTTTACATAACCACCAAAGAACAGATATTAGATTCTGCAATATAGTACAAAAGTCCACAATCAGTCCAGTCTTAGCCAGTATCTTCAATTTACTTCTGTTGCTGTACAAATAATTGGCCATTACTAGGGCTTACAAGTTAATAACAGGACAAAAAAATATACATTGCACTGACACAAAAAGTCAGCTGTGTTAATAGTCATGCAACAAGTAACCAAACTTGCTGAAATTAAAAATACTTTCTAAAAACAGTTTTAACGGCATAAATATTTTATACACAGTTCATTTACCAAAACAAAATGTATTTAAATGATACAAAGCAAAAATAAGTTTCTACCAACTTTATACATAAGAAAGTGCAAAATAACTTATCTAGAGGGTTTTGCTATTGTCCAGATGGATGGGCTGCTACAGGCAGCTATTCTCTGCGGAGGCATGACATGACAGCTGCACACGACACATGAATGTTAGGACACATGGATGAATGAAGGGATGGAGGGAGGGAGGGATGGATGGATGGATGAACAAACGAACTACAAAGATCAGGCGGGAGCCCTGGGAGGTACTCTCAGAGAAAGAATAGAGACCACAGAAAGGTGGATGTACATGCTAAGATATGTCAGTAAACAAATACCCATGGAACACGGAAAGACATCCAGAGGAACAATTAGTTTATGTATGTGAGTGCACTTGTATGTGTGAGTGATTCGTGATTTCTGCATTAGAAGCAAAAAGAAAAGAAACCCCACTGAACAAAACAGTTGCCCACAGCACCAGCTGCCAGAGGAAATACTATCATGAGGGTTTTGGTTTCCACCTTCTAGTTATGGAAGTTGTGTCGGAAAGTTTAAAAGTGTTCATCCCATATAACTTCATATTACATAGAGGAATAACCTTTAACTACATACACACATTCATATATTCAAGTCTTTAAAGAACACCTCTGCCACTGGGTTTGGGGTGAACATGGTTCATGGACAAGAGGAGGATGCTTCTTTAAAAAAGTGTAGAATAACACTGCTACAACTCATCAATAGGGCCGGACGGGGGCAGAGCCCGTGGTTATGGGACAGCACAATTCCTGCAGCTGGTGAACATCCAGCATTATTTATCAGACTGAAGGAAGATGGGTGGGGCGGGGGGGCGGGGGGAGCGTGGGGAGGAGTGAGACACAGAAAGGAAAACAGAACACAACTTTTCTTCAAGTTAAAGTATTAATGCCAATAATCCTTTTATTAACAAGTATATTTGAACTTTTAGAAATGGAAGTGTTTTAATCAATTTTGATAGGTAATCATAAATAGACTGTAGGCTCACACCTAGGTAAATAAAGGTGTCAATTTAGTAAGCATAAGGCACTAAAAGCAGCCTTTATATTTTCTCTTGGAGACCTAGTTATCAGGAAGAACCAATCTGTTCTTAAGCTGGTTTCAGCCCATTAGGTACAAGGTTACTATTGTACCAATGCCTATTTTTGAACGCATGTGCATATATGTGCATTTTAGTGCATAAGTGTGCCTGTCACCAGGGCCTAAAGATGAAGAGTCGGGAAAGCCGAAGCCACTGTCCTTTGTGAGATGCCTCCACGATGGCATGAAGGCCTGTCCTTCCTTTCTTGGGCCATAAATGATTCTACATTTTTCAAATCACAGGGCTTTTAGAATTGTTCATAATATTATCACTAAATATCTGAAAATGTTAAAATCTAGATTAATCGTTTCATTTGTTTTATATATATATTTATATATGTACACAACACACATTTAAAAAAATCCCACCACCAAAGCCTTTTTTTCTGTAAACTAAACTTATCTCTTAGCCCCCACCAGCTTTAGTCTCCCTGGATTTGTGTGTTCTGTATCCAACTAGTAGAACAAATTAAATAACTAAATATTAAAATACTGTAATTATATTCATAGCAAAAACAAAAAAATAGACATTGATACAGTATAAATCTCACTGTTTTCAGGTAGATGGCATTAAATGGTAAAGGTTAATTATAAGCAGTTCTGACATGATCCAGTTTTACAACAAGGTTTATATGTTAATTCTGTACAATTTTTTCCTTTTTTCCCCTTTTTTGAAAATAAGCTACGGTAGAACATTAGTGTCACCAAGGACACATGCTTACTCTGTTCTATGCAAGAGAAGCTAATTTGGGTTACATGCAAATACATTCCCATTAGTTGAGGCAGGGCTGGTTCCTGCATTGCATCCATCACCTGACCACCGCTGTCAATGCTAAGAAGGTGAGCTACGACCAAACGGCAGTCCACACAGACGTTTACAGGGGCCTCACGACAGAGGAACAACACTGAGGTGGTGTGTAGCCAGGTGCAAGACGCCCAAACATTTCCAGGGCATCTTACAGCCCGACTCTTATTCTCCCACACTGTTTCCTAAAGAAGGTCCATGTTATTTTGGTTACTAGCCTAGTTTAAGTGGAGATACTGTGGGCAACTTGAAAGAAAGGACATCGGGCACACAGGCTGGCTTTGAAAGGGGGTAAAAAAAAGACCACAGATAATGTCTTTGAGGATTTAAAAAAACATATTTATAATTAATTGGTGAGAGACGTCAGACAAACCATAAGTCGTTCATTGAGTTAGTCGTTTAGTTTGAAGTCTCATGTTACAGGCAGTTAAGTCCTTATTTAGAAAAAAGGCCTTTATACCTATTTACAATATACACAGTTACTTGCAAAGAAGATAGATTTACAACCATTTTCTAAAAGCCTTTTTTTGTTGTTGTTGTTTTTTCCAAATAAGGATGAGTAGCTCTACAAAAATGCGACATGAGAAAAGACAGTCAACAGTGAGGATTTTCTCTTGGAGACAGCTGTTGTGAACAGGGAGAACCGGATATTGAAAATGTTGCTCCTAGGAACCACCTCATAGTCTTCTTGTGCTGTTCACCTGAATAGCGTCCGCCCCATTACCGCACTCTACACCCGTTTATTCAATGATCCCTTTGAATTCAATACTTCAGACACATGGTATGAAGAGATGTGTAAACGGAGACTGTTTCGATGCCTTCCGAGGTGCGAGCTGTGACGGGGAATCAGGAAGGGGGTCTACAGACCGTGGTCTCCAATCGACTTGCTGCATCTTCAACAATTTCGAGGCCCATCTTCTGAACCCCTCTCGTGCTGTAAGTTGTAATAACAGTTCTGACAAACACGCACTGGGGATGAGATTTTCAAGCGTTTGATTTCTGATTGAAATCGACTGCACCTAAAGGAAAGGCAAAATCAAGTAGTTAAAGGTCATCTCCACGTCTGACCATTGGGCTGAGAAACACTAATTTACAAATCGAATGGAAAGGCTGCAGTACACTGCCCGAGACCGTATCATGCCAAAGAATGCCAAAGACCTTTTGTGTCATGGTTTGTGTCATGTGGTTGACCCAAGACCACAAGGAATGCTATATTATTTGTTTCAGGCTACAAAGAAATGTAATATTAAACCAACGCAAGCTCTTTTTTGACTGAATTAAAAAAAAAAAAAAAAAGTTGAGCTAGCCATGATGGCCTAGTGTTAAAGTTCTGTGTACTCCACTTCAGTGGCCTGAGTTCAGTTCCCGGGCCTGGAACCACACACTCGTCTGTCAGTAGCCATGCCGTGGCAGTGGCTCACATAGAAGAACCAGAAGAATTTACAACTGTACCCAACTGTGTCCTGGGGCTTGGGTTGGTGGGGGGAGAGGAAGGAAACAAAAAAGTTAAGATTCTCCTATAGGATGAAGCCAGGGGTCTGAACAGCCGTGAGGTCACTGTCCCTGTGCAGGACTGGTTCTCATGCCCTAGAAACCTGGGAGGTATGCCAGTGTCTTTACTTGAGCTTCACTTTCTTCTCTTGGCAGGAGAAGACTTACGACCCATTTTAAAAGACACTTGGTTACTATCAAGTCCTTTGGGCTTTTAAACACCTCGTTTGATCCACTCCTCAGTCATTTCTTAAATGGGCAGCTTGGTTTTTCTCTCTGGTCCAAATGTTCTCGTTTTCTGTTTATCTTGATAGAATTCCTTGAAGGAGACTATACTTAAGAGATGTTCAAATTCCTTACGAGGTATTCCTATTCCTGGAGTAAAGCAGGGCATGATCTTACATGTGGCATTTAATCACTTTAAGTTTGGCTTTCCACAAGACTGAAACAGAGAATTCTATTTCCTCCATTAATCTAACAGTAAAAGCGTCCGGAGAATAAATGAAGTACTACCAGAGTAAGGGGTTAAAGGCCTGTTCTTGGACTTTGAAGAGATGCTCAGGAGTGCTGACAAGCACTCAGCAACTGAAGGGCACGCAGAGCGCGGGCAGGCCTCTGCCCTCCTGGACAGCTCTTCCTTCTGTGTCTGCTCTATCATAATCAATCAGTGTTTGGTTGGCTTTCGAAACAGAGCCTCCAGCCAACATTTGATAGCAATGGATAATTTAAACAAATTTAAACAATATTTGGAAAATTAAGCACTACAAAGAACAGATGTGTAGCAGCATACATACAAGGGTGTCGACTCTCAGAAATTACTAGAGTACTAGGTTTCATGGAGTGGGCTTCTCAAAGCAAAGAAACTCTTCTGGCAACCTCACAGAAATTCCCATTGGGAACAGCTGATAGCGACATCCTGGCTACCTCATCTCAAATCAGCCTTTCCAGGAAAAAAAGTTTAAGACATTAATCTGGAAAAAAATTTGTAATAATACCACCTTTTAATGAACACCTATATTGCCAGATGCTGCATTTTGTGCTATCTACAAAACTCATATACATGATTTCATTTAATTCTCTCACCACCTCTATGAGGAGAGGTCTAATTATCTACACTTTACAAATGAAGAAACTGAACCTCAGAGAGAGCCAGTAACTTGCCTGGGGTGACACAATGGGCAGTAACCCAGTGAGCATCTGGTCAGCGTGAACCCAAAGACCACACCCTTTCCAATAAGTCAGTGCCCTCAAAAGCTCAGTAACTGGCCCCAAAACAATGATACAATTTGCGTTTTCTGTGAGATCATCTCTATGGTAAGGCAACATAAGCATTAGAGAGTGCTGCCCACGGGATCCTTCCTGTGTCTGCTGTGGAGAGTGACGGCTGTCCACGCATGTATGGGACCCCAGTGTGTGACAGAGATGGCGCCCAAATCAATGGTGATGGGACAAGTGATTTTTCATACAGGAGAAATAAAAAAGAACCTCATCCCATGTTAAACCCCTACATAAATTCAAAATGGATTTGGACCTAAAGACCTAAACAGGAAAAACAAAACTTTGAAACTTAAAAAAAAAAAATAAACAAGCCTATTTTTATGATCTCAGGACAGGGAAAGATTTCTGAACAAACCAAAAGCAAAAATCATAAAAAGTAATAAATGTAACTACATCAAAATTAAAAACTTGTTTGATGGAAGAAACATATATAAAGTCAAAACACGAGCCACAGAAACTATCTGTAAGATGTATAAAGCCAAAGGATTAGCACCCAGAGTACAAGAAGGCCGCATCAAGGAGGGGAGAGAAAAGACAAGCCAACCCCAAAGGAAAATGGGCCAGATTACCCAAGAGGACACTCAGATGGCCAATAAGCATATGAAAAGATGTTCAAGCTCACTAGCACTGCAAGCGAAAACAACAAAGCACTACTGGCTATCAGCTTGGCAAAGAGAAAGGCTTGGCGACTGCAAGTGTGAACAAGAATTTGGAGAACTCGCCTCTCCTGCGGAGGTAAATTAGCACTACTGTTTGGAGAGCATTTGGCAATACCTAGGTAAGCTCAAAGGGCATGTCTCCCACCTACCCCTCCCCTTCTTCTTCTTCTTTTTTTTCTTCAAATATTTTATTTACTTTTTTCCTTTTTCTCCCCAAAGCCTCCTGGTACATAGTTGTATATTCTTAGTTGTGGGTCCTTCTAGTTGTGGCATGTGGGACGCTGCCTCAGCGTGGTTTGATGAGCAGTGCCATGTCCGCGCCCAGGATTCGAACCAACGAAACACTGGGCCGCCTGCAGCGCAGCGTGCAAACTTAACCACTCAGCCACGGGGCCAGCCCCCTACCCATGGCCTTCTGAGGTACCTCCTCAGAGGCGCTCCAGCTCGTCTGTTAGGAGGGCAACTGTAAGGGTGTGTACTGGAGCAGTGGTTACAGTACTGATAAAATGAAAAAAATCCCTTGAGTCCATCAAAAGGGAAGTAGATAAATTCTGATATATTCATACAAAAGATATGTGGCGATAGTCAAAGTTAAAATATTAGAATAATAGTTATTTAAGTAAATGGATTTCAAAAACGATGTTGAGTGAAAAAAAGTAAGTTACAGAAGGTCCTGACAGTATGCTCTATTTATATAAAACTGAAAACACACAAAACAATAACATAGTATTGTTTATGGACATGACGCGTGCACTCCAAGTATAATGACGTGGAGAGGCAGGCGGCATGATTGGTGAGGACTTAAAAGTAATCCAGAACGTCTTATATTCAAGTGTAATGAAACATCAGCACCTTCCCATTCTGAGTCTTGGGGGACCAGGTGATTGTGATGATTACTTCTGTATTTTTCAATACGATAGAAATAATTCACAATTGTAATAAAAAAGAACCAAGAGAAAGCGAGGACTGCATTAGACTGACACAGCAGACTGTAGTGGGGACCCCGGGGAAAACCAGAACCTGTGCTCAGGAGGCATAATTAACATCCTTAGAGCTTAACCCACAGACACTCAGAAAGCGTGGATGTCATCTTACTTCTGGCAGAAGAGCTGACCGCAGTTCCTGCAATGGTGCCGTCTTTCTGTGAGAGAAAACCTCACCGAGCAGCCTGAACAGCTGTCGCCTCCTTCATCCTTCACCCAGTGGTCAGCAGCAGAATGGCCTGGCTGGTCACTCACAGACCAGCTGAAAACTCGGCCTCGACTGTCACCAACGAGGATCCTACTGTGATCCCTGCAGGAGACACAACAGGAAGCCGCCTCAGGGCAGGCCTCCACGAGGCCCCACGCGGAGGCGCTCTCTGGGACTCCGGAGCCTCCCCAGTCTTCAGGGGGGTGTGTGTTGGGGTGGCGGTTGTGTGTATAAAGAGACAAAAGTAGAACGAGCCCAAATTTATACTTCCATCTCAACTGCCTTTGGAGCAAACCTTGCCACATGTTTGAAGAACAGAGAAGGCAAAGTTTTTTGTTTTTTTAAAATTTGGAATGAAAATCTACCCACTGGCAGCTTTCTCCTTCTGCTTTGTCTGTTCGAGCCACATATGACAATGCAAATGGGGTCTGTTTTCCCTGAAGTCTGGCCTGGAGTGTGGGCCTAGGCTAAGCAGACGGCTCTGCTGGCAAGAGGAGCTAGAAAAGGTCCAACACTTACTTGGAGACACCCAGGGCGGTGATCTCTGCTGGGTGTGCGTTGTCCCTCCGATCGAAGGCTGTGTGCATAGTTAGCTTACTCCTGAACACCAGCTGCCGTTCCCACCGGTACCCTGGAGTGGGAAGGTCAAGACATGACAGACTAAAGTGAGGGAGGCCAACATTTGGTAGGTGTTCCTTGACACAGTGCTCTCAAAAGTCCGGGTTCCACAACACACAGTTACAGCAGCTTTTCTGGTTCTCAGCAGCTGCTGCCTTGGTTGAAGGGGAAGCCATCTAGCTGAAGCCTCATCATGGGCCAGGTCGAAGAACGCCTCATTCACAAAGGCGAACACAGAGAAGGGGAAATCTTCAATGCAAGAAGATACATTTTCTCCTGCTGAGGACCTCGCCTCCAAATCTATCACAGGCAAAGCTACCTGTGAGTGCATTTTCATTCATGTATCTGTAATCACTAACTTGCTTTCATGATTGATGAATGAAGGAAGCTTTTGGTTTCTTTAAGAAAGGCCCCACACATTGCAATCCTCAGTGTGGGACAGAACCTCTAAGTCTACTTTACACAAAAAGAAAGGTAAGAGGCCTTCTCTGTGTGGCCCGGGTCACAGGGATGGGGTGCAGGGAGAGCCAGAGCCCACAACCCCCACACCACCCACAGGAGCGAGGCACAGACCCCGGACTTCAAGTTACCAGGCTTCAATCTGCTGTAATGCCGTACTTCCATGGGGTTGGGGTGGGGGTGGTTAAGGGGAGCCTGCAGATGGGCCCTGGTCTGGCCCTCTGAATAGTTCACAAATATGAAGCCATCTTTCTCATCTAGACTGAGCTGGTCGGACCAGCGCCTGGAGTCATCGGAGCCACTGTCGTTACACCAGGTGGCTGTTGCTCGGCAGGAAGCTGCCCGGGGCCTGTGGCTGGTGCTGCTGGGCTGACTGGGCGTGTCCTTGGGGTCCTGGCTGAGGCTCTGCTCATCCGCTTCTGAATCACTGCTGTCCTCGTCCTGAGCTTCCTGCCCTGGGTAACGCATTGGGAGAATGAGAAAACGCACACATATTATGTTAGACCCAGCTTTGTCCCACTGGAACTTTTCCTCTACCAGTTAAGACACAATCAACATAGTATTTTAAGCTAAGTATAACAATAAAAGAAAAAAATTACCAGAATTTTTGGCTGGATTACATATAGCAAAAAAAGGTTAGAATTTCTGAGTTCATAGATTGCTTTGGCCAAAATCCTAGCTTGGCATTCCTTCTTTCACAATCTGGCCAAATCTGCCTTTGCGAATTTCTCACTACCTGCCTCATACTCCCTACCCTCAGTTTGGCTAGACGGTGCCAGCTCTGTTCTCCACGCAGCTCTGCTCCGCCTTATGGCTCTTTCGGCACATCCCTTTGGCCCTACCTAGACCCATCTTCCCAATCTCTGTGTGTGCCGACGTTACCTGTCTTTCAAGACACAGCTTAAATACTTCTTTCTCTAAAATCTTACCCAGTTCCTGTAGCAGAAAGTAGTTCTCTCTCTTCTGGAACGCTGGTATGCCTCTCGTGTATTTGAAATTCTCACCCGGACCTATTAGCTGTGGATATTCTTTCTACAAGACAGTAGTCAGCTTGAGAGAAGGGGCCCCAAGCTCAGTGCCTTCCATATAGCAGTCAATATAAATGACCACATAGATGAATCAATTACTGATGAAAGCTGTAATTTAGGATTTCGGTTATTTATCCTCTTTCCATTGTTATTTTGCCTTTCTGCACCTCGACTCTCTACTCCCTTGCAATAAAGTCTACTGAAGGGAAAATTTATGAGAAATAAATATATATAATTGGGAAAACAAGTGTGCAAGTACCAGCCCACTGCACACACATATTGTTTTAGTAAGACAAATAATTTTCCTCCCTTCTACTCACTCACACTAGTAGCCTAGTTGACTAATTTGAGTGGGTTCTTTTCACCCCAATGGCTTATGATCATGAGCTTTAAGGTCTTCAAACAAGCAGTCAGGGAAAAGGCTTTAATTTCCAGTGAACCCCTGGCTTGTCTTCCCTTTCACCAGGCAACCGCCCTCCAGTCCCTCACTTCCACGCTGCCCAGAGTCAAGCCTTCCTTGTGGGCTGCTCTCCCCTTCCTGCTACTTCTGCCAAACTCTGTCCACAATACAAGGAGGAGGAAGAAAAACAAATGTCTCTCCTCTCTGAATCTGACCCCTTCTTCTACCTCATTATTCATCTCACCATCCACTGTTGTTCACTCAACAGCTTTGTTAAAGGAAGGGAAAGTGACCCACTTCTCAATGGACCCTTAAGCCCATGTCTGACATACAATATGGTAATCCTCAAATATTTACTGAGTTGAACTGAATTTTTATGTCTCCAAACACCCAGATGACCTTTTTATTGAAGCTGCAATTGACCTTGTAGAAATTCACACGTATTAAAGTAATACAAGCATTAAAATGCCCTGCCCGTCGGATCATTTCTGTTTCTGGCAAAGAAATAAAAAGCGCTTTCAGCTTACAAAAGGAAGTGATTTGTGCCCTTCTAATAAACCTTTTCCCTTAGCAATGCTTTCATATCATAAAACTCACACTGAATTCTCAGTATACAAACATTAACCATTGAGAAACAATCTGAAGGCCAAACTTAAAACTCTGCCCCTTTCCAGGAAGTCTCTTGCACCAACTGCTCTAATTCAAAGGTGGGCAACTTCTCTGGAGATGAGCAACCCAAGGCAGATCTCAGCCGGGTTTTTGGCATTGTTTCCAAGCATTCTGTACAGTAATCATGTATCTCCATATTTCACTGGAAAATTTTAAAGTGCTTCACAAATAACAGATAATAGAGTACAGATCACCAGGCTTCGATTTGAATGAATGCCTTTCTTGACAGGCCCAGGGTGGGGACTCCGCCTGCCTCTGTGACAGTTTACAAACATGATGCCGCCCTGTCATCCACACTGAGCCGGCCAAGTGATGGGCAGAACAGCCGCGGGACTGAGGTACGGGCTGTCTGATTTGTCCAACCTTGTGCCCTTCAGGTATGCTTTGTGTTTTCAGAATTCAAAGCCTAAGCCTTTGATACTCCAGGAAGTAATAACTATAATATAGACTGGGGAAGCCAACCACAAGAGCTCACAGCGAGCACTGCCCAGTGAACTGGAGAAACCTTTGCGTCCTGCCCCGCTACTTAACATGCTTCTGAGAACAGTGCCCCACCTCAGGCTCTTGTCCTTATTGTTTTTTTTTTTTTTTTTTTTTAAAGATTTTATTTTTTCCTTTTTCTACCCAAAGCCCCCCGGTACATAGTTGTGTATTCTTCGTTGTGGGTTCTTCTAGTTGTGGTATGTGGGATGCTGCCTCAGCGTGGTTTGATGAGCAGTGCCATGTCCGCGCCCAGGATTCGAACTAATGAAACACTGGGCTGCCTGCAGCGGAGCACGCGAACTTAACCACTCGGCCACGGGGCCAGCCCCTCTTGTCCTTATTGTTTGATGTAAGTTTATCCATAATGACTTGGAAAAAAATATGAAAACTATTGAATAACATTTTAGAAAGTGTCAGGTACCTATTTGTGCTTCTGGACAGTCTTCCTGCATTTCTAGGACTTCGACAGGCTCAGGAGCTGGTGTTTCAGGAACTTGCAAAAATTCCATTCTCCAAAACTAAGTATGAAAATAAAAAACACTTAAATAGATTAAGGAAATGATTTGCATGTTACTAGATGAAGATGGGTTCTTGGGGTTAAACAAATAAGTTAATTTCTAACATTGTGGATAATTAGATTTCCCTGTATCTTGAAAAAATGTGGCAGGGGATTGCCTACTGTTGGGGCCCAAGGCAGGATACCTCAAAATATCCCACAATGGCATACTTATCATTTTGAATTAAAGTTACTTATTTTGACTTAAAGTTTTGACCCTCCTCTCTCTGTTCCCCATGAAAGCAGGAAATAAATAGCCATGTGAAATCCCTGCCCCAGGAGGTAAAGACATCCCCATCACCAGAGCTGGGGGATTCAGGGCCGAGAAGCCTGTGTAAACAAACTTTCTTACTTTTACTAATTTACTACCTCAATCCTAAACTCTGCTTAAATTTCTCACTTATGACACCCCAAACCTAAGTTTCTTTGGCCTGTCAGTTCCTTACAAATTTATTGTCTCTTTGTGTAAAAAGAGACAATGTCTCTTTGTTCATTCTCTGAGGGTAATTTTTTAATGATCTCTCGTACATATGTATCTAATTGGTTTTTCTCCTGTTAATCTAGTCTTGTGTCAATTTTATTATTAGTCCAGCCATAAGTATTCAAGAAGGGTAGAGGGAGGAATTTCCCCCTCCCTGAAACTACACATAAACAGTGCTTCCCAAACTGTGTTCCATAAGATGTTAATGGGTATTTCATAGTGGAGGGAAAAGGACTATGGTCAAGTAAGTTTGAAAAATACAGTTCAACTGCGTACACTTTTTTGTTTCCTACGAAAACCTCTGAAGCCTTGCATATACTAACATATACTCCAGATCTCCAAGAAGGCATACAGGAAACAGGATCCCCAAATGCATCCGGCTATAGACCTTTTCATAATGCCTCACATATGGGGTCACCTAAACCGCTGCTCTGGAGACGGCAGACTTTGGAGGGTGCCAGTTGTCTGAGGCACAGGGTGTGGTGTGGGGGTGGCTGACAGCCTCACTGCGCTCAGCTTGTGACTGTGACTATGAGGGCAGCAATCAGCTGCTCTCTTCTTTCACAAAGAGCACAACTAAAGAAAACAGGCATAAAGAAAAATCTCCTGAGAGAAAACTGCCCTAATGCTTGAAAAGACTACGAAAGTAAATACTCTGGATTCCATTTTCTGCAGAAGCCCAACACATACAAAAATAAGAAAAAAGAGAAACTATCTAGGATTCAGGTGAAATCATCTAGGATTCTAGACAAGGAATGGACAACCTGAGGCCTCTGGAAGCAGTTTCCAGCTCTGCGAATCTCTGTAGAAAAGAGACAGTCCTTGTTTTCCCTAAGAAGCCATTTGGCAGGCTGGAAAGCCAACATTTAGGCAATTTCCATTTTTAGCAATCCCAACACGACGTGGGAATCATGTTTAAGTCACCATCTTGCGTCAAGGTGCCAAGTGGTTAGTGGCACTAACAGATCTACTTCATGGGAAGAAAAGAAGCCGAGTCCCTGATGTTCTCCTTGTCCAGTAACACGGTGGCCAAGGCTTGTCTGCATTGGAGCGACTTTGCTAAACAATACCGTAACCTGCTCAGATGTCTTTCAACTGTGACAGCTTCACAAGTCTCAGGTAAGCTTGGGCAGCAGAGACCTAATGTGCTTTGCTCGCAGCTGACTTACCCGAACCACGCCATCCGAGTGTCCCGTCACTATGACGTTCTGTGTATCCCACTCGTTCATCTCTGACACGCAGCAGCAGACAATCTGCTGGCTCCTACCTGTGAATGTGTTTACACTCACGATAGGGTTCCCATTGATGCTCCACACATGGATATACGTGCCCGCGCAGGACACAATGTCTCCCTGAGAAGATAAAGAAAAACTCTTCACTCTCTTGCTCCCTTCATACCATGTTCCGGTTTCAGAAGCAAACTGAATCCTTGGCCTAGCTCTCAAAATACCTTCCTGCCCTTCAACTAGTGACTGTGCAATTTCTGAGGTAGCCTGGAGTTCAGTGCTTGCTGCCTTAAACAAAACACCCTAAACAGAGGCCTCTTCAAGGATTCAAGGTTGAGTGGGTGCTGTGGCCAAGGCCCACCTCCAGCAGAGACAAGGGCAGGAGCCCTTCCACGCTCTTGGCTTATGCCCCAGCAAAGTGCAGAGGAATGTTTTATTCCACGCCAAAGCTGCCTGGACCTAACGAGGTGACGAAGTGCTCTGCCTCCTGTCATTGTTTACAAGTCTATTTAGAGCTTTCATTTAGATCCCACTTAATTTTACAAACTGAGTCCAATCACCAAAACCATAGGGTAGAAGAGAAATCTTTCAGTCCAGATACAGTTGGATCTTTCTCTGATAAACGAAAAGATGAAATCTTGGTAACACTGTATTCTATCTTAAAATTTGCATTCACAATTAGGATTGGGGAATGAGGAAAGAAAGAAGAAAACTGGTATAGAGGTCACTTCTTGGCAAACCGAATAAACCTTAAGACTCCCTGAGCTTGTAACTCAAGTTCTCATGAGTTCCAGAGACAGAAAAGAACTAGCCCTTTGCTCAAATTCTACTTGGTTGGGCTCTATCCAACCTAGTAAGAATACAACCCGCCACTGTTCACTGTTAAAGGGATTAACACACTTGCTGAAGCATCTACTGTGTGTGTTACTATGGTGGGCACTTCAGACATTCCATTTCATCCTCATAACCACCTTGTGAGGTGACCTCTTGCAAGCCCTGCTTTAGAGCAGAGGACGGTGAGGTGCAAAGAGCTTAAGTAACTTGCCTCATATCACAGAGTAAAGATTTGAACCCAGCTCTTTCTGGCCCCAAAGCTTATACACCATACCACGCAGGCTCTTTTATCCCTCGGACAGCCTGACTGTCATGATGCTAGGGACTGACTTTAGAAATGCCCGGTGAATTTCAGGGCAGCCAGCAGGCACAGGAGGACCTACAGAAATCGGAAGATGGTCATGAAGAACAGAGGGAAAGCAGAAGCTGAACAGCAGCACCAACGCAAGCACGAGGTCCGCGGGAGGAGGCCTGGGGATTTGCCCAAACCACTGTCTGTGTGGGTCCTGCTCCTGTTCTCTCCGTCCTTCTACCAAGACAGCAAGAACCAAACCAAAACTCAAACAAAAATAATACTTAGCAAAGCACTCCTGTGTCTACCTCTGTATTGGCCACTGAACCGCCTCTGACAATGAGTGTCGGCAGCTGAGCTTTAATTAATGGCCTCAGTCTCCGCAGGAGACAAGAGGCAGCCGCTCCACTCTGCACTACGCAAGCTTTCTTCAATTACTCCAGGGCACCTCAGTTGGAGTCATTAGAGCAAATCCTGTGGTTCTGAGGGCTGAGCAGTGAGAAGCGGAATTAAAGGACAGCTGCAAGGTAGCTTAGTCAAAACTGTAGACTGAAGTAAAGCAGACGTGATGTTGGCCGCAAAAACGTAACAGAAATAGGAATCTTTTCATGAGTTATTAAGAGATCACGAAAGCATCTTAAAAGAGAAAACTCAAACGCTTTTGTAGTATTTGCAGCAACTACTGCAATCTAGTGGGTGTACACTCGCTCAAATAGCAGCTGACTATAAATAAAATTCTCAGTATTTAACTTAAGAACAACCCCAAAACAAACTGCTCCAAATAGTGCAATTAAGCATTTGGCCCACAGCAACACTGCCAGGGCAGAGCGGCTCTGTTGCACTGACATTTTCGTAAAGCTCTCAGGTACGAACGTTTACAGGACCAATCCCAGGTGCTGTTCTAACATCTTAAACCTTTCAAATACCACGAAAAACTAATCCAACTTTTTCACCCCTGCACTCTCCCCACTCACAGCCAACTCTGATTACTCTTACTAGTAGCAGACACTCTAAGCGTCATTCACTAGAACTGAATTTCTTCTTTTTTTCCTTTGAGTGACTACAGGGCATTTGATTAAAAGCATAATACTTGGTATCTTCTGGTAGAAATGAAAGATGCAGCGTCCCTCAAAAGGAAAGCTGGCTGCGTAGCTGATGATACGACGTGGCCAGAACCACTCCGGGTCGTGCAGGATGATCTGGGGCGGGGCTGAGGGCAAGGGTGGGAATGGGTCGGTAGAGCTAAGCAGGGATGAGGTTGGGTGGGTTCTGACTGATTTGCAAGACTGACGTGCATATGTGGGCATCATCTACGTGAGGACTATGATGACTTGTCCCTTGGACACAGAGGCCTCAGTCTTTGACACTTCACCCTTAGCTTCCTCTGCTCACCAGTACACCTTAGCAACATACCTGTGCTCCTGTCACCCCACCTCAGGAGGGCCTGGGCTACATGGTGGGCTCCTAGGCCAGTACATTTATTTTATTCTCACTCATTTTATTTATCTGTATATAAAATATTTATTTCTGAGAGGAGATAATATCCTTGGATAACTTTGGAATCTGTTTTGAAAATAGTTCTATAACAATTTTTCTCTTGTTTGGGTACCCAAATATTACTCTCTTCACTTTACTTAAGAAATAAATAATTTAAATATATTTCATAAAAATTTCAACACAATTTTAACATTCTTAACAAATCCTCCAAATTCCTTGGTTTTAAAAAAGCCTATTCTAGAATGTCTTGTTTTGAACCAAACCTTGCTCTTTAAAGTATATGCAGCAGTGAATGGATTCTAAGACAAAATCGCTTTCTGGATTACAAACTTTTTTTTTTTAAAGATTTTATTTATTTATTTATTTTTTCCTTTTTCTCCCCAAATCCCCCCGGTACATAGTTGTATATTCTTCGTTGTGGGTCCTTCTAGTTGTGGCATGTGGGACGCTGCCTCAGCGTGGTTTGATGAGCAGTGCCATGTCCGCGCCCAGGATTCGAACCAACGAAACACTGAGCTGCCTGCAGCGGAGCGCGCGAACTTAACCACTCGGCCACGGGGCCAGCCCCAGATTACAAACTTTAATATCCATTTGCTTTTGCAAACAAATCAATCATAAATCAAGGAAACCATAAATCAGGGAAAATATAGTGGCTTTTATAAAACGAGCATCTATAACCTTAGAAAACACTTAGTCATTTTTTACTTACACTGGCCAGAGCTACTTGTTTTCCAAAACATAAACAAAGTGGGTAATTTACTACTTACTGTTAATTCATTGATACAAAGAGCAGAAACCGGAGCTCGATGGCCTCGGAGCTGGGTTAGGAACGATAGTTTGTTCAGGTCCCAAATGATGCACGTTCGGTCACGGGACCCGCTGACAATTATGTGATAGGCTAATGATGCTGTGGCACAGGTAACAGTATCGGTGTGGCCAAGTAAGGCCTACAATAGAGACAGAAAAAACCAGGATGATCACAGGGACAGTGCTCTTTAAGGGACTCCAGAAGGTCCTGGAGGAAATGACAGGAGCGCGCTGGGGGAGCCAGTGCCTCGAGCAGTGGTGTCTGGAGAGTGTTCATTCTCCTCTTGTCAACTGTCCTCACCTCATCCCACTAGGGGAAGAGAGAAGTCTGGAGGACTGTGGAGGTCTAATCGCCATTTTTATGTTACCTCTTTCCTGGATTTGGGCCAGTATCATAGAAGGAAGGGAGAATGGCAACTGGCCCAGCCTGGGTTTCTTCAGACCAGTTTTACTTGGGGATGTCTTGATCATGGCCCTCAAAGTACAGAATTAAAATTCTGATTCAATTCTTTCATGCCACCAACTCTGAACTACAACTGAATGGATTTTTAAAAAAATGCACAGAGTGTGAGGACTGCATGGTTACAGCACGCGATCCTAGAAAGATAAAGGGAAAATGTGGTCCTGGTGTGTCTGCTGAGTTCCTGTTACTGAACTGGAGACATCTGGACATCTCTGACCAAGAGGGACTCCTCCTTCAAACCAGAATAAGAACTTCCCTCTTCTGCTGGAATATGAAGAGAACCCCAGGAAATGGCAATGTGGGAAAATAAGGAAGTATTTTGAAGAAAAAGATTTAGATTACTGTTAGGAGTTTCTGAGTATTTACTATTTAAATAATGAGTTGGCTTAAAATTTTGGTCATACAGACATACTTACCATATGCTTAGCAAACCCCAGAAGGCTGTTTTAAATAAGAAGTGCTTTCTATTGAGGGGTTACTGGCACACTAGCTTCAAAGCCCATTTTCTAAACTGAAAATATTGTAAGCAGCAGAGTTTGGGTCAGCAAACCACTCTGTCGACCTTGTATCTGTGGACACTGTATCTCTTTATGTGGTCCACCGTGAGACTCAGCAACCAGAGAAGTTTCTGGCCCACATGGACGGTTGTTGGTATAAGTACAAGGGCTTCCATTCTTTGCATAGATAGCTAAGCCACTACTATTTGTTTGAGTTTGGCTTTAAAATAGCTTTGGAGTCACATACTACTGAGTTTACATCTTGACTTTACCACTAAGTGTGACTTGGGCATGCGGCTTAACCTCTCCAAGCCGTGGTGTTTCCAGGCGTAAAGAGGGTCAATAATTACGTCATAGAATTGTAAAGATTGGACTTTGACATTTTTAAGCCCCCAGCAGAGTGCTCTGAACAGAGGAGGTGCTCAATAAATGCAGACATTATGTAGATACTACTTTTCAAATCTGTATCATAAAAAACACTTAGATGTATATTCCATTAAAAAAAACTTTACGGTAAATTCACTCATGAATCAAATATTAAAAGATGATGGCTTAATTATAAAAAGATTCTTGCTTTAAGTAAAAATTTATAATAGAGTCATTATCTAACATGTGATCAAATACTTTTTCTACTGAACACACGCATAAGTTTGCCGTCTCCTCAAGAGGAAAGAGAAAAATAAAAGAATCAAAGATTTAGTCATCCAGTAGAATGAAAATCACCCAGAGAAGAAATTAGTATGAATTAATAGCAAATATAATTTGGTTTACAAAAATTCAATTTACATATAATTTCTGAGAAACATTTATATTACTTAAATATATTTAAAAAATATTACCCAAAGACGGCTTGCTTCAATTTTAAAGGACCAGCTTAGATCATTTCTAGAAACAGTATCTTCTCATTTCATTTCCTTTTATTTTAGACCCATTTCTAGCAAAAGAACATCTACTTTTTGGCTTTGTCCATTACGTCTGTTTCTCGAGTGTGGGCAGCTGAGAGTGACTGCGTCCATATCCTGCCCATTCTGTTACCTGTTTCAGAGTGAGGGTCTTAGCCTTTTCTTTCGAGGTGCCCATCTCCCACACGCACACCACTGTGCTCGTTCCACCCGTGATGATCAGCTTGGGGTTGGGGCAGATTGCACAGAGAATCTGGCCCCACTCAGACAAACACTCATAGACAGTCACTGCCTGTAAAACAAAACAGATGTGAGACACACACGCCCTCAAGTACTAGACACGCCTGAGACACAGCGAGCACACTGAGCCAAGGAGAACTCTGTGCAGGCATCTCACAGGCAAACACCTGCATGCATTCTGGGCCACTTTCAATTTAGCAACATTTCCAGTGAAGCTCTTCTCTGAACAGCCCCCGACAGCCTCCTAACTACAGTTGCTGCTAAAAATCATAATAAACAGGACTTTGCTCATAATGGGGGTCTCTAGTTTCTCTAGTCCAGGAAAATGATGTTCAGATTGTGCGATGCTAAGTAAGATGAAGGGGATACTCTGGGAAAAGGATGTGTTTGCCGCAGTCAGTAAGATGTAAAGGGAAAGCACGAGTGCTGCTGTTTAATGAGAACGTAAACTAAACAGAACCGTGTCGTAGTGCAACACGCAGGCCTGTGTAGACTGTAACTCCCTTGCACTCAGGAGGGACTGTCCGAGGACAAACACAGGGCACTGAAGGATCATGACATGCTGCCTTTCCAGGAGGGACTTACAGGACTCAAACTAGTAGGCGCTACTTCTTGGGGGATGGGGTGACAGGTTTTCCGTCAGCCATTTAAGAGTACTGTCATGTGCCACATGATGTTTCGGTCAAGTATGAATCATGTATGTGATGGCAGGCCCATAAGATCAGCGCCATAGGGCCTCGGTGTGTAGCAGGCTCTAGCATCTAGGGCTGTGTAGGTACACTCTATGATGTTCGCACAATGACGACATTGCCTAACGACGAGTTTCCCAGCACGTATCCCTGTCATTAAGCAATGCCTGACTGTAGTGAAATGACAAGTGGGCCAGATGGTGACTCATCAAAAGGAGGCTCTTCTGGTTGGTGGAAATGTTGACTGCCTGGCTGGCTAGGACCGAGTGGAGGAATTCTCTGAGTGGAAGGGAAACTGCTAGCCCCTAGTACACAACTTTGCAAAGAGGCTTGCTCTGCAGGAAACTAGTGACTTGTCCACTGGCTCCTGCATCCTGACCTGACAGAGTGAAGCCCCCCCTTCCTTTAGGATGTGAGGGAACAGCTGACAAGCCCTGGCCTGGGCTCTCCCCACCCCAATAAGCAGGATATCCAGACCATGAAAGAGTGAGATGAAATGAGTGAGTAAGGAACAATACCAACCTTGTCTGACTCATAGGTTCCTAGCCGGCAGCTGAGGTCTGCGTAGCCCCAAGCAAACGTTTTGTTCCAGGTTGGTGGGATGAGAACCTTGTTCTGTTCTACAGCAAGAATGCCTTTATCTGTACACACTATTTGTCCCACAGGCTCTTTGAGTTCTATAAAAAGCAAATCAACATATTAGAATAGGGACAGGGAAACTGAACTCCATTATGCCATCAGGGATAATAAAATAATCTCAAAAATGCACACAAATCTAGCATCCTGACACCTATATTAAGACCAAATGCTCCTAGATCTTGGCTTTTGAGTCTCCCACAAGACCTGCTAGGTGGATGTCAACTCTGACTGGTGTTCTGCAGGGCTTCCCTCCAGCCTTCCTATCTGGGGACACTCCTGGGTTTGGCTCCTATAATCAAGCCTGGCTTCTTGATCGCTGGGACTGCAGAGTGATCTGGGATGCGCTCTAGAATGCCAGGCTCAGACCTTCCACCAATGTAGGCCTTCAGCAACTCCCAAGTTAAAGCTAGCCCTTGGACTTCCTGAAAACAGGCCATGACATTCCGTGAGAGGCCTGGACTCCCTGCTCTGCCCCAGAGCTCTGCCGACACACCAGTGGTCCAGAACCATCGCTGGGCAGGGACTGGAGCTCACACAGGGCAGTCTGTGCAATGAGGTCAAACAGCGGAGAGCTGGCAGCCAATTCAACTAACCAGACTTGGACACTCCAATTCTTGGATTTGTTTAAGTGACAACTTCAAGACTTTGTAAAACACTTTTTCGTTCCAAGAGACAAAAATCCTCTTGAAAAAGTCCTTTTAGATAACTCATAACAACATTAGATAAAAAAGATGCTTTTTGTTGGCATACTAAAAATGTAATCTTCTTACTGCTATTTCTAAATTGGCAGCACATGCACAAGTGAAGATGACAGAAGTCTTTCTGTAACATAAAGTTGGGCTACAGGATTTGGTATATTAGAGTTTTCACTATCTTAGCAGGGACGAGAAACCTGTTTGGTTCTTTCTGATGAAAAATCCACAGGCCAAAAAAGAAAATAGAAAAGAAAAAGGAGACTTTCTAAGAAGTATTTGATGACTTATCACGAAAACTATACTACTTATTATAAATTATAAATACAGTACTTCTCAACTATTGTTGAGAAGCAAATCTGTTCTTGCTAAACTAGGATTATTAAAAGACCCCCATGGAATCATGAAGCAGAAGTTTATTTCCTGTCACCTTACCTTTTACAGGTGTAAGAGAAGGCCTCAAGTTGTCCAGGTGGTGGAAAAAGATCTTGTCACTTGTAGATCCCGGTGGGACCGAGATTCCTGCACTGTCTCCGTTCAGTCGACTCCTCACTCGCTTTGGTGGATGCGGTTTTTTAAATAACTGGTATGAGAGAAGATGATAATTTATAATGAAAGATAACGTTAATTAAGCCCTTTCATATGCCAGGTACTATGTTTTTATTTCTCTTAAGCTTCACAACTGTTAGGTACTGTATGATTGCATTTTATATCCGGGGAAAGAAATTCAAAGAGACTCAGAAGGTTGCCAGAGACTCCATGCCTCAGTACACAGGGCCAGGGCTGTGATCCTAAGCCTGGGTTATCACCATGCTCTGCACTACACCGATTTCATGACAACTTTCCAAAAGTCAATTAATTTACTCAAACTACAGGTGACTGACAATTATTTTCCAATGATGTTTAAAAACTAACCAATTCTTCATGGCTTGATCCCATTCTGGCAGACATTCTGTCTAATTGGGTTATTTCTGGCTTCAACATGGCCTTTTTCTACGAGACATCATTTTGGTGTCTTTTAGGTGCTACTAATTTGCTGAAAGTATGAACACTGTCACTTTCTTTCTACCCTGCAATATTGTAAAGGAAAAAAAAAATCTTTGGTATCTCTGTTCAGTATTTCTACAGGATTAAAAAGCACTGAAGTGCAGTTAAGATGACTATTTTTCAAATATTATAGATCTTCAAAATAAGCATAGAGTCATTTCTGTTGGAAAACTGGTATTTGAGGAAGATATTTGGAAAACCTTAGATGAAATGAGGTTTAAGGTGAATATAACACCATCACATTTTGTAAATTTGACATTCTGGATTTCTAGAAGAAAAAATACAGAAAATTTTTGTATCAAGGAAGATATACATTTTAGACTCCCAAACCTTTAAACATATTGTTCCCATTTTATCTACACACAGGGGCATAGGATCAGGGTTCTGTTATTTTCTAGACTCTGAAGTTGTATAAAAAGACCCACATACTTTAAAGCACGTTCATGAATGAATATTTACTGAAGAGCTTTCACATGAGGCTCTAAGGATAGAGCGCAGTGCCAGGCTAGGGTATATAAAAAGAAGTGTGGATGTGGTGACCAGAAAACTTAGATTTTTCTAGGATGGCTATACTTGGAAGTACTCTCTATTAGTCACCGGAAGGTTCTAGAAATACGTTAGTATCCAAACTCCATCTCCAAACTGCTTGCCTCTTATACTTAAAAGTGCAAAAAAATCCTGCAACAGTGCATGTGTTTGGATGTTTTGGTTAGGAATATGTATTTCCCAGAAAGTATTAAACAGGCTTCCTGTGCTTGTAACCCTCAGAAAAAAGGAAAAGTTTAACCAAGATTCTTGAGCTGTGATCAGCGTTTATCAACAAGCATTTCGCTTTAACGGGAAACCCGGTTCCTTCGCTGGGGGATCAGATCGCACCATGAGTGGTGCAGTTACAGATTGCCCTGTGGTCCATCACAACTCTTCATGTACAAAGACTCGCCACTGTTCCGTGTGTTCCCAACGGTCAGTCCTGGAACCCTAGTTGGTTAACCTACAGAAAGGGAGTCCAGGAGAGAGATGTGGAGCAGGAATAGAGAAGGACAGCCAGGACCTAAGTGTGACCCTGGGGTACCAGGGAAAGGTGGGAGGTCTGAACGGCTGGCAATGAGTGCCTCTGCACAGTGCTGCAGCTACCCCAGGTGCATCCCACCCTCAGGCGTGCCCTGGACGATGGAGATGAAAGAAGGGATGAAGTCTCTCAACAAAGGTTTGCTCATCACTGAAGCTGAGGGACCTACAGCGTTTGGGCACCGAGAGGCTAAGCTCTTGGTCTTCCTCTCCAGGTTCCTGCTGGTGGAGCAGCAGTGCAGGGCTGGTCCTAGGCATTCCCATGGAATGTAGTCCCATCACAGCACTTCTCATACGCACCTCTCTAACCCAAACCACCACTGCTGTTCCGTGAACTACCACAAGAGCTTCCTACGTGGCCTTCTGCTCCTCATTTGGCTCTGCTACGATGTGTGTGTGTGACTGCAGCCAGAAAGATCTCCATGCTTTTTTTTTTTTTTAATAAAGATTGGCACCTGAGCGAACAACTGTTGCCAAGCCAATCTCCTTTTCTTTTTTTCTGCTTTTTCTCCCCAAATCCCCCAAGTACATAGTTGTATATTTTAGTTGGGGCCTTTTTCTTTTTTTTTGGTGAGGAAGATTGGTCCTGAGCTAACATCTGTTGCCAATCTTCCCCCTTTTTTTTCTCCCTTAAGACCCAGTACATAGCTGTATATCCTAGCTATAAGTCATTCTAGCTCTTCTATGGGGGACGCCACCACAGCATGGCTTGCTGAGCAGTGTGTAGGCTGTGCCCAGGATCTGAACTGGTGAGCCCTGGGCTGCTGAAGCAGAGAGCATGAACTTCACCACTCGGCCATGGGGCCGGCTCCCAGAATGATCTTTAAAGTTTAAATAGGATCATATCGCTTCCCTGATTAAAGTTAGCATTGGATTCCTGCTGGCCTCGGGATGACACCCATCTCTGTGCATGCTGGGGCCCCCAAGGCCCTGTCTGTTTCCCTGACTGTGCTCTTCTCGTCCTCCCACCAGGTCTTGTGCAGGTCCAGGAAAGAATGCCCTGCACGAGTCTTCAAGGGAAAATTCTCTCTGAACAACAAAATTTCTATTTATCTGGTCGTAAATGGGAGGAGTAAACAATAATCTAGGAACCTACGGGGTGATATTTACTGTCCTTTATTAAAAACAGTCTAAAGTTAATTATTACATGATATGGTTCTCTACCATCTAAAGAAACATTACAGAGCTTAAAACATGAAACAGAGAACATCAATGATAAGAAAAGAACATCCATACCTGTTTAGGGATCTGACCGAAGTTATTAATGAACCCTATGGTGGCTGTTTCCTTTAGTGGGTCATTTATGTTGTAGATATCTACTTGACCCTCATAAAAAAGATGATGGAAGACATTTACAGCTTCTACTGCAGCAGGGCCTTGCTGTTTATAGCCAAAGATTAAGTCAATCCACTCATGCAGATGGGCACTCACGTAATCACATTCCAAAGCCTGTAATGTCAAAACACAGGCTCAGTCACTGGTTGACATTTATGACTTGCTCAGAAAGTAAAAGAATTGGCCAGTGGCCAATAGGAACTAAAATAACTAAAACCCATAAAAACAGTATTAGTAACTTGAACAAACAGGTGATACGTTGCTCAAGGCCTACTCTTCGTATTGTCGTCACTGGCCCAGTGAAATCCAAGTTCACCTGCAAAGGGCACTCCCATTACCTCGCGGTGGACTCGGATGAATTCTCGTGGGTCCCCCTTGGCCCAGGGTGGAAGGATAACATCTCCAAGCTTGGTGCCATTTTGTTTACAGCCTGTGGGTACATTAAAACAAATGAAAAAGTGAGCTAAATAGTAGCTTCATATGAAAGTACCAGAGAAATAGTGGGTTAGATTCATTACCAGAACTATGAAATTTTACCACCAGAAAGGACCCTCAGAGGTCATCTGATCTGGCATTTCTCTAAGACTGCTCCTTAGAGCATTCCCTCAGAGAGAGTTGTCAAATGTTAGCCAAACTGAGGGGCCCTCACGGTCAAATGACTTCAGGAAATGCTGAGTTATGCAGAATGAAACACGTCTCTTCCCGCAAGACTCCTAAGGGGCACTGTTCTTCTCTAGGACGGGTATCAGACACGACGTTTCTGAAATTTAACTGACCACAGGACTCCTTAGTGAAACACTTCATGTGGCTACTGTTTAGAGTTCTGGAAAAAATGCTCAAATTCAATCCCCTTAAGACGGCTCATTTGAAGGGCCATTAATTTCCCTAAACTCTTCTTTTGTTTAGGCTTTTCTAGAACGCTTAAAGCTTGGTGAGTCATCAGCAGTTACCCAGGACTGAATTTCTTGTCTTAATGTTTTGACAAAATTTTGCCGTTCACATAGGGGAGGTTGTTGAAAGAATACCTCAAATTGAAAGATATTTTCTATTTGAATTCTCTCTCTGCTTAAGAGGAAATGAAAGTATCACAGTCTACTAGAGATATTTGTAATGCATGTGGTTTCACGTATTTCTGATTCTTAAATCTTGAGAGAGCTCTGTAGAACTAACAGGTATTTTGCTGTAAGGATTCTCACTAAAAAAAGAAAATCCGAAACATAACTTTTTGCTATTAGTATATCGTTTAACAGAAAAACACATTTGGAAAGAGTATGGGGCCACCCGGCAGAAACGAAAACATGCAGTTGGGATAATGCATTCCAAGAGGTGTTCATGCCCCGTAAACTGGCATTTTAAATCACAGCCAGAGAGTCTCGAAAATACTAAAGAAACTCTTTGCTATGAAACCTATCCACAACGAAACACATTAAATGGGACTGGCATCTAAGGAGACAGGTTTTTTTTCTTCTCTTTTTCTGAAACAACACCAAAAAGTTCGCTTTAGCTTACATAGTTTTCTTAGGTACAAATCAGAGGATCATTGTAAAAATGACTCCAAAAACAATAATGCTGACTCACCAGCTTAACAGCAGTCGGTTAGATAAATAGTAGCATCACCAATTTTCATAGGGAAGTGCAGTCGTCCAAATTTTAGAACACAAAGGTGCTTCCAAGTGAGCACCAATAAAAATATTTCCTTTAGAAACAATCCTATTTTCATCATTGTTATTTGATGGCTTATTTACAATGTAATATTAAGTGAGAGACACAAAAATCAGTTTATTGTTTAAAGGAATGTCTTGACTTGGTTGGAAAAATTACCATGACTTAAGAAAACAATAAAACAATCAAGTTTTTACAAACCCTCCCCTGCTTCACACCCTCACTCTAGTCCCCTTGAAATGCCCTCTTGACACCTAATATTTTTTTTTAAGGTAAGCTTTTGGGTGAGGAAGATTGGCCCTGAGCTAACACCTGTTGCCAATCTTCCTCTCTCCAATTTTTCCTCCCCAAAGCCTCAGTGCATAGCAGTTTTTCCTAGTTGCAAGTCATTCTAGTTTTTCTATGTGGGATGCCACCACAGGATGGCTTGATGAGCAGTGCATAGGTCCGCTGATGTGGAGTGTGCAAACTTAACCATTCCCTAATTTTTTGATAATAGGAAGCAAGTAATAATCACCAGGCTATACAGGTTTAACCTGCTTTTCAAAATTTTGCTCATAATTCCTAAAAAACTGTGTGATATATTTTATCAGCACTATCTACAATTTTAAAATGTCATTTAAAGGGAAGGGTTTGTAGAAAACTCTGGTCAAATTCTGCTACTCTGCAGCTCCCCTCCATGTACATCCAAGGGTGTGAGGTCAAGAAGACCAGGGATGGGGGCCCGGTGGTGCAGTGGTTAAATTTGCATGCTCCTCTTCGGCAGCCTGGTGCTTGCAGGTTCGGATCCTGGGTGCGGACCTAGCACCACTCGTCAGGCCATGCTGTGACAGCATCCCACATAAAATAGAGAAAGCTTGGCAATAGATGTTAGCTCAGGGCCAATCTTCCTCACAAAAAAAGAAAAAAAGAAAAAAAAGAAGACCAGGGGTGAAGGTACTCATCCCAGAACTAGGGAAAAAAGCCAAGTTCTCTTTCTTTTAAATCATTTACTTTCTTTTCTGGGTGGAGAGCCAAACAGCGTTTTGTTTTGTTTTTTTTTTCTTTTTATTGAGGCAAAATTCACATACCATAAAATTAACCATTTTCAAGAGAACAATTCAGTGGCATTTAGTACATTCACAATGTTGTGCAACTACCACCTCTATCTAGTCCCAAAACATTTTCATCACCCCAAAAAGAAACCTTGTATCTGTTAAGCAGTTGCTCCCCATTCCTCTCACCCCTCCACTCCTGGTAACCACCAATCTGCATTCTCTGTGTATGGATTTACCTGTTCTCGATATTCCATAGAAATGGAATCATACATCATGTGACTTCTGTGTCTGGCTTCTTTCACTTAGTGTAATGTTTTTGATGTTCTTCTACATTGTAGCATTTATCAGTACTTCTATGGCTGAGAAACATTCCATTTTATGTACATCCCACAATTTGTTTATCTACTGATAGACAGGTGGGCTGTTTCTACCATTTGGCTATTGTAAATAATGCTGCTACGAATGTACGAGTACATGTACCTGTTCGATCCCTGTTTTCAGTTCTTTTGGACATATATCTCAAAGTGGAATTGCAGGCTCATGTGTTAATTCTCTCTTTTAACTTTTTTTTTTTTTTAAAGATTTTATTTTTTTCCTTTTTCTCCCCAAAGCCCCCCGGTACATAGTTGTATATTCTTTGTTGTGGGTTCTTCTAGTTGTGGCATGTGGGACGCTGCCTCAGCGTGGTTTGATGAGCAGTGCCATGTCCGCGCCCAGGATTCGAACCAACGAAACACTGGGCCGCCTGCAGCAGAGCGGGCGAACTTAACCACTCGGCCACGGGGCCAGCCCCCTCTCTTTTAACTTTTTGAGGACCCCCTAAACCGCCTCCTGCAGCAGCTGACCCGTTTACAGTCCCATCAGCAAGGCACGAGGGTTGTGAATTTCTCCACATCCTTGCCAGTCTTTGTTATTTTCTGTTTGTGTGAGTTTTTTTCATTATTGCCATCTCAGTGGGTGTGAATTGGTACCTCACTGTGGTTTTGATTTGCATTTCCCTAATTACTAATGATACTGAGCATCTTTTCATCTGCTTATTGGCCATCTGCACAATTCCTTTGGAGAAATGTATATTCAGGTCCTTTCATTTTTCACTTGGGTTGTTTACCTTTTTGTTGTTGAGCAGTAAGAGTTCTCTGTAGTCTGGATACTAGACCGTTATAAGATACACTCATGCATGGCTTAACAATGGAAATATGTTCTGAGAAATTCGTCATCAGGTGATTTTGTCACTGTCTGAACATCATAGAGTGCACTTACGCAAACTTAGATGGTATAGCCTACTACACACCTAGGCTACATGGTACAGCCCATTGCTCCTAGCCTTAAATCTGTACAGCATGTTACTGTACTAAATGCTATAGGCAACTGTAACACAATGCTAAGTATTTGTGTATCTAAACACAGACAAAGAAGTATGGTATAAAAGATAAAAATGGCACACCCGTATAGGGCTCTTACCATGAATGGAGCTCGCAGGACTGGAAGTTGCTCTGGGTGAGTCAGTGAGTGCGTGGTGAGTGCACGTGAAGGCCTAGGACATTCCTGCACACTACTGTAGACTTTATAAACACTGGACACTTAGGCTACACTAAATTTATAAAAAAATTTTTCTTTCTTCAATAATAAATTAAACTTAGCTTACTGTAACCTTACAAATTTTTGATTTTTTAAACTTTTTGTCTCTTTTGTAATAATACTTAGCTTAAACACAAACACATTGTACAAAAATATTTTCTTTCTTTATATCCTTATTCTATAAGCTTTTCTCTATTTTTAAAATTTTAACATTTTTTTACTTTTTAAAGTTTTTTATTAAAACTAAGCCACACACACACACATTAGCCTAGGCCTACACAGGGTCAGCGTCATCAATATCAGTCTTCCACTTCTACATCTTGTCCCACTGGAAGGTCTTCAGGGGCAGTAACATGCATGGAGCTGTCATCTCCCATGATAACAATGCCTTCTTCTGGAACATCTCCTGAAGGACCTGCCTGAGGCTCTTCCTGAGGAGGGGTCACGCTTTAGAAATATGTCCATGGTGGTTTGCTTGGTTTGTTTCTTTTCTTCATCATAGATTTGCTTGTAAGCAGATAATGCACCATGAACATTCCTCTCTATTAATGCAAACCTTTGGTATTGGGGTCCATGTTTTCAAACTTTTTAAGGAACTTGTTGAGGTCTACAAAAGCTTCTGAAAACCCTTCACTGTGAATTTTCTTTTTTTTTTTTTTTTTTTACTTCTCCTGCAGTTCCCTTTTCTTCTGTCTATTTTTCAGCTATGTGTTCTTGTTCCAGTTTCAACAACTCCCCGTCAGTCAATCACTCAGGAACCGCCTCTAGGAGCTCCTCAGTGTCATCCTCATCCACATATAGGTTAAAGTTGCCTGCATCTCAACCACAGCCTTGCTGATTTTTGCCACCTCCTCATCCTTGGCAAATCCTTTGAAGTCATGGACAAACCTCTTGAGTGTCTACTTCCAGATGCACTAGGCGATAGGAATTTTTCAGCTCCATTATAATTTTATGGGACTACCATTGTACACGTGGTCTGTCACTGAGCAAATCGTCATCATGCAGCACATGACTGTATCTCATTTGCAAATATTTTCTCCCATTCTGTACGTTTTCTTTTCACTTTCTTCATAATGCCCTTGGATGCAGAATTTTTAAATTCTGATTGAGTGCAATTTATATTTTTTTGTTTTTGTTGCTTGTGCTTTAGATATTCTATCTAAGAATCCACTGTCAAATACAACATTATGAAGATTTTACTCAGAATTTCTTCTAAGTATTATGGCTTAAGCTCTTTTATGCAAATAGTGTTTTTTAAAGTGTGTGATTTCATGAAGAGAAGATGATTTGTTATGAAGGTGAGCATGAGAAAAATACATAACCCTTCTTTTATTTACTTATTTATTAAAAGTGAATCCTTTGGCTGGGTTTGTAAGTGGTCTGGCAAGAACATTTTTGCAACATAGGTTATTCTAACGGATCCAGTGTTTCTGAAGGTTGAGTGTCCCTATTTCCTTCTGCACCTCTCCATATTTGTCTCTTTGAAAGTGATGTCGCCAGGGAAGAGAGTAGCATTCTCCAAAGGTGAATTTAAGTGAAAAAAATGAAACACTAACGTGCATCCATATTAAAATGCTGGAATACACCTGTTTTTCCCTGTTCACCATCTATCCTAGTCCTTTGAGGAACCATTCACTCCCTCCAGTTCTAAGTCATAGAACTTGGTGTTGTCAGCTGCTCAAAGGTGAGCTCCAGGCCAGATGAGAGGTAATGAGACTCAATTTCAGGACTTTTACTGGGGCTCTCGAAAGTCTTATTTTTCCCAGTGGACTTGGAGCTATAACTTCACAAGGTTAAAACTGCTGATGGACAATTAAGTAAAAATTGTTTTTAAAAAGTTAAAGAAAAATCACTCAAATGTATTAGATATGAATATTTCCCTGAATTTTCTGTTGATGAAACTTTCTGAGGTAGTATAGTAATGATTTATAAGTTGAACTCTTAAATACAGCATAAAACAGGGGATATGAAAAAAATGGGAACACAGAACAATATTTGGCAGGATTATTCTAAAGTAGAAACAATGGAATTTTGATATGTTTTAAAAGAAATAGCCAGAAACACAGATCAGCAAACTGTGTTCCAAGAAAGTGGAGCCAAAGTCAAATCTCCTTCCTGTAACTGTTAGACAATATACACGGAGCAGAGTGCTGATGATTTTCTCCTTTGATAAATGTTGCTTTGGTCCTGCTTTTCTAGAAAAAAAAGACCCTAACAGGTAAAGAAGAGGGATTTACCAAGCTATTCTGAAATTCTAATTTTAAGACATATTAGCATACAAGCCGAGAATGCCTCAAAACTAAAACAATACATGAAAAATTTGGATACACCACTCTTGGCTATTAATGGGCTTCAACTGTAATAATCTTCAAATAAATTTTCACCTCGCCTTCGTTTTCACTGAAATAACATTCTGACCATTAGATGTAATCTTTGTCAATTATAAATGTTTCGCAAACTCTAGGTTTGAGATAGCTATTTTGGGGTATAAATCTATTTTTCTTTTTATATTTAATCACACAAACCCAATCATAGTAAATAAACAGCAGCTGAAACCAGAAGGACATCTTGTCAGTGTCTGCTGCAGACAATCTTCAGAAAAGTGACTTGCTTCTGTGCGTCTTTCCCTGCCTAACGTTGCTAAGACAGTGCCACAGTTCTACGTACCTAGATCAAAATTGTTGGAATTGAACAGGAATTCTGGTAAGTAAAAAAATTCTGGGATAAGTTCTTTTACGTCTGCCATGTTGTGCTTTGACGCTGAATACCAGGCCTCGCGCACACTGTGAAACATCCGGTCAGCCAGGTCAAAGTGGCCTCCCTGTGGGCAGAATGAGAAGGCACCTCTCTGTTAGAGAACCACCCCACCTCGCAGCTTCTCTCAAGCTCAAGGGCTGGAAAACCCCACATACATATGTTTGATGACATTTCAATTTCCCATCATCCTATGTCAAATACACATAATTTTAAATAATTACAAAAAGAAAATTAATCTAATTCTCTTTGGGGTACTCCCTACAAAGGGTGCTCAGTGTATCTGTCTTGCAATCGAAGTGAAATCCAAATATAAAGACTTTAAAAAGTCATTAAAAAAACACTAGTTTTTAGAGAGGGCGCGAGACTATAATGAGATAGGAGTTCTTCCATAGTTTGATGAAGCTCTCCTAAAAAGAGATTCTAATGTAGTCATCTATAGTTGGAAATGTTCAAGTTATATATGCGTTTGACTAATTTTATAAATTAACATGACACTCAAGTTCTCATACCAACGAGAACTATGTGGACAACTAGGAAGGTGATCAAAAGTTATAGATTAATAAAACAAATTCAAACAGCAAAGGGATTTCTTTTGCTTACAGAGCCTCACAGATACACTACCCTCTTCTTCAGTCAAACTCCCTGTGCTGTGTTTTAAGTGCAAACAGTATGTTCGTCTTCATGATGAAGCTCACTGTGGGAAAATGCCAAAGTCCACACAAAGGCCGCCAACGCCTGCCACAATCTGGCCTCTGTTACCTCTCTGACCGCACCCCCTGTGACCTTCCCCTGCACTTACTCTGCTCCAGACACAGTGGCTTCCTGGCTGTTCCTCAAACGCCTCAGGCACATGCCTAACTTAGGGCCCTTGCACGGGCTGCTCCCTCTGCCTGGAACACACTTTCTCCATATATTGGCCGAGCACGGCCCTCATCTCCTTCCGGTTTTTGTGCAGAAATCACCTTTGCAAGGAGACCCACTCTGACCACTCTATTTAAAACTGCATCCTGCACCTCCCATCCCGACACTTCCCACCCTCTTTCCCTGCTCTCTATTTTTTTGATAGCTTTTATCACACTCTAAAGCACTTTACAATATACTTAATTATTATGTGTGTCTGTCTCCTTCAACTAAAATATATAAGCTCCATAAGGCAGGGCTTTCGTCTTTATTCACTGATATCCTCCAAGCATCTAGTACAGTGCCTGGCATACAGTAGGTATTCCAAAAATATTTGCTGAATAAATGAAAGAGAATGTAGAGAAAAGCAATTATAATAAAGAAGACAGCAAATGAGTTAGGCTCTATTACTCTTTTTTGAATGTTTGTTGAATTCAACCAGTTAAGGCTGGAAAGCATATGCCATTTGCTTATTTGACCCAAGGACCCTGGCACCTGTTTATTGTAAACAAATTCTAACTTTATTCATAAATTTTGGTCCAGTGAAATTCTACTTTAATTATGTTTGAATACTTTTGTGACTAAAACGTCACAGGGCTTCTTGTAAGGCAAGATAACAACATTAAAAAAAAACCCCAACAATTTTAAATAGGAAGGCAGCTTCAATAAAATGGAAAAATTCTAAATTTAGAGTTTTACCTGTAGTCTCAAGAATATCTGTGTGAAAGGCTCCATCCTTACTAGGTATGAAGCCACAATCATTGCAGATGAGTAGTGGGTGCCATAGTGGTAGGCAGGAGTTTCTCCTGTTCAAGAAAATTAAAGCACAATCGAAAACAAAAGAGTAAATACAAAAACTAAAATTGATGTTAATTAATAGGCTTGAAAATGCCAAAGTATGTGACAACTGTGACACTAAAAGCAGTTAGTACTGGCATTTGTAGCATGAAAATTTTACGACGACCCAGCTACCCCTCACTTACATGTTTGGCAGTGATCCAAAGTAAGTATAATTCAATGCGTTTCCCCCCAAAAGTAGTACATGTGGCAATTCATGTTTTGAGGCTTATTGTAACAGATATCACTTAACAGCAAACCATCTTCCACTAAAGCAGGATATTGACGTATAGCTGCGTTTTATTAGGTTCTGGCTTTGCGATGATCCATATCTCTAAACTGTCTATGAATATTATGCAATTTTTATTATATATACTCTCCTTGGCAGGGAAAAAAAAAAGAGTCCACACAGGGAATATTGTTAGGCTTAGTTTTTTTTCCCTTTATTTGTTTTGCCTGTTTGAGGGAGATACGTGAGAAACATTAAACATAATAAATAATAAGTAAACTGTATAATGTTTTAGAAGGTAATTATGACTATTTTTTTTAATGCAAAAGGGTGCTTAAAAAAAATTAAAAGAAAGTCAATAAGGGAAAGTGTAGTTTCTGGCCTAAACACAGTTAGAGATAAAGGCAGGTTACGATGGGAAATTTCTGCCCTATACGAAGCAGACATACTAAGTTTTCTGCCAGTACCTGACAAGCTACCTACATAAAGCCTTCTCAGCATGGCCATCGGTTGGCATGCAAAACCTGATTTTTCTACTCTGAGAGTTGTATATATACGTGCATATATAACATATATAGATGTAATGATACATAAGCAATTTGGGGAAAGACACAAATTGTGGATGTCAGACCACTAAACGATGACTTACTGTTGAAACTTAGGTACAAAGTCCAATGACAAGAAAAGTTACTTACCATTAGGATCTTCCCAGTCTTTATACCGCTTCTTATATTGAGCTAATCGTTCATCTGTCTGTGCTCCCATTGGCTTAGCCAGGTTTCTAAATGTCTTGGGATTAGTAAGATCTACCTCCTAAAATACAAAATAAGACCCAATTCCAAGTTACTATACACCCTCTATTCTCACCAGTGTAGATACAGTGGCTATAGCAGACAATGATGATTTACACACATGCTGGTAAATGTGAGGTCACACTGGCAGAAGTGGACCCCACAACAATGCTATCTATGTACCTACTGCTTATCCGTACTTTACAGACAGCATGTGGCAGTTTGTTAATTGATTCAGTTTGAAGACAACGGCTTTGGAAACAATGTGTTCACAGAGGAAGGCATTCAGGATCTAGGTCTGGAGATGAGGAATAAGAGGGAAAGTCCTTCCCAGTCTTGGCAAGGACACAGCAGGACACTGTGGACACAAAAGCTTCCATTCATCTGTATCCTCCAACACCCACATAACTCTGGAGGATCAAATCTCTCCCTGTTCTTTTCCCTTCCTCTCCTGTTTGCCTCCAACTTCACTTCTGAGCATCTTCTTCTTAGAGGTGATCGGAAAGTGAAATAAACTAGAGCACTCAGTGATTTGTTCATCTCTAAAAGACAACACCATACCAGATCAAGCGACTTCCAAATGAGATGGAATCCTTCAGTCCACCAGAGATTATTTTAAAAGCTCATCTCTAGCTGACCTAATTCACATATTTAAAAGGAAACCAAAATTTACTTCCTGAGGGTTTTAAAAGTAGAAATTTGAAATATGTACCCATGGGATACTTAATTTTTGTCCTTTTTACAGGACATCCTGACCAACCAATTTTGCTAAACTTGTATTTTAAAGGTTTTGGGTGGGAGAAAGTGATCCACGTTTACGAATGTAAGTCAAGTTAGTACATTTGTCCTCTCAAAATCTATATGCAAAATAACTCATTTATACTTTTTTGGTTAAATTCAGCAAACATTAAAGTGTATACTAAGTACCAGGCTTTGTTCTAGAGATGGGGAACTGAGAGATACATAAGACAGTCTTTGTGCTCAAGGATCTCAGAGTTGAGTAGGGTCAGACAAAAATCATGACTACAATATGCTGTAAAAGAAAAGCACCACGATGCAGCCACAAGGCAGTGTGGGAACAGAGGAAGAAGAAAGAGGAGAGAGAGGACAGACGGTGCCCCAGAGGTGACACTTGAGTGTGTCCTGCAAGATGAAATGGAACTCGCCAGATGAATTTGTAAGCGGGAGAGAAGATGTGCATGGCACTGGGGAGAATTCCAGATGGGGAGGGTAGCTGAAAGGCACGAGAGGCAATGGGGAGCCCAAAAGAGCAGTCCTGGGAGCTCAGGAGGGACATAGACGGAGGAGCTACTTTGTAAAGGGCACCGTGCTGACGCTTTTAAACTCCTAAATCGTGATGATGATTCACCGAATAACTTTAACCAGAGGATGACTCAGTTAGATTCGTGTTTCTGCAGTGGAGGACACAGTGAAGGAAGGCAAGACCAGAGCAGGAAGTCTGTTAGGAGGCTACGGCAACAATCCAGTGAGAGATCTGCTGACATGGCATCCTGGCAATGCAGATGGAGACAAAAGAAGAGACTAGAAAGACATTTAAAGGCAGACACGCCTTGGCCACTGGGTAGACATGGGCAGTAGGAAAATGAGTGTAATTTCCAGCCTGTACGACAGCATGCTAACAGCGCCATTTCCTGAGCTGAGGAATTGTGAGTGAGGGTCAGAAGTGCATTAGGGGAATGAGGGAGAGAACTGAAGGTTCAGGAGTGGGACCTGGGAGGTTCCTATGAGACAGAGACTCAAGTGCAGATTGATACAGCTCTCCATTGCCTTCTCACAAAAGTGCATTCTTTGTGGGCTTCATGTCTCTTTAAAATCTACATTTTCTTGTGAATTTCTCTGATTGACTGAAAGGAAAAGTACTTTCATTTTATCAGTCTTTACTACTGACCTCTTCTTCTCCTTCTATTAATTTAATGCATATGTAGGTATACATATTGATACACAGATCCACACATTGAATGCACTCACATACGTCTGTGTATATAAGGCAGATTTCATTCCTTCTTTAAACTAAAGTTCTCTGAAGACAGAAGCTTTCTCTTTCATTCTAATACGCTGATGTATAAAACTTCTGGAAAAACAAATAGACTTGATTCTAGTGAATGAGAAGGCCTAATGAGTTTTCAAATGGTTAATCTTTCTTTTTTTCGGTTTATTCAGGCCTAAGCTTCCCTTATTTTTCCTGATACTGGTTTATTTCAGAACTAATCAGGCCTCTATGAGCTAGTAGGCAAAAGAAGACAGGAAGGAGAACATTTATACGCATCCGTTTTGGTTCTGATTTTGAACCCTAAGTCATGTACATGTTGAATTGCTGGAACTGCTCTCCCAAGGCTTCTCGGAATGACAAAAAATTCCTCCTATGTGACAGGAGCATTTTGCAGAAGAGTCCCTTCACCTTCTTCTAGCAAACAATTCAAACAATAGAGCTAACCAGATTTTACTGATTGAATGTGGGATGTGAGGAAAAAAAGAAAAGTTGAGGATACTTCTAAAGCTTTTGGCCTTAGTAACTGAATAAACGGTTGTCTAATTGCAGGTGCCACTTACTGAGACGGAGAACCTGGAACAGAAGCAGGTTTGGTTGGGGAAAAACAGGAATTTGGTTTTGGTCACGCTGAATTTGAGGTGTATTAAATATTCAAGTGCAGCCGGCGCATAGGCAGTTGGTTATACAAGTACGGAGCTCCAAGGAGAAAGATTTGGGTTGTAGATATAAATTTGGGAGTCCCTGGCACTTTGAAGGTAAATTGAAACCACAAAACAATTCTAAGTACAAAGAAAGATTTTGACATCCAGCAGTGGATACAATTAATTAGCACTTAAACAATCCAAATAGGTATTATGAGTTAAGATCTAAGAAGTTGGTCAGTTACCCAAACTTTGTACAAGTCCAAGCTAAAACTCTTCTCATCTTTTTGGTATAAGTGCCCATTGAGAAAATTAAATTACAAAGCAAATAAAACATTTGAGCAATTGCAATATCTTTAAATTACTTTTGAAAATGTGTTCTACTTACACAAAATGATTTGAGATTTACCTCTGAGTCGTAATCTGCAAGGATCCAGGGGAAGACGGGATACTGCATGAGGTCATTATACGACCTGCCAGCCAAAGTGTTCAAGTGCATCAGATACTGGAAGTTGCTGATTTCACCTCTCTTGGGAAAAGTAAGTAAAGAATCATTTTAGGATAATCAATTATTTCTACTGCGTTCATTTTTAAACATTTTATATGCAAAACAAGGTAAAAGACAGTTTCTTTTTTACAGATTTCAGAACAAAAGATTTTTTCCTAAAAATAACAAAAATAAAACATTTTTTTCTATGGTATATATTTTACAGATTATTAAAGTGCTTTTAACTGTATGACTTATATCATCTAACTACAAATTATGAAGGTAGCTTACCTCCCATCTCTGAGTTACAGACTTCTCTCCAACCAAAGTGCTAAGCAACCCAGATCTAAAAACAACAGATATTTAATTAAGTATATAGTAGACAATATGATTTTAGATCTGAGTAACTATAAAGTTGAAAATTTTAAGTCATCTGGTCCAGGAATTTTTCAAACTATGGAGGACCTATTGGTGGGTCATGGAATCAGTTTAGTGGGTTGGAATCAGCATTTTGAAACATGAAATGATATAGAACTGAACTGAAGGAAACAGAGAACACCGGAAGGCATCACATATAGTAAGGGGAAAGAATTTTCAGTGAATTTTGTTTCAGTATTTGTATTCAGTATTTTGTATTCAGTTTGTGTGTCCTGGGATGCCATGTAGTATACGTTTTTCACTGTGGGTTAGGCCAAAAGACTTTGGAAAACACTGATCTAGTCCAATCTTCTACCTTTTACAATAATTCCTATGTAAACGGATTTAAAAATATTAAATTGGAATAACTGAAATAGTATACAATATTTTGTACATAGTAGGCAAACAGCACATTTCCTAAAAGATATGTTGAAAAAGTGAATGAAAATATGACTGCATTATGACAAGAAAGTCATTGCTGTTTAGGTCTTTTAAAATTACGGAAGTTTTTTGGATAGCAGACTTTCCTAGAATGCTAAAAACCCTTCTTAAGGTTTAAAAGCTTTATAATGTCGATAATTAATAGTTTGAAGACTGTGAATTGGTCACTGAACCAGTAGGAAAGCACTTAACTGTCTATTTTATTGTCTGAAAGGAAGTTAATAGATCTGTAAACCTTAGTTCATAAACATATTCAGCTCGATAGTTCAGAGACTACTGTCCACTTGTGGATAAATTCTTGCCATCAGGCAAAGTGAATGGACAGGATTTCTCCCTGGAGAAAGAGCTATGATCCCTCCTCGACTTTATAAGAAAGGGAACAACTGAAAAGACGATTCAAGTTGGAAATGAATTTCTGCTTCTTGCCTTTGAGTTTTAGAAGTTCTTTAAGAACCGCCAACTCAGCAGAGAAAGAAGCAGGAACAACGATACAGCAAGTTGAAGATCATCTAGGCGGGTAGAAGTACTAGCAATTTGCTTACTAACAGAAGAAAGGCTGGATATGCTCTAAGGGAGCCTCGCGCTTCCTGTAACACCACCACAAAGGAGCAGGAACAGAACACGCTTGTGAGGTTAACAGAAGCATACATTTATCATTTTATTTCCCAAACCTCAGCTAAAGAAAAACAGGGGCAACAAATTAAAGAGAATTTAATATATTTAGACGCACGCACACTGGACAAATTACAGAATCCCCGGTAAAGTTTTAAGTCATTTTCTTGTATTCTGTAATAATTAATTTGTAGCCCAAAAGCACTGCTTCTTTTCCAACGCATGATAAAGGGCTACCAGGTTCTGAGTGACTGTGAATGCAGCTGGGTATGTGGATTCCCGCAACAGCTACAATGACTTCCTAAGATTAAAAGCAGCCGAAAAGAGCACAAAGGAACCACTGACAGGTTTGAACACATGAAAACAGAAGTTTAAACGTCAAAAAACAAAATTAAGAGAACTGGGCAATTTACAACAAACATGACAAGCAAAGGAGTAATATATTATTATAGAAAAATCCCATACAAATTGATAATAAGAACTCAAAGGAGATGTTACTAGACTTATTGTGCTGGTCATTTCACAAATATTGAATCATTATATTGCATACCTGAAATTAATATATTGTTATAGACAACTGTATCTCAAAAAAAATCAAACTACCACCACCAACAACAAAAAAGAACTCAGGGGAAAAATGGGCAAAAGTTATGAATAATTCACAAATGATGATTTTAAATGACTAACAAACATATACAGTACGCAAGATTACTACTAATAAAAGAAATGCACATTTAAAAACTGAGAAAGCATTTTACAAAATTGGTAAAAATAAAAAAAGTAAATAAAAAAATTGGCAAGCATCTATGGAGACAAGCAAATTTATCCACTAATGGTGGAATCTAAACGTGTATAATTTTTAGGAAAATCAATTTGGTTTTGTGTATCAAGAGCCTTAAAATTCATACCCTTTATTTTACTAAAGGGATGTTATCCTAAAAAAATGAAGAATCACATGTGCATTATTATAACGAGGAAACCTGATAAAGAAGAAACATGCAAAAATAAGTGGTCATGCTTTATATATATGATGGATAGGTAGTAAATAAAAATAATGTTTCTGAAGAACTTTTTGAAAGTACAGGGAAATATTTACATATAACACTGAATGGAAGATGTCGAATAAAAATTTGCATTTGTAGTACGAACGCAATTATGTGCATGGGAATAGATGTGTGCTTCAAACACCAGAGGGAACTGATCAAAATGTAAGGGCTGATTTGACATGAGTGATTATGCATACATTTTCTTTTTTCTTCCTAGTTTTCATATTTAAAACCACCATTGTAGGGAAACACTCATTAAAAATACCAAATAATACTGCCCAGATGGAAACTTTCCTAATTTCTCTATTAAACTCTAATGTACACAAAGCAAACCTACCCCTGCTCCACACTTGTGTTCGGTCGTTGCCCAGACACAGACTCTGAACTGTCAGTCAGAGATGGCACCACAGCCAAAAACCTGAAAAATTTAAAAATAGCGGAAAATTGGAAATGAAGTCTCAGTCAGGATAGAATGGGAGCCTAGGAAAGATGATTCATTTAAATCGTAATTGTTGCGTTTACCTCTCCATTACCCAGTAAATGGCAGCAAAGGGAATACACTAATTAGAATACTCTGTTACAGAACAGGGCAGAATGAAGACTTCTAAAGCCAAATATAAAGGTCCACAGCAAAATCTATCATTTTGGATTTTTACATATGCTGCCACATTACCAGAAGAAAAATCCCTGCAAGCCTCATTCACAGGAATGGAGTCAACCTAATGAAATCCTGAAGAGTGATGAGCAGCTAACTATTCACGTGACAGCAAGTAATGATGAGAGTTAAACAAATGCTGGGACAGAGACATCACTAAGCAAATAAAGATACATACAAGATAAGAAGCTTTATGTGACACAAAGTTTTTTCAGAGTTGCTCAAAATGTCAACAAATTTTTTTAAAGGAGAAAGAAGTTACGGGAAAATTCTTGGAATGAATGTGCACCTTAACTTGGCATATACAAGGACATTTCTCAGAGAAAGAAAAACTCATCGCCTTTTAGCAACTTCTAGTTATGAAGAGCAAGTAATTTCCTAGCAGTGAAAACAGTATCACCTTTAGAAATTAGTAAGATCGCTAACTAAAATTTCAGTCATTTTACTTAGCGCTTCCCGTATGTGACACGAGTTCTGGATTAGCAATCAACACCCACAAGCCCCGTGTTTGAAGAACCACCCGCATTCTCACGTGCTCAGACATAATGTTCCTGTACTGCAGTGAAGAGCAATGCTCTGGGTATAGTCATTCCCCGTGGAGGGATTTAAAAGACAAAACTTCTCCTCATAGAGGGATTGCCAGATCTAGCCCACTCTTCACAGAATGAGAGCAGCTCTCTCAGATCTACGATCAGTTCATCAAAGCCTTATTATTCACATATTCAACAGAAATATCTTTAAGCACCATGGATATACACTGCTTTTCTTTTAAAATTTTAAAAATAGCTTCCTCAAAATGAAGTATGGTTAGATTAGATTAACTGCTTTATTTGTCTAGGCTACTTTTTCAAGGATGAAGTTATCCAACTTGTCTTCTTCCAACGCCAGACAGAGCTCGTGTGAATATAATTTCTAGGGGCACCCAGTCTCTGCATTCAATAGCAAAGCAGTCTTTGTCTTGTCTCTTTTGGGTAAATATGAAAGAGCCTATTTCGGACTACAAGTGTTATTTTTTAAGCTACAATTTCATGATCCTTTTACATTTAGCGACATAGGACTTAGTGATAAAAGTAGCTTTTGATGATATCTACTATAAATTACCAGAAGGTAAAATGGTATTTCACAACAAAATAGTATAATTTTAAAAGCTACTTAGAAGAATCATGTTTCCAGAGGCTGGCAAAAATGACACTGATATTTTCTTCAAAGGAGTTAATTCACTGATCTAAATTCCAGATTTTTAAAAGATAGCTGAACTGGTCCTGCTCCCTCCCATCTCTTCCCATGACAGCATTATAAAGTGTTCCTAAGAACCAATACCTTTGATAGACTTTATTTCTAATTCCTTTCTGAAAAGCAAGGAGGTAATTCCGTCCATCTCCAGAGAAAACTTCCACAGCAATAGGCTGAAATGATCGGAGAGAAAAACACAAATAAGGTGATCTATTAACTTTTCCACTATGAATTTCTACAATGTTGAAGATGTTAACTTGTTGACAGAAGAACATTTTTAGAGTCAGGAATTCCTAACAGATTAAATTACAAAATAAACAGAGCCAACTTGTTCTGAACTTATTCCTAAAACATTAAATAATAGAATAATTATAAAATAAAGTAATTATAAAATTATAATTTTTTAAAAGTTATAGTGAGGATGTAATTTTTATACTAAAAAACAATCATATTGTTGATTTGCATGGCTTTAGGGAAAGATGGACAGATAAACATATCACTCAAGTTTTAGGTTGTGTTTAAAAAAGAGAGATGCATTGAAGAGAGTTATGCATCCATGTGACGTGAATTTGTCTATCATATGACCAAATCTAAGGCATATTCTAAGGAATGGTGTGGATCCTATAGAGGGTTTTCATGGCATGTATCGGTTTTAAAATAACACGTCCCCTGAACAAAGGAACATGATGAAATGTTTAGCGCTATTAAGTCAACCGACCTGCAGGAGATACCTCCTTTTATGGACCTCCTTGATATCTTCATAGGCAAAGATGCTGCATGTCCTCTTGAGTTGACTGGGGCCTTGCCTGGCTCCTCTAGGGATAATCGGCTCATGCATACTGTAGGCAGCCAAGAGAAATGAGATAAAAACATAGAAAGGGATAAATTCACTGTTCAAAAAAGGGTGTGTGATTTTCAACATATGTATAGGAGCAGGGAACAATATTCAGTTCAAAAAAATATGTTTAAGAGACTAATTTGTCAGCTACTCGTCATACAAGGAACCCCCGTTGATGAATACGATTTTAAGGATCCCATTATTGCTATCAGGGCCAACTCATCTATCAGGAACAGCTGGTACAGCACCTATGCCTATGTACTTTTAGGGGTCCAAGGAAATGTTTTAATTTCTTTTAAAACCAGAAATATTGAACTTTTAGGTAAAAGAAAATGTTTTAATGTACAATATGAATATATTTATCCTTAAACGAACACAGTCACAAAACAATTTTTAATGTTTTTATATGGAGGAAGGGGCCCACGAAAGTCATAATGTGGCCCTGACTGTTGCTGAAAGTAACTATTTGTATTATCTCCTAGGAATGAACTGCAGAGACCATGTCTTTATTCAACAGTGTTAGGTGTTCAAAATGTTAAAGGAAGAGAAGAGCATGCTGATTTTCTAAGCTAAGGCAAATTTTTATCTTCCTTTTAGCTCTGTCCGTCTTCTGAGTTTTCCATTACCCACTATCACTTCCATCACAGCACCAGCAGAAGAGGGAGACGGATAAAACTGTCCGCGAACTCCTGTCTGTGCTGTCACAGTGCTTCTAGGGTACTCAGAGGACACGGATGCTCTTTCATTTGTTAGACTATTGTACAGCTACCTGCATTTTCTCTACACCTGTGTTTGCACTGAAACTTAAAAAAAAAGAGAATAATTTGTAAATGCAGAATAAGTTTATAAATATATAGATTATACTATGTGGAATTTGCTGTCTAATGCTATTAATGCACAGCAATAAATTCTACTTAGTTTTCACTTTGATAAGGCAAAGTTTTTCTTTATTACCTTGAAAGAACTATTTACCCTTGTGAATATTTAATTACAGACACACAAACTAAGGGATAACATTATGTAAAACACAATTTTTGGATTAGAAAAACTATGTACAAATATTGTTTTCTAAAGATAGCTATACTTTGTGTCTCTTCATTCATTTACTTACTTTGGAGGTAAAGTTTCAATATCTCTTATTTCCCTGGTTGCTGTCATTGTAAATCCATCAATCACATAAAAATGTTCTTTACCAAAAAGCAGCAGCCCCTCACTGGTATCTAGGCCCTGGACTCGAGCACAGCGGTACATGTGTTGGATCTACAGAGAAAACCAGAAACATTCATTGATATAGTTTCAAAAAAAATTTCAGATAATTTCCTTTTTGATATAACTGAAACAAAATGTTTTTAAAGATGGGTTTAATGGGCAAAGAGAATTTTACCAAGACATCACATGGTTATGGCATCCTCTGAGCTAAGTACATTAAACCTGAGTTTAAAATGTACTAACAAGAATCAGCTAAGAGAGCAGGTTGATTTGCAGTTGACTTCAGTAAAAGGAAACAACCATTTACTCATATCCATCCACCGCCATCCATCTATCTATCCATCCATCCAATCCATTTCTCCCAATATTCAGAGTACCCACTATGTGCCAGGCACATAGGTACCAGGTTCCCCAAGAGATGAACAAGTTGGATAAGGAGGGAGACAGACACAACAAACTTGGCAGGAAAGGGAACTGAGGCATACATGTGAGGAGATTCGGACTGTGCCCTTTGTGAGGCAAGATGATACGGAGTGAAAAAGGTCTGAAGAGTCTGACGATCCTGAGAGAATTCTTAGTTCTGCCACTTACTTGTAGATTTAGCCAAGTTTCTTAATTTCCCTGGGCCTCTGTGTCTTCATTTGTAAATTTCAAGTATACATGAGCTTACTGTGAGAGTTAGTGAGATTATGTACAAAGTCACGTTAGGAATTGGTGGCTGTCTTTTCCACATAGCTCATTTTTCTCTTTTTCCATAATAACTCCTGGAACTGGAACTGGGGAATTTGTCCCTATTCTCTCCTCACCTGGGTCCTGCTGGCCTGGCAGACTGTTGTGCCATTGTAAAAAGCCAAACTTGGCAGAAGTTGTATTTTCCTCATAGGAGGAAGCATTTGCTATATTTCTCAATGTCAGTATTGTTTTCTTTCCAACAGCCAGGTCTGTTCTTAGTAAGAATTCCTTCTTGCTTAAACTTAGTTCAACATGAGTCAAGGAAAAGAAATCAGCCACTAAATCAGAGTCAAACAAATGTTGATTTGAACACACTTCCTGCAGTCTTTGAACTTAAAGAAATTAGAGCAAAAACTGTACTCAAGAGATTAAGAGTTTAAAAAAAGACAGCATTATAAAATAGATTTTCTAAAATACACAAATGTTAAGTCAATTTTCATGGCCATATTTGAACTACTTCAATAATAAAAATGTAGAATGTTACAGGAAAAATACTGATGTACTTTTGCAATAACTCTGTTGCAGTGTAATATACATACAGAAAAATGTTTATTTCATAAGTGCATAGCTCGATGAATTTTCAAATGCTAAAAATATTATGCAACTGACATCCAGATCAAGAAAGAGAACATTCCCAAGACCCCAGAAGCCTCTCTTGTGCCTCCTTCAGACCTAATGTACCTTTATAGTTACATGATTTTTTCTTTTTAAATTTTCATTCAAGATTTATTAGGTCATACATTCAAAGAGAAATTTTTCAATCATACTCTAATTTCTGGTTACTACTTCTTAGTGGGTAAGGTTTCAAGGGTTATAATAAGATCTAATATAACAACCTAAAAGAACATTCTTTAAAAAGGTGATACTTATTACACATTGATTCATTCATTCCTCTATCCTTTTATTTACTTAACCAATCACTCCTTCATTCAAAGGTTTATTGAGTGTCTATAAGGTGATTGGGGCTGTGTAAGGCAATGGGGTAGGAATAAGAAACAGTGACTGCCTATGGGAGCTCCCTGTCTAGGGGAAGAGATGGACACAGGAGCAAATAATCATGACATGATAAAACACAGCGATATATACAAGGCATTCCAAAAGCACAGAGCCGGCGATGGCAAGACAGGCTAGGAAAGCTTCCTGCATTTGAGTATTAGACATCCAGATAAATGAGGCTGTATGAAATGGGAGTTACTAGGATAGAGGTTATGCAAGTGATGGAGAGAGAGGTATTCTGGCAGAAAACACAATGAGTAAAGCGCAGAGTAAAGAATATCATCATGGATGTAGTGAACTGCAAGACATACAATGCTGCAGGGGACTCAGGCTAAAAGGCAGAGGCAGCAAAGTGAACCTGGAGAATTCAGCAGGATGTAGAGGCTGAGGGAGAAATAGGAAGGGAAGGCAAAGTGGTCTTCTGTGAATGCAGGAAAGTGGGAGTGAACTACCAGGCTGGTGGGGATGGTACAGATTGGCTGAGGCTGCTTGTAGATGGTTACTAGAATTACTCAGGTATGGAAAAAAAATACAAGGCCAGATTACTGAATGGGTTGTGCACATGGGTTTGAAATAGAGAATTATGGCAAGCACTGTAGTCTAACAAAGGGTATGGAGGAAGACAGTGAACTAGATCTCAACTGTTAATATTGTATCTGGTGAGACTTTATGCCGTTTAGTGTGTTCAGATTGGTCAGAAAATCCTGAAGATGAGAGAAGTACAGTACTAAACCCAAAAGACCACTAAACACCGTTATTTCATTAAAGAAGGTAAAATATTTATCTTCTGCCACCAGATAAATACTCTACCAACTAGTCATAAACTGGAAACCAGTTACTTAAACCCAACGCTAACTGTTCAAGAAGCACAGTACCTTTTCTCCTTCCTCTAACAGGCGCAGGAGCGTGGCATTGTCCGTTTTCTCCTCCTCTTCTATGGAGCTGCCCTCAGCAATCTGGTCTTGCAGCTGCTCCTGGTTCTCCTCATCTCCTCCATCAGGTGCAGATCGAGACCGTTTTAGAGGAGGCTTGACCAGACCTATGGGATAGTAACCAAGAGGGCCATGTGACCTTGTGGGGGCCATCTGGGGAGCGTTGAGTCTCACTTCCATTTTGAGATTTCCTCCTATCCATTTCTAATCTGAGATAACTCTGGAAGGTATGGGGAGGCAGCACAGTTCAGTTCAACACAGGCTCTGCAGCTAAACAGTTGTGTGACCTTGGAGAATTATTTGCCCTCTCTGGACCTCAATTTTCTCATCTATAAAACAGGGACAAGAATACTATCTATTTTAGAGGATAGCTGGAGGAGTAAATGAGGTAAAGTGCTTAGCATCATGCTTCATAAAGAGTAAATTCTAAATAAGTTTCAGATGACGATGATAGAGATACCATTAGCATAATTAATGGTAAGGATGGTCTTGCTTATGGACAGGTGTCATTAGACGAAACCATGAATAAATGGTCAGTCAATCACTATCAGAAAGAAAAATGAAGACAGCAAGATATAAACATGATTACAAGAGATCCCACTTGGAAGGCCCTTGAGGACTCTTTCAAGACTCATGCCACAAATGGCAGTATGGTCATTCCTACATGAATGAATTTTATCAAATCATCAGATCATAAAGAATAAGAATAGAATTCTTTATAATACAGGGACAGATCATTTAATTTGTAGATTAAAGAAACATTTTATTGCCTACATTTCGATAACCTTATTAATAATCACAGGAGATGACATTAAAATCAATTGATGAGAACTCAAAGCATGAGAAGGACTCAAAATACACTCTAAATCCCATATTTAATTCAATTAATATTCTTTCGTTGTACCAAAAAAGGTCATGTTACACCTACCAATGACAGTTGCTCTAAGAAATTTGGAAAAGCATTAGTCAGCCTGTTAGAACCTTATCCTTTGAACAGGAGTTATGAGAGGCTCTGCTCTGCCTTGGGAAAAGCTTTACTTTCACATGTGGAAGAGTATAACACGCAAGCAAGAGAGATCCAGTCCTGCTGAGAACACTCACAAGACGGAAAAGCTTAGAGCTGCATTATTTTTAATTTGATGAATCAAACCTCCAACTCTATGTCTAGCATAACATCTTGTATATCATAGTAGTGACGAAAGTTTTTGTGGTTTTAGCTCAATTAGAGATGAGGAAAATGAGGCCGAGAAGTTAAGTGCCAATGACTCAAACACAAGTCATCTGACTAACCGTGAATTAGATCTTGGCTTATACCCAGCAAATATAGCTCTGGATCCACCTCAGTAACTTTGCTGATGCCATGTCAAGACAATTAAAAGGTTGAAAACTCTGTTCACTACTAGAAGTTTCAGGGATTCTATGAAAATGTTAGATCAATTACAAAATGTTTAGTAAGTCATAGTCATCATGAGAGAGACTAGGTGTATTATAATAACAGGAAAAACGAATCACAATTTTCAATGGTATTTTTTGTTGACATGGTCATATACTATTAGTGTTTTAATCAATGGGATCTGAAACTGATTTTTAATTTACAGTTCTTAATTTACATTCTAGGGCTTTACTTATAGAATGTGCAAAGACTTGAATTTATGGTGAAGCAGAGGCTTAAAAAAGTTAAAATAATGGGTTGATTTACTTATTTGATATTGATTGAATCCCCATTTTGTAAAAACTATAAAGGGAGAAGAAAATCTCTGCTTCTGAGAAACTTGCAATTTACAAAACCTAAAGCACTGCAAAATCACTGAACTTGCTAAAAGAGATACAAAGTGCTATCGGTGCACAGAAGAGTTGGAAAAGGGTTCAGAGAAGGATGATTTGATATTTGACCCGTGTCCTTAAGACTGGGCAGGGTTTGTTAAGGTCCAGATCATGGAGAAGACGTAGGAAGGCAGCAGAGGGCACACACATGTAAAAGCACAAAATCACAAAGTCCATGGCCATTTTAGCCTAATTCATCATCTTATGTATGTCTTACTAACTTCATAGTATACATCTGGAATAATTTGTCTTAGCTAGCTCACAGGAAGAAAGAGCATTATTTCTTACCGTTGGCTAACTTGCACTAATGACACATTTAGTAGTTGTCGCGATTTTATAAATATTTATTTAGTTATCAAGGCGTTAACATAAAATATCAGCTGCCACCGAGAATTCTGCCAAATACAGTAAAAAAAAAATTATCAAGCCAATGGGCACATTGCATTCATCTGTCGGCAACAAAGAAGAGCCAGACTCTTCAGTTCTGATACAAAAGTCAATCTTTAAGAAGGGTGAGATGGTAAAATATATGTGGATACTTGGTTGGCCCTATGGTTTACAGTTGCTCATATTTTCATATAAATTCAAATATAAGGAATGCTCTAAAATGATTTTTAATTAAAATCAATGAGGAAGGCTGACCTTTGACTTTAGCGATAGTGTCTTCACCATGCTCTGGTTCTTGCTGAGTAGCTTCGCCTTCTGAACTCTCTACAATGGCATCTTGGACAATGGCTGGATTGCCAGAGGCTAGTCGCATGTAGTATTCTTTACTGTCATAACTTATGGCTCTTCTGTATCGAGCAGGTTTCTAAGAAATAACAAAAGAAAAGGACTCAGATAACTGTCTTTAAGAATTAAAAATATAAGCTTTCTGAGGGAAGGTAAGGTGTCAAGACTATGTGTTACCATTTTTTAGGGATTTTTAATAGACTGTGTTTATACCCAGTGAATCCACAGATTTCCGGGTTAAGTTTCTCTATTTTTAAATTCCATTAATTTTTAAAAGATATATAAAACAATATTAGCATTTTTATTCTTCCCAAAATAGAAACAAATCATCTCTAGTCAAATGATGTCTTCACGTTAGTAGGTAAAGGCCTTACTGCTGTATCAGAAAACCTCCCCATACAGTAGAATGAAGAGAACATCCAGGGCTGGAGGGCATCAAGTTGCAAGGAGATGTCCTGGAACTATGAGGAACCTAGAACTTGGAGGAACCTGGAACTTTGCTTCCACCTCAAGTAAAGTAGATAGGTCAGGCCTAAAGGGCCACCCATTTAGTTGGAACCAATCTGTGTGATTGTTTGCTTCAGATACTTGGAGGCAGAGACTCAGAAGTGCCCTGTTCTTTCCCATATTCCCAAGTTACACTGGAATGCTGGAATGGCCCAAACCTTCCAAGAATCCTGACCCACATGGAATCAATCAGCTTCAGGCGAGATGGCATTCTCTGGTTGGCCTGCCACTATGATCTGGTATCTCCAACCTGCTAAAACATTCTCGTTGTTTGTTGTATACAAGAATGTGATCCATAAACTAACTAGTTTGCTAACTAAATGAGCATATCAAGAGCATATATCAGTCCATTTTGAAGAATAAATTAATTACCTAGGAACATTAAAAAGATTTAATTCTTTTGGCACACAATACCAGAGCATTTCTTTTTCAGAATAATTTGTATTTATCCTAAAAACAGGTTCTCCAAGTGACCTAAACTTTCGTTTCTTAAAACCATAAGACAATGAAAATTAAGGTCTAAAGTTTCCCACAAAAATGTAAAACCAGAAGGAAAAGCTTATATGTATAAAGGTTCCTCCATTTGAATTAGACCCAGACTTTGAATCAACAATTAAGAAAAAGATGGAATTTGAAATATACTTTAAAACCTTCCCTTTCTAAACATTATTTTATTTTCCTTTCCTGTGAATGAGCTTATCTAATTAAAAATATTCTATCGGCCTACTCTTCAAATTCAAGTAGTCAATATATATTGTCTACCACAATACTTATTTCAAGCAACACTTTAAAAAAAAATATGATTGCCAACTAAAGTGGAAAACAAGTGTCCAATTTGTTGGAACATTTAGACTAAAATATTGAACCAATTTTTGAGACAAAAAGATACTTAACTAAAGCCAAATTGTCCTTCTTATACTTTCAGGTTAACGTCAGGGAATAAAGAGAGCTGCAAGCTAACTGAGGAATGATATGCAACAAATGGAAACTGAAATATATTGCATAACATAGCAAAGTACTAAAATGATGTAAAATCATCACAATTACAGAAGGATCAATCTGATGGGCAAACTAATAAGAACACTGCAATATTTTTGAAATGAAAGAAAGGTAGTCAACTTTATACTATAACAATTCTTCTATATGAGGTCTAACTATTATCTTCAGCTCAAAACTGTTCATTTGTAAAAAGATGAAAGCATAGTTAGTGATGGGCAAGACAATGAATTAATAGATATGGGACAACATCTACCTAGCTACCGACTTCATATACAGATTTAAACTTGGAATTATAAATATTTTCCCCTAAATATTTTGAGGTACATTTCTGTGTTCTAAAGCACCACATTATTTATTCAATTATGTACTGAATCTTTCTAGAAAAAGAAAACAATTATAAGTTTTCAAACTAATTAAGATAAACCAAATTGTATTTTAAAAAGTGATCATACACTCAATTTCCCTTAGTTCCTTCTGACTGAAAAAATAATTTTAAAAGAGGATACCCTGGCATTTTCAAAATCCCCACTGTTTAGTATCTAGAAGAATGAAATGAGTGAAAAAAAAAAAAGGTTGAAGGCGTCAGGCTGCCCATTACTAACATGCGTCAGAACTTGTTAGTAGATGGCGAAGCAATCCACATTTCACGGTGAGAGCAGTGAGTGCCCAGTCTGTTAGTGAGCAGCACACAGACCCCAGAAAGCTAATTAGAACAAAGCCAATAAAGACCAGAACATCTCTCAGCATGAATGAAGCCAACTTTTCAACTCTAAGGAACTTACAGGAAGAATAAATTGAAAGTCAATCTTTTAAGTTAGTCTAGTCTACCATGCATTAAAAAAAAAACAAACTGCAAGTATTTTGCATTCTTTTACGGTAATTTGTGTTTTACCTTTTGAGGAATGATATCATCGGGTGTCTCAGGCTGTTTACTTGGGATCTCAGACTGAAAACAGGGTATTAAGTATAGACACATCAGAAAAAAAAACATAAAGAACAACACAAAAACAAAATTTTCTAGATGATTGTATGAAATAAGAAAGATGGACTCACTCAAAGAAAATTAATATGACATCCTAAGCTGCTTGAAATAACTACTTAGCATTGTGTGATTATTTCTCAGTTATCGAAAGTAGTTTTAAAGTAAAACAAATACACTAAAATTCCCAAGGCAACTGAACAGGACGAACTTAAAAACCACACAGACAAAACTTCAGCATAGGCTGCCGCTGTGATGGGTGATTTATAGGCAACTCTTTCTATGGTTTTAAAACGGAAAAACTGGATAACAGAAGCTAATCTAGCTATTATCTTCCACCTACTTTTCACTGTGCTTATCCTCAGACCTGTTTTATAACAGGAGCCCCTGATTTACAGTATTATCTATAATACCCCATAGCACAGAAATCACTAAGTGCTTGTTAGTGAAGAAAACATCCTCCCATAAAAGCACAAGGACCCACCTCCCTTCGCTGCCTTCACAGCCACAACCCGAGAAAGGCTGAGAGCAGAAGGCAGACCAGAGCATCAGCCTCCAAACCAAAAGTTTTTGTAAAGAATAGCTTTTAAAGAATTAGGTGGTTGATTTATATTTTATTCTCAGAATAAAATCTCAATGAACAAGGCAACTTCTGATAAGCTGCAGAGTGTGTCTCATACGTGTAAACACACAGATAGCTACAGACAGACAATACCGCACCCAAGAACTACTTCTAGTTTTTCTTCTTTTGCACAGTTTGTGTCTAGAGATGACTGCCAGTACCCTTCTCTACAGTAAACACGAGCAGGCAAAACGTTTTCACAAACATTTGCTTCCCTTGGCAGAACAGACACTGGACTATTGGGCACACTTGCAAATACTTCACATGGCTTTAGAAAACCCTGTCTCTTTCTAAGCAAACTTCGAAAAGTATACCTTGTATTGAAGAATAATCTTTAAAATATACTCCCATACTCTCCATCTTGGTAAGGGTTTGAGTTACGTGAGTGTGTACTATCCATCTGTTAAAATGCACTGAATGTATGCTTAAGATTTATGTATTTCAATGTATGTAAAATTTATGGTAATAAAAAATTATAAATATTGAACTCTATTGATTGATATGCATGTGGAAGTGTTTAGGGGTGGAGGGTACTGATTCTGCAACTCATACAAAAACAAGATAGATGGCAGGATAGACATGTGAAACACCAACAGCAAAATGGACCAATTACTATGGTCAAACCCAACTTGGATGTCCACCACACATATAACCCCAAGCAGAATGCGGGCAGGGACTCACATGCGCACTCTTGCATTTTCCCCACAGCAGATGGTACAGTGCTGGTTTAATACATATTGCCTACTGATCCACTGACTGAGGTTCTCATTTTTACTCAAAGGCACAGCATGCAATAGCAAAGATACATATTATACCAATAATTTTAATATTATCATAGCTCTTTTATTAAAAAATTTTATAACAATTGCTATTATATTATGTCGACATAGAAATCTAAATTTTTCAAATTCAGAATTTCTAGAAATAATTTTATAGGCCTTTTATTTCTAATTTTTTTTATAATGCTGGCAATGGAATTTCCTGAATGAGTTGCTTAGTTTCTATGAGTCCTGTGACGTCTCTATATGATATAAAAACATTACCCCCCAAGGAAAATCACTGTCCAGAAAGGATAAAGTATCTTCATGTGACAATACAAAATTTTCCACATATACCTAATTTTTCTCAGGATATTATTAGTACTGTTGTTTTTATTGAAATAATTTTAGTTGATAAACTTTCAAAGTTTTTAAGTCTATGGCAAATAAAACACTCAAATATGCCCTGTATTCTATAAACAAACATCTAAGTTAAAAATCAAGAAATAAAGTTAAAAACTTATAATAATAGATATGCTATTTTTTATACAGTATGGAATATTATCAAGGTTTAAAAAATAAAACTTTAATGACTAAAGAAATAATCACTTGATTCACTTCTAACATCAAAGATTTAAAACAAGAAAATAACTTTTTAATCACCATTGTATTCTTTCAGCTTAAGCAACAGGACTGAAAACTTGAATGTTACTTAGAAATAATAATTATTCTTAATAAATAAGGCAAAAGATCAAATCATTTGCCTTTGCTCCAGGTAAACCCTGTTTTACCTATGAAGAGTCTTCAAAAGCAATTTTTAGGTTGGCGTATACCTGTTATATGGCAAAAAGTACTGACTATATATATACATTTTTTTTTTTGAGGAAGATTAGCCCTGAACTAACATCTACCACCAATCCTCCTCTTTTTTCTGAGGAAGACTGGCCCTGAGCTAACATCCATGCCCATCTTCCTCTATTTTTATATGTGTGACGCCTGCCACAGCATGGCGAGCCAAGCGGTGCTAGGTCCACACCCGGGATCCAAACTGGCAAACCGTGGGCCACCGAAGCTGAACGTGTGAACGTAACCACTGTGTCACGAGGCTGGCCCCAGTATTGACTATATTTGATGAACATGGATGTGGGGGGCAACACACTTACGGGCGGTAAAAAGCAGGAAATGATTGCTCTCTAACTCTGGGAGGCAGGAGTTAATGCAGTTCAAGGCAGAGGGGGATTTTCTACAAAGTCAATGAAGCTCAAACTCCAACAGTGCTCACTCCCCATGGGCTCCTTTGAAAACCCTGGAAGAGGGGCCCTAGTAATTTTATATTCATAATTTTGTACTCTTTTTCTCAGAGAACCCTCCTCCAAGTTGTATAAACTTCAGGTCCCACAAAATTTGGCTCTAGCCCTTTTTAGTGGAAAAATTTCAGAATTAGGAAAACTCTGTAGAATGATGAACAGGAAGCAATGGATAAAATCTATTAGGAAGAGAGAGCGCTGGTGATCCATTCACTCAAGATTTATTAAGTTCTAGGTACTCTGTTAGCATGAAAGAGAAAAAACCTAATACATGGCTTCTGGCTGGAAGAAATTCATTGTCTATAGAAAAGGTCACAAAACTGGCACCCACTGGAATCTTTTCTTTTTCAAAAGTGATTCAACTTCTGAGGAACTGTCAACCTACGCTTTTTCACTCCGCTACTCAGTAGCTGTGACCTAGAAGGGGTTCCTTAACTTTTCCAGGTTTCTATTCCTCATCTATAAAACTGGGATAATAATATTAACTAAACTTCAGAGCGCTGCTATGAGCCGTGAATGAAACCACATGTAGACTGCTCTGCAGAGCGTCCCCCTCACTGTGCTTTTAAGTATTCATTCTTCTTTTCTGATTTCATGACAGAAGTCAGTGGGATAGCAGATGCTTTTACTTTTTGGAATTTTCTTTGCTATTAATATTGCCAGACTGCATATCCCAATAAATAAAAGAGGACATTTAATAGCGTTTCAAATTTACAAAATATTTTGAACTAGGAAAACTAAAATAATTATTCATTCAGAAAATTTCACCATAGCAGATTAACCTTGACTAGTGTATGAACTAAGCAGCATGGATTTTGAATTCTGTAATCATCTCTCCTTTCCACCTGCTTTTTCTTTTGTTGGAAACATAAATCCAACGTTTCTTGACTGCACTGTATTTTCCGATATGTAACACATCTGTTTTATTCCTGAGACTGTCTGTTCAGATTTCACAGGCTGGCGCCCTCCTTTGCTTAGGTAAAATGCTAATGATACTAAGGTTCTGAGTGTGAACTCTGAATAGCTTATTTTGCATTTATCTGACATAGATGTTTAAATATACTTTTGTAAAACAAATGACACTGTTACAAAGAAGGAAAGGAGTAGATAAGATAAAAATATTACGGTTAAATAACTCAAACAATATATGCCTCAGTTAAATAAAAACTCAAAAGTATATACTTCAGTTAAATAAAAACTGAGTTGGTCACATATTTAGGAGAATATATTCATCTTCTATTTCAGTATTCGTGAATGGATTCAATTTAAGTGTGCTGACTCCATAAGAAATATTTTATCAAATTGCTACAGGCTTAAATTCTCATTGTCGGGGGGGAAGATTGAGAATTAGAGATTGTACTGCTGGCTTGCTCTGACAAAACTAGGTGCTAAGAAAAGACTGCAAAAATACGGGGTGGATTAATTTTTTTGTGTAATGCATGAGAATCAGAAATTATAGGTCTTTAAGTTACAGCTGTACCAAGTATGGCATTCTTGACAGAACTGAACAGCTTTGAGAAAAGCAGACTTTAGGGAGCTATCCTGAAAAACTTCATATTTTAGCAGGTCTAGGACCTACATTCTAAGTAGCATCAGGACAGAGGCGGAATCAACGAGCACGAAATAAATGGAGTCAGGGTTTTGGCAGAGAAGAAAAGCAGCACTGGAACAGTTCAAGCTGCCCCACGTCACAGGATACAAACTACTTACAAGGAGACTCACGTTCCAAGTCTCTTCTATAAATCTTAGTTTCTTCACTTGTTGGGAGAATCAAATATAAAGTCAAGAATGTGAAGGTACTTAAGCCACGAAGAGTTTTGAAAGGAAGTTTTCAGTAAAATATAATAAAACTTCTACACTGGGCAAATGGTTGGACTTTATGACCTCTCATATTCTAAAATCCTATTAACCAAATATGCAAGAAGAGCAAACCCAAACCGTTCTTTAGTGGATGAGTCTTTGTAGCGATCTGAGTTTTTGGAGTTACATTAGGTTTTACTATATCTTATTTACTTATTTATTTTTTGTGAGGAAGATTGGCCCTGAGCTAATATCTGTTGCCAATCTTCCTCTTTTTGCTTGAGGAAGACTGACGCTGAGCTAACACCTGCGCCAATCTTCCTCTATTTCGTATGTGGGACACTGCCACAGTTTGGCTTGATGAGCGGTGTGTAGGTCCATGCCCAGGATCTGAACCTGTCAAAGCTGGGCTGCCAAAGTGGAGTGCACAGACTTAACCACTATGCCACCAGGCAAGCCTCTAAAATCTTTTAGAGGTAGCTAATGCTAGGGTGAGACAAAATATGGAATACATTCCTTTGAGAGATGGTAACCTTTCTGTCCAAGGTTAATTAAGCACAGCAGTCAGATTCCTTGGGAGGGAGAGAATCTTAAAATATGTTTTTCTAGACTATATTTTCAAAAAGTTATAACATGAATTTTTTTGAAAATTTAAATGACATTAAAGGAAGGCATGAAAATTCCATGTATCAAAAAGAAGAATAGATTTTTTTTAAAAAATCACAAAACACTGGTCTAAAAGTCAGGGATTCCCTAGGGCTACCCTACCCAGCACAGTGGCATCTATCCACACATGGATACTGAGCCTGTGCAACGTGGCCAGTCCAAACTGAGAAGTGCTGTAAGTGTAAAACACACATTGCATCTCAAAGACAAGGTACAAAAAATAGTAAAATACCTCATAAAATGTTTCTCTAATTGATTATACATTAAAACGATAGTAGTAGGATGCTGGACATGATTGTGAGATCCCTTTTCAGTTTCCCAAACTGTGACTCTACGACAAGAGTGAATTTCTAAGGAGAAAAGCACTCTTTGTTTTGCAGGTAAAGGATTATTGTTGGACACCAAAGAGTTGAATTACCACTTAGAAACGTTATAAGGATTTTCAGAATTAAAGTCAGTGGATGTTGTTACACTCCTGTATTTTCTCTTCTTTAATGTGCAGTGACTTTACCGGGAAAGAATGTACTTTTCCCAACTTAAAAACATAACTCCTGGAGCATTATCAGCTTAGACAAAATTTCTCCAGTGATGTACAAAAAGCTGAATGGAGTCTTTGGGAAGGGTAACTTGTCTGACTGCAAAGGGACTTAAGGGCAAATGTTTGTTTTAAACCTGTGGAGTCAGCGATAAGGCTTCTTCACATAAATGGAAAAATCTACATATTCAGGCTATTTTTCTTTAGCTGTTCTCTATATTTCTCCAAAGAATACTGCTTAGTGCTAATATTTATTTTATTTACTTAACACTCACTCATATAGTGCTCATTTTGTGCCAGACACTATTCAAGTACTTTATTAATTTTAACTTACTTAATCCTCCCAACAGCTTTTGAGGTGGAATGGCTTTTTTCTCCATTTTAGGCATAAGAAAACAAAACCCAAAGAGCTAAATGAACTGTACTGGGTCACCGGGCTAGTCCAGTGGCAGAGCCAGGTTTTACGTCGGGCAGCCTGGCTCCAGAATCTGCGCGATCTAAACCATTTCACCATGAAGTCTCCTGTTGTACTGCTGCATCTTTTCATTCCACCACCACCATCCTGACATTATCAACTTAATATAGTTTATTGAATTTCCTAAATTAGATATGTTAGGTAATTGACCTATGAAGGAAAAATGCTTAGAAAGAAGAAAAATGTGAAAGAGCCATTACAGACATTTAATTCTGCATACTCACCGCCACATTTGTCTCTTGTTCTGTTTCTGGCACGTAAGGATAATGGTTATAAAACATGTCATTTCGCACCATTTTTTTCCTCATTCTGCAGGGTCCTTCTGTCATCTCCAGCATCCACTTGTCTAGATGGGAACCAATGGGGGGACCCCATAACCCTCGCTCCCGCAACAGTTCGTACTCGATTTGGCACCACTCTTCCGTCACATACTTCAGGGCATTTTGCTGACGCTAAGGGGAGGGAGTCCAGGTTGGTTTTCAAGCAAAAGCAGGAGAAATAATTAAAAGTCTACAAATAACTTAAAACCAAGTTATCCATATCATTTCAGTCAATACTATAAAAGTAAAATTACACTCATTTATGCTTAAAAAGTAAGCTACCAATTTTGAGAGAAGCTGAGTTTTTTTATGGTGGCCCAACGCAATTATTTTCGCATCAAGTAAATGACAGGTACGTACAGGGCAGAGTGTGCAGTAAGGCTGAACAGAGTTGAAAGAACTATGTTACTTGAGCACAGGAAAGGTGGTAATATTACTTATGAAAATACATTGAAATGGTTGTCCAGTGTGAGTTAATAAATAAACATGGCAATTTAAGGATGAATCTCCCACTCCTGTATTGTAGAACAGCTACTAGAACATGGATAGGAAAAAATCTAGGAAAACAGATCAAGAAATATTGCCAACACACTGGATTACTGGTAGTCTTGATAAGATTTCCAAAGATTTTAGGTAAAGAAAATAAATAGGCAGCTCTGACAGGGAACTTGACATTCACATACATATAAAAGAAAAACCATTTTCTATTGGCCACTGGGACAGATCCAAACCATTTTGACTTAAATGGAAATTTATGACTTGGTATAACTTCTTGCTATCTGTCCAATGCAAAGATGTATAACATTTCAACATAGATCACTATAACTGACTTACCTAATGATTCATGGAATATAAGTATGCAATTTAAGTCTAAGAATAAAGATCTCTTTATACAACTAACAGAAAATATTATTGAATAAATAATCATGAAATTATACGATATCATAGGTGTACTTATGTGTTCCCGGGAGGCAGGGGAACCCCCTGTAACAACCAAGTAAATAGTGTTATGTCCATAAAATATTAGCAGTTTATCTTTTAGAAATCTTCAATAGACCTATTGTTTTGGAATTTAGGATAACTTGAGTATTATGAATTTACCAAGAAGCTTTCATTGAATTTATTTTTACTGACATAATCATCAAGCAACTATAATAAAAAATAACTTTATCTTTTACTCTTTTAGAATTTTAAGAGACTTCTCAGAGACTTTGATGCATATTTTCACAATCTCCTTGTTAAGTCTGAAAGAGAGGGATCTTTCTCACATTTTAATTTTTATTAGGAACAAAGACATGCAATATGTCAGAACCAAATGTTAGCAGGATTCAGCTGTGCATATTTCTAGTTTGCTGCGTTTTAAATGCAGTGTGCCTATAGAAAATTCAAATTTTTCCATCTTAAAACCAAGGGCCAAAGTAGCCGTCAGCAGGGATAATTAAAAATCGTCATCTGAGGATGAATGCGGTTCAGTAACTTACCCTTAAAATGGGCAGGAAGACATCAGGAGAAACAGTGTCTTTTCCCATTTGAGGAAGGCAAACCATTACTATGGTTAGGAATTCTTACCTCCTGATACTCCTTATACTGTGTGTCCACTAAGTCGCGAACAACAGCGATATGCGTAAACATCCACTGAGAAATCTCCTAACAATGGATGGAAAAGAGTCTTAATATTTCATGGACTTCCTGGAATCAATGAGTTAAATAGTCTTGAATTTAATGCTGAACAATTAGTTAAATTTCTTTTAAAGTACCACTACAAAACAAAAACTCTAAAAGATTAATTATGCGATGAATCTAACAGAGGCTTGTGTGATGAACACACACACACACCCATGCCCCTATAAGGGACAGCGTGCTGCCTCAACCTCTGGGAGTGCTGTCGGTGCTGTCAGCACCTTCAGGGTTCACCTCAGCTGCAGAGAGCTGCCCAGGCACCCCACATCCAACTCCTGGTTGATTTGGGGGTAAGCAAGCCCAGCCTTTTCAGCTCAGTACAGGCCAACCCAGCTGAGGCTGTTGCTGGAGCCTGACATTTCCCTGTGATCAATCCTGCTTCCTTCTTTTCCCTTCCACAGGTGTCGACCACAAGGGCACCCCAATAAACCTCCTGCACACTAAACTCCACCTCAGTGTGCTTCCTAGGGCACTCAACCTGACACGTGGAGTCACTGATACACACTGTTTCTCTCAGACCTGCTTCACAGTTGCCACTAAGATTCTGGGATGGCAAAGGAAGTGTGATGAGGAGAGAATGTGGATGAATTAAAAAAAAAACAATCAGGTATATACAACAAGATTACAAAAAATAAAAAGCCATTTTGTTTTACTATTGCTTTAAAATTTATATAATTATCAATAAGAAAATTGAAAGTACGAAAAAATTGGGAAAAAATTATCCACAGTCTGATCATACATCAATATCCAAATCTCATATCATATCCAGTTATGAAAATGGATATAAATACACATTCATAATGCAATTTTATCATAATAAAATGGAAGAAGTTCTCATAATCTGGGTTATTTCTCTTTCTCTTCTAAAGCAAAAATGCAGAAAAGTTCCATTTCAAATCATATGCTTGTGCATATGTTAAGAGTATTATACAAAACACGACAACTAAACCTTGAAATATAAATTTCTAATCATATCTTCAGTGAAACTAAACAACGTACCTGGGTGGAAAGACTGTGTTTATTCAGACCACTCTCCTTCCGATTCCTTCTCGACCCTGTTAACTTGGACAGACCAAAGCCGCTGCTGACACGAGACAGCTTGGATTGGGTGGTGGGCACTAAGGCTTCTCCTCGACTTATGCATTTCTTTTCATGGGCTGTGAAATTAAAATTACATTACTTTACAATTTCTCCACGTATCTGTCAGTCTCACTTTTAGTACTTTCGCATTACGGTTACAAACCACAATTCTGTAGTAATCAAAAGCAGCTTACGTTACAGACGCTCTCTTAGAATTACACACTGACTTGCTGGTGAGCTGGTATAAGGATAGCTGCCTGACAATTACTGTACTAGCTGAACTTACATTTGACTGAAACTTCACAGCTCTGCAATAATACGTAAATTTATTTCAACTGTAGTCAGATTCTATGTAAATAATAATTCATAATTCTCTATCTAAAATCTTTGATGCTGGGTATAACTTGGGATTTAGAATGTTTTGGATTTTAAAAAGGTGATATGGTTCATATACTGTATATTATATAACAACATCCAAGTGTCTAGGGTAATAAACTGTAATTTAACACATTAAAATTTTGCAGGAAAACGTATGAATATTCACACCAAGTGGAATAAATAAAGATAGGTTAGGTTTTGTTACCAAGTGAGTTGTGGCACCAAATTAATGAAAAAAACTTCAGTTTCAGGGCTTTTTGAATTTCAGAATTATAGATAAAGGACTGTGGACTCATAGCCAAGACCGTGAGGACACTAAAGCTGTGAGCAATGTATGATTTTCTAAACTCATAGATGCCTGATGTATAATACATCTAAGATTTTTTTTTTTTTTCCTTTTTCTCCCCAAAGCCCCCCAGTACATAGTTGTATATTCTTCGTTGTGGGTCTTTCTAGTTGTGGAATGTGGGATGCTGCCTCAGCGTGGTCTGACGAGCAGTGCCATGTCCACGCCCAGGATTCGAACCAACGAAACACTGGGCCGCCTGCAGCGGAGCGCGCGAACTTAACCGCTCGGCCACGGGGCCAGCCCCATACATCTAAGATTTTTAAAAAAATCTGAGAAGAAAAGCTACATCTCAGTATAATCATTCTAGAGCAGGTTACACTGTATGGACTTTCAATTCTACTGCCATCATAACATCCTTTTGAGAAAGTTTTAATTACATATCTAAAACGCGTCCCTATCGAACAGCCGTGTGTGCATCTCTTGGTCATGTGACATGCAGGCCTTCTTACCCAAATGATTCTGCCAGCACTTCAAACTAGCTTCTTCAATGAGCGGCCTTGCCACAGCTATGTCCACGTGGCCCCTTTCGTTCACAGGTAGAGTGACTTTGAAAAGCTCCTCCAAGACTTGTTTCTTACTATGTATCAATTCAGTCCAAACTCTGTTGACAGCTTTTATGAGAAGCTGACGCCCTAGGAAATGAAAAAAAGCAACTGATGAAAAACACAATATAAGGGTAGTTAGTATTTTTCTTCATGTTTTACATCTAAGAATTTCAACTATATTACTTAATTGTCGAAAAAATACATCATATCATATGCATATAGGTAAAAAGGATTATCAGATAACCAAAAATATGGGTGGTCACTTGGAAAACTTAAAAAAAATCTTTATATTCATGCAAAGAGACTGCATTTTTATTTATAAAATTGGAAATTACATACATATTTCATTCTCTAGCTTCTTCTATATAAGAACTTATCCCCCATTTAAAAGTAATTTTTAGATCTGAACATTTAAAGTAAGTTCAAAATTGAGTTAGTCGTTCTTGAACATTTAGCAAAAGGAAAGAAATAATAAACAAACATTTTTAAAGGGTTTTACTACTAAATTCCATCTTGCTTTGGACACCTTGCTCATTTGTCTGACTCCTGCTCTAGACCAGTCCACCTTTAGCAAGCCTCAGAAGCACCTGGAGAGCTTGTTAAAACAGATCGCTGGTTTCCACTCCCAGAGTTTCTGATTTGGTAGATCTGAGTGGGGCCAGACAATCTGCTTTTCTAACGAGTTCCCAAACGATGCTGATGTCGCTCATCTGAGCACTTCACGTTGAGAACCAATGTTCTAAACTGTCAGTTCCTTGCAGGGGGTGGGGGGGAGCGAAAACAATCACTGTGTTCTCAGTATCTGGGGTTCAAGAACTTCTGGTGAAAGAAGAGAGACTAAATTAATACTTAAATGAATGAAAGAAGGAGCAGTGGACCTCCAAAGGATAAAATCATATGCAAAACTACCACACTGTATCGCTGGGGAGACAAACACTGCCGTAATTATCTCATTGTTTTCACTAACAATGTGGAAATAAGAAATCAATCCACCCAAAGACTTTCATGCACAATACTTACAAAATCAATGGGAAAACTAAATTTAAAAAGAGAGAATAAAAAAGAGTAAAATGGTAGTACTGATACCCCATCTCAAGCAATATTTGCCTCTAATGTGATATGCCTAACACAACCGACAGGCAGCTCTCGTTATGGTTAAGTGCCAAGTTAATATCTGTACTACTAATTGTGCAAAGGTAAAAAAGGTACCATCAAGTCTTGCAGCGTTACTATGAAATGCTGACAGCTGGCAGTATTAGTGGTTAGTGGTTTTCCCACCTTGGCATAAGGAGTTGGTGCATGTCAGTGGACATATTGGTGTATGTACAGGTGTACCCTACTGGGAGACTGGTTGTCCATGTTGGCAGTTTATAAAAAGTCAAATTTTTTTGTTATGTTTTAAAAATTGGAAATGAATGAGTGGGGAAAAAGGGGGAAAAAATCAAAGTAATTACCTTCGCTAATATCTTGGCTGTAGCCACCATCTGGTTCTATGTCAGAGGGGATCATAATGTGCCATGTAGTCATGCGAGCTTCTGCTTCTAGTCCAAATCCATCCACGTTGCTGAAAAAGTCCAGTCAGTTTAAACTATTTGAAGAAAATGATAGCAGCTGAAGACTATAATGACTAGGTATTATTCCGCAGACACAAGTAAATGCGGGCTCTATCACCAAGTTCCATAACTGGCAGACAGACATTCAGCAGATGCACAAAACAGAACTTACAGTTTACCTTGAAAATGCCACGTTTAAGGTGTGGTCTCAAATCCAGCTGACTAAATGTAATTAAACTAAACTATATCGTAAGGTGAGCATCTTAATATTTAACATGCTTTTTAATCACTCAACATTTTTACCTAAAAACTACAAAAAGTTCATTTAAGAATATTCTCTTCTGTGCCTGCGCCCCATCTCCAGTCTCTCATCTCACCACTCTGCTCCGGGAGCATTTTCCCAAACACGCCATTTCTTTCTTCCCCCTGAGCAATCCCACGCATGGCTCTTCCTTCCCACATCACTCTTCCCTGTCCTCTTTGGAGGGTTAACCAGGTTCAAGATGCACCTCAGCAGGTGTTTCTTCCAGGTCAGGGGGCCACCTGCTCCCAAGGCCTCTAGCAGAGCCTCCAGCACACTGACTGGTGTCGCTTACCTGTCTGCCTTCCCTCCTAGACTGCACGCTCCAAGACCCCGCCACAGGGTCTTTCCTGCTCACATTTCATCCCAGCCCCTAATTCACGGTCTGGCCCCCAGCAGACACTAAAGAAGTAGCTGTCAAAGCAATCAATGGAAAAATACTAACTTCACGCATTTAACATATAACATTGTATTTCTTCATTGCATTCTTTTCTTTTTAACTTTCTTAACCTCCCGTCTATTTTATTTACTTTAAAAGCACACTTTCTAAAATTATACACATGACATATGGTGGTTAATAAAAAATTTAAAGATATAGAAAATTAAAGAAAAAAATACTCATTATTTCACTGCAAATATGCAACACTTGTCTTTTACCTTTTGCATGAAGTTTTAAATAACACTGAGATTAAAGGAAAAAGAAATGTTACCACCAAAAAAGTAGAACAAAGAGTCCTGGTGGAATAATATCAAAGACACAGTAATCTGAACCTAAAGGAGTTACCTTCCAACATGTAGATTGATAAGGCAGTGAGCCAGGCAGCTGATGAACTCTTGGTCGTGGTTCCCGGGCCCCAGGATCAAGTTCCTGTTCACAGTCAGGACCCGGAGCGAGTCGAGGAGAGCCACCTGCTGCGGCACGGTTTTGTGTGCCCGTGAAAACTGGTACAAGACAGTCCTGTTGAGGCAGTGGTAAACCGCATCCAGTGACAATCCCTGGGATCTTCTTTTTGACTAAAGATGCGAAAGATACTTCATTTAGTAAAATGGACGAAAAGAAAAGATCTGCTTATCACTCGCATATGAACATTAGTTTACGTACCAGATGCCATGCTAGGTCCTGGGATGCTAAGTTAAAAACTACAAAGCCCTTGCTATTATGAGGTTCCGAACCCGAGAGACACATAAACATAATTTAACGAGAAGAGGGCTATGTAAAAATACACCTCCCAGTGAGAAGAGCTGTAACACTCCCGTGGGGAGGGCTGCCCCCTGCCCCCAGAACACGAGGAAGTGCCATCTGGGTAGAGCTCCCACCACACAAGTTTTGTTAGGTTAAATGATCTCTACTCAAAATTACTGAAAAAAATTACCTAAAATCAACATTTTAGAAGTAGTGAAAAACTACTTTTGACATTCTAGTTTCATCCTCTCACTTGAGAACTTTTCTTTTTGGCTTAAATACAAATTTATCTCTTAAAAGATTCTTAGGTGACATGAAAGAACCTATGCACCATATGCTAATAAACCATAATAATAGTATTTCCTATTTTCTATATTCCGTGTTGAATAATATTAATCACTTGTGCCAAACCAGGCCAATATGGCTTAGTCAAAGGTACCACAAAGACATACTAAAATGACATCTTCAAAGAAACAAGGACTATAATGCACTTGGTAAAGATTCAATTATGAGAAGAGAATACTCCTTTAATATCAACTCTTCATGCTCTGTTAGCCTTTACACACTGATGTATTATACTGTAAAAATCTATCAAATCATGTTAACTTACTTAAACCAAAAGGAAGCTGTCTAGCTATGTGGGCAGCAAAGAGCAAGACCAGTGGGAGGCCAGTGAAAGCCCACAGCTTGAGAGAATGAGGCAACTTTACAAGGACTCACCGGCTCCAGGCTATGGGGAAGGCGGGAGGGTTACAGGTCTACAATTTTTTATTCACTTTTAATAAGCTGAACTCTATATTAAATGTTCACATTCATTGTCTTATTAGTTACACTTATTTGACACCTTAGGCAATAGGAAAACATGTACTTTACAACTAATAGTGACAATGGATTACCTGTGCAATTAGTTGAATTATAAAATCTATAAGAAGTTTAGATTCTTTGTTGAACATGCCTTGCCAAAGCTTGTCCACCACACGTTGTGTGAAATAAAACACATTGTTCACCAATATCTGGTAGCTTCCTCCACTGGTAATAGGCAGAGATGCATCTTCTCCTAAATTCCAGCAGGAAAAAAATGTCTAAGAAAATTGATATCTACCAGCACAAGACCAGATCCTCAGACAAATCAGGCTAAGGCAAAATGAGTACATCTACTACATTGAGAACTAAGACCAGGAGCTCTTAGGTACCGCTTTAAGAAAATGATGTTCACGTCTAGAAATCATGATAAATGCTAGAAGAAATAACTTCTGCAGGATACATTGAAGATTGACACTGGGAAGTTTCCTACTGCCTTAAGACAGTTGGTGATAAGCAAATGGTTCTTCAACGTAAACTGTCAGTGACAGGTGATCTCCATTTGAGAGAAAAATGAAGTCAGTTTATTAGCGGTAAATTGATTCTGTGTAACTAATAAAGGGTGAAACAAACCATCAAGCAAAACTCTATTTTGAGTATACCTTTAATAGCACTGAAGCAGCACAGGAAGAAGAGAGGTTCAGAAGAATTGGAAAATAAAGCACAATCAGTGGTGGTGGTGCCACGGGGTGCAAAACTCTTCACTTTTTGTCTTTGTGTAGTAAGATGACACTACATAAGTAAGATTCTCAAGTGATAAAAACCAATACGACAGTTTGAGCTGACATCATGATTTGCAAGTTGCATCCTAAGATAATACTAAAGATTTCTTGGTAAATTTACTTTGCAAAAAAATGATAATTTAATAGCATGGAGGTTCTAGGATTAATATTATTATCAGAACTCAAGTAGCAAATATACTAAATCTTTACTTACCCTTCTCCTTTAAATTCTATTAGTGTTTTACATATAAATGTTAGCTCCACTATAAATGTATCAAATTTTATATTATTATTGTAATTAAATAGAGACATACAGAAAAAACATTTTAATGTGTTTTGAATTTATGTCCTGGAAGCCATCCTAAGAATAACATATACATACAAACATATATATATATATACACACACACACACCCATGACCCAACAATTCCATTCATAGGTACACACTCAAGAGACATGTGTAAATATTATACACATATGTGGCCTATAGGAACAAGAATGTTTATAGCAGCTTTATTTCTAATTGTCTCCAACTGGAAACTACCAAATGTCCATCAACAGTAAAATGGATACATTTAGATATTCATATGATGATTACTAGTGATGAAAATAAATGGATTCCTGCTACATGCAACAGCATGGATAAATCTCACGAATATAATGTTGAGTGTAAGAAGCTAGACTACAAAAAATACGTACTGTATTCCATTTATGTAAAGTTCAAAAGTAGGCAGAATAGCTGTTGTTTTAGAAGTTGGGACAGTGATTCAGTGAGTAGTAACCGGGTCAGGGCGGGAGCAGAGTTTCTACGGGCGCTGGTGGTACATTTCTATCTGAGTGGTTTTATACAGACATGTCATCTGGGTGACAACTCATGGGACTCTACATTTATAATTTGTTTATTTGGATACTACAATGAATAATTTTTAAAAGTAGAAGATATTCACAAAATACAACCTGTTCACATAATACGGTTTTTAAAACTGCTTTCTTTTTCCTTGTCCTCTTCCTGCCACCCGAGTGCCCAGATGTGGACAAGCACCTTAACTTCTTCCTGCTGGTGGTTCTTTATCTCCGATTCAAAGGAAAAAGCTGGAAGGGCCTTTTCCTCATTATAGAAAAATACCAATAAGAGGGGAAAATGCATAGGAAAGCAGGAAAGAGATGAAGTTAAAAAGGAGATATACTTGTGGTTTAGATAGAGCAGGAGAGTGATTATAGGTAGTTCTATAAAGTGAAAATAAAACATAGCATTACCCAATAACACATCAGCCGCAAGCAAATGGTCCATCACACTATCCAGAATGTAAGTCTGAAATTCTTTTTGCTGAGTTCTCGTAGATCTTTCAGGGGAAGCCTAATCAATAAAATTTAGAATTAGAATCAGAACTAAACAAAGATAAGGGCTCAACCACAGCTATATTACCAAATGTATCAAAAGGATTAAAAAAACCTACTGGTAAATAATAAGGAGAGATGGTATATATGCTTACACTCGTTCTCTTTGTTTTTCTGACCATACAATTAAAAAAATTGAAGCCGAGGTGAAACATCATTGTTTGAATTCATTCCTCCAAAAGCAGTATTCTAGACATTCTAAGTATTTAATAAATATTTGATGATTTATTATTATATCCCATTTGCAAAAGAGATCTGGCAGTTTATAACGAGATACAGATGAAAGAAATCATAAAGCCATTAAAACAAATACAAAAGTTCAGGAATACTAGTAATCAAGAGGGTAAGTCACTGGGGAGGGGAATACTTATATCACAAAGTTAATTAAGCACACAATTTAGCTCTGAGCTTCCTAGGTGTCAAGGAGGAGGAAAAAAGATAATACGGTTTAAAAGCTTTTTATTATCTATAAAAAGAAGCATACTAGATGGTGAGCAAGGATGTTTTCCTAAAATTGTTCTGAGAGGAGATGTTCTTTGTGGGTTCTTATAAAGAGGATAATGAACAATCCTATAGGTAGTATTTTTGATAACGGTTCTATATAGTACAAAGATGATTTTAAAAATTATCTTGAATAAAAGCTTAGGGCACAAGGTTAAACTGTACTCTTCTGAGGGCATTTACTGGTAATTAGGGTAATATAATCCAGGTGTATAACTTTCATTATCCAACCTGAGAGGTGGATAAGCTTAGGAGTCTGGTATGATACTAGAATAATTTGGGAGAAAGTGAAGGATATGTCACGCTTTTAACCTTAATAAATTTTCCTGCGTAGTTGAACAGATTAATGCAACAGCCAGCAGGAGAGCTGTGGCCAAGGCCCTCCTCTGCTGACTGTACACCCACACCCACCAACTGAAGAGAAAGTGAGAAGTACTAAGTGATAAGAAGCAGAACGCCAGGTCAATGAGGATGACCTGGTAATCAGATCACATACCATTTTACTGAACAGCTTACTGAATTTACAAATTTACAAGTAGTTTACAATTTACTCATGAAATTTACTAAGGACTAAGGCTCCTTAGTAAGTTAAGGAGGATTTAAACACCGCTGAAGACAACAGTACACACTCAGGGTCATAATCAGTTCAAAGTGGTTAATGGCATAAATAATAATGAAGAAGGTTTATCAAATCTCAACTAGACAAAGTTTAGGAGTCTGAAAGACAGAGGGACCACAGTACATAGAGAAGTAGCTTGACCAATCAAAATATTTATTTTTACTTAATTAAAAGAGATTCTTCTGTATTCCATAAGGATTTAAGACTGGCTTAGTCACCAACAGGCATTTAATCCTGATTCCTCTCACTGAAGCTGTTCCCCCAGTGATCATGACCCAGAATTTACACTTGTTATTGGCCCTAACTGCCAAGTTCAAATGTTCTTGCTGAGATATATGATATACAGTAGCCTAACTTCTAAAGGACTTAAGATTTTACGAATGCATGTATAGTTGTCTCTGAGGCTTTTTTTTAAACAATTCATTGGACTACTCTTATGTACCAGACACAGTGCTTAGTTTTGTGTACACTATCTCATTTAATCCCCAAAATATCCCTTTGAAGTAGGTTCTGTCATTCCCATCTCAGAGATAAGGTGACTGATGGTTAGGGAAGAAGTCACTTGCTCAAGTCACAGCTGGGATTCAAACCTCAGTGTCTCGGATGCCAAAGTTCACGGCCTCACCTGCTATACCATACTCTTGCAGCTCTACTAAAAATCTCCACATTGAAGCTAGCAAATGCACAGCAAGAGCAACTCTGCTACAACCTCCTCGTCAGTTTTTTAGAGAAAGCTGGCTGGCCCACCAGACAACCGGGATGAGTTCAGGGCAGAATGAAGACACGGTAAGCACTAGGATCTGCTCTGGCCTCTGGCTGTCACATCTGTCTTCCCAGTGAAAACAGTGAAGCCAGTCAACGTAAGTCTTCAAAGTATCACAGCCTCCTTTTTTGAGGCCTGGGGACACCATGCAGAATCTTGGTGCATACAGGCCAGACAGCCCACGGGCATGTGCTGCCCATGCTGAGAGCAGGAGGCTCTGGGAGGAAGGTCTTTGGTCCTCTGCTCTGCTTCTGCGATGGGCTGAAGCCTTTAAAGAAGAGGACTGTGAGTTTCCTGGTTCTGACAGCAGTATCCCTCTTGGCTGATTTCTCCTCTCCGTTATTTTATAGTGCTCTCTTTGCCCACTTTTGTCACTTTTTTTCCTTATTTATTTCCCTGTAGTCACCCAGGGTGAGTTTCACTCTGATGTGAATGGGGAGGTCTTTTTAAAGATGGTTGGAACAGGGAGTAGTAATTCCTTAGACGATGGAAAATTGCCTACGGTACGAGACAAGCACACACTCCATTCAGTCCCCTTAGTTTCATTATTCTTCCTTCAGGGGTCAACAAATACTTTTTCACCTGTTCTTGTATACTTTCCTTCCACTGCCATGGTGGTATTCATGTGCAGCAAATTCACTTGGCCCTTCATAAGAAGTCTGGCGGTGACAGCAGAGGACACCGATAAATGGGAGCTGGGAGAAGAGTCACTCCTCACCCTCGTAAGAGCCACCATAGGCCACTTAATTTCTTGAGTAAGTCTTATGTTCCAGTCACTGTGTTACAAATCGTAAATGTAACATCTTATTTAATTCTCACAATAACCCTCAGAGACAGGTTCTAATATTACATCATTTCAAAGATGGGCAAACTGTGATGGGTAAAGAGAACTGAGCTTGTCCAAGGTCATCCAGGTAAAACCAGCCCACATTTAGTTTCCCAAAATAGTTTTTGCTTGGTGATTTACATCTATTTAACTCACACAGCAATCCCGCAGGGGAGATAGTATATAATATTCTTCTCCAGAGAATGAATTTAGCTCGGTGAGAGAAAAATGCTTATATAATGAGCAACAGGGCCAGAAACCAAAACAAGTATTTCTCACTCCCAAACCCATGCTCTTTCTATTACACCACACTGCCTCCCTAGTCTTTGGCTTCAGCGTCACTCAAGCCACTCTATATGCAAGGGAATTCTTTATTTTTATAGACTACTACTAAAGATAATGTCACACATTCTTTTATAGATATAATCAAGCAAGTAGATATTCTTATGATGAAATTCCTACAATCATACAAGACTGAAGATGGCCTCGATTGAGTTTAAGACACTGAAAATCAGTTGGTTTAAGCCCCTTTCTTTATGTGGCTAAGTGGTAAATCGATGTAATAATTCTCTTCATGAAGTTCCTCAGAGATAATGACTTCATAATCATAACATTTAACATCATATGCTTGTAATTTATTGTTTTACACCATAGGGAGACATGGAGTGCAACAGTATTTTCACTAAATATCTTTTGTATGTGTATTCTGTATGTGTGTATTAGACTTGAAGTTCCTCAAAGTATTAAGTACTTTTTATTTCTATTTATTTATTTTTTTTGCGAGAAAGACTGGCCCTGAGCTAAACTCTGTTGCCAATCTCCCCCTTTTTGCTTGAGGAAGACTGTTGCTGAGCCAACATCTGTGCCAATCTTCCTCTATTTTTCATGTGGGATGCCACCACAGCATGGCTTGATGAGCAGTGTGTAGGTCGGTGCCTGGGATCTGAACCTGTGAACCCCAGGCCACTGAAGCAGAGTGTGCAAACTTAACCACTATGCCACTGGGCCAGCCCCTCAAGTTACTTTTTAAAAGCAAATTTGTATACCCCTTATTAGGTGGTATCATATTTCCCTGTTTGGGAACTGCCAGGGATGTAGTGATAGTTAAATGATTCAAAAATACTTAAAGAACACACCAGGGCATTGCGCTAAGTTTGCGAGAGATAAAAGGACATGTGAAAGTTGGGCCCTAACTTTGAGGAGTTTATAATCTACCTGGAGTTTCCATCTTGACACTCCCCGCTTCTCCCTGAAATACAACCCTATCACCCAGACTGTACAAGAAGACACAACTCCACTGTAGGCAAGTCATGCCCGCAACAAAGCGAGCCTTGTGGGTAACACACGGTATATCCAACTTTCCTTCCCAAAACGTACAGAAAACCAAAACAAAGGACAATTACATGCTTTATCTGTGGTTAGTTATTAGGGTGCCTACAAGATTGAAAATGCTATTACTAGAAACATATACTCACCTCTTATCTTCCGCATACGTGTATTTTATTTTTTTGGCTCAGTTATGCTTTGTTGCACACACCTCTTCTGACCTTTATTCTCTTATTTTCTGATTACCATTTCATTTTGCATAGAACGCTTCAAATTCTTACCCAATGCACTAAGATAATGGCCATCTCTCACTATTAAAGTTTCCAAAGACGGCAGGCTCTAACCAGGCATGCTTTTAAATTCTACCACACGGATTAGGCATGAAATCAATTCTTTTTCTGCCAATATTCAACACTGTGGTCCTGGGTAAAATGCTTACTAGCATTACCAGTATCTAAATTACATCAGTGATTTCTTTTAATTGACCTAGGATGTTTTCACATGAATAAGAAAATATCTGCTGTGGTTTTAAGGTTTAAAATAAAGTTAACTGTATCAGCCACTAGAGGGAGCAGAGGGAGCACAGGCTCAGCTGTCAAGCTGCTGAGAGCAGGGATGACGCTCCTCAAAGGGAGAAGCACTTGGTCCTCTGCACTGACTGAACCTTTCATAAAATGTGTTATTTTCAGAGCCCCTGGCACCTATGTACTGCTTGACCTTGTTCATATGAACTGGCCAAAAGAATATTAATGTATAGGCAACAATTATAAATGAAATTCTCTTTCTGGGATCTTTCAGTTTCTCTTGAGACTTTTCTAGGTAAATATTTGGTTTCAGGGATTGCCAATTTCTAGAGCCAGCAGTGTGGCCACTTAGGGCTCATTTTCTGATGCATCAGCTGATTCCTATCATTTATCAGGAGAATGGGCAAGGACAACGGACTAAATGTTTGTGTCCCTCTCAAATTCATATGGTGAAGCCTGAACCCTCAGTGGGACGGCATTCAGAGGGGGAGCCTTCAGGAGGTCATTAGGTTTAGACAAGGTCATGAGGAGCCCCCATATGGGATCAGTGTCCTCATAAGAAGTGGAACAGACACGAGAGCTCTCTCTCTGCCATGTGAAGGCAGCTGTCTGCAAGGAAGGAAGAGAGCCCTCACCAGAACCCGACCAGGGTGGCATCCCAATGTCAGACTTCTCAGCCTCCAGAACTGTGAGAAATAAACATCTGTTGTTTAAGCCACTCAGTCTGTGGTACTTTGCTAGAGCAGCCTGAGCTGACTAAGCAAGCAACCTACAAACTTGCTGCCTTAGGGAAAACTCACTAAGTGCACATGAGCACCCACTATGTGAGACACACCATGTCTTAAGCTGCACAGGATACTAACAGCAATGATACCTGGCAACGACCTGTAAGAGGGACTGAAACAGGAAGTTACAAGGTGAGGAGACAATGTAGCCATAAATGTCCAGGGAAGGAGTTGGCACACTAAGGCTTGTGGGCCAAATTCAGCCTAAGCCTATTTTTGTAGATAAAGTTTTACTGGAACACAGCCATGCTCATTTGTTTATGTATTGTCTATGGCTGCTTTCTAGCTACAGTGGCATAGTTGAGTAGTTGTGACAGACTGTACAGCCTAGAAGGCTGAAAAATAATTACTACTTGGCTCTTTACACAAGAAGATTGTCAATTCCCGGCCTAGTGAAAGGGTGATAAAGGACTGAATTAAGGACATGCTTGTGGAAATGGAAAGAAGAGAAACTAACTGATAGTGCCTACAGCACATCTGGCATAAAACACTCCCCCAGCCCATGATATGTTCTGTCTGCACAACCCAGAAGAATTAGAAATCTGAAAGGTATGTGGCAGAAAACTTGCTTGGTTATTAATGTTCTATTTAAAAAAACAATGCAAAAAAGATGCAAATGCATTTCTTTGTCTTTACCTCCAACAGAAGATCAATTAGTGGAGTCTGCTTGCTGGCCGGGGTAAGACAGAGGTTGTCTATTATCAAGACCCGCATGAAGTCAAACACAAACTTCTTAGCTGGGTGATTGGTCAGATAGGTCTTGACGCCCACGTTGCAGTACTCCGACTGGCTTCTGTTCATCCCTGTGTCCGCAGCAAAGGCTTTAAATTCTTCCGCTGGAGATCCAACTTCATCATCGAGATCAGTCACCTAGTAGAATCAAGTGGAAAGATACGCTAGTCACATCTGATTTTGATGTTTTTACTTCCATATTTCCCAAAAAACAAACTATAGCAGCAACAGTATTTTCCCTCAGATTTACCTACAATTTAACTATTCAATGAATTATTTCACTCTGCTCTATTTGACCCCTGCTTTCGAGGTAGTAATCGGGCACCATGTGTCATGCATGGTTACTCAACATGTGCTCTTCTAATATTAAACTAATGACTGGCCACTAACAAGATATCTGTTTTATGTTGAATTTTATCTCTATTGTGGGTAACTGCACTTAAAATAAATAAAATAATAAAATAAGAAAGACTATATTTGCGTATGTGAAATCTACCTACTGAGACGTCAAATATCACAGAATTACAGATAAAGAGCTGGTACAATAGTAGCATTTAACGGCTAATCAATTTTTGCAGGTTAAAAAAACCCCAAATAAACAAAACAAAATAACAATAAAACTAGTGCCAACTTTGAGCCAATAGAAAAAGAAAGAAGGACTAGAAGACAGATTACAAGATGCTGACAAGGAAAAGACACTGAGATATGACCGAAGGTCAGTTTTTACCAAAATCCAGGATTTTAAAATTATAAACAAGCCAGGGTGTTAAGGTCATGTGTTATACTTGTCTTTCTTCTAAAAATCCCCATAACTTTAGAATTCGAGTATTTCACCTTTATACATGGAGAAAAATTTTATGAAGAAGGTGGTTTATTCCAAGCCCTAAAGTGGTGGTGGAAATAAGAGGAAATATCACGAGATTATGAAGTACTGGGGAGGAATAACTGTCTTTGGGCTTGTTTTAAAGGAAAAAAGAAGTATCTAAACTATATATGATTATAGTCTAATAACTTTCCATTAAATTAGTGCAAAATAAGAAAAATAACAGTTGAACCAAATTAGAAAAGTTGAGCAGAAAGGACAAACATTTCATTTTTTATAAAGAAAACCAGTCCTATAATTAATTTATAAAGACGAAATTCAAGAAATGCAAAATTCATGAAAAAAAGTAGAAATAAATGTGATCTGACTAGAGTTCTGTAAGCTAGAAATCACATTTCACAATTGCAGAGCTGGCATTGCATAAAGTAAGAAATGGATGCACCACTGCTTGGAGAGGGAAGTTACTAACAAGGGCCTTAGGAGAATATCGTAAACGAAAACAGGGAGTCGAAGGCACTGTTCTCCTCAGGGAAAGCAGGAGAGTGTGAGGAGAGGGACACAAGATGGTGATGGAAGAGTAGAAGCAGAAAGTTGGGAAACTGTAACTTGGTCAGAAGCTTAAAAGACTTGAAAAAAAAGGTCCGATAACCATTGGAGCAGACTAATTGCAGTTTTGCCATTTTCCTCCCCCTTTCCTACCATCTCTGAGTAAGGGCGAATGTTGAAGGGGAAGACCGTGGCTGCTAATGCGCACAGGAAATCAGGGCTCATCCACATGGAGGCCAGGTCGGGAACGTTGTGATACAAGTATCTAAAGAACTGCATCAGCGTCACAGGGTACTCTCGGAGCCAAGAGCCCTCTTCTTCTGATTGCCAAGGCTGTCATGGGGGCAAGAAGAGAAATACGTTAGAGAAACTGATCCTGCTAAAAATTATTTTAAAAATCCATTCCTCACTACTCTCCTAAAACAGCACATATTGATGGTCCAGGACTCTTTTATGAACCACACACATGAGCAAACACACAGGCAAACAAATCCACAAATAAGCTAAAACAAAACAATACCCTAGAAACTGACGAGACGTTTGTCTATTCATTGAAATACTCACAGCTCAATCACTAGAGTCAGTGGTTTTGATTATTTATCATTATCAACATGAGTATAGCTGGTGCCAACAGTGGCTGTATTACTGTCAAAGGTGCCCCATCCTCCATCATGCCAGAGTTAGGAGTAAGATAAAAGATGGGGAAGTTACTTCATCTTTCTGAACCTACTGTCATACGCAAAATGATGAGAACAATGCTCTTCACCATTATCAACTGTGATATATAATAAGAAATATATATTCTGTCTTTGTCCCATTCCTGGCACAGAGCTAAAACCCTTGGAATGTCCTAAGTGATCAGAGCCATAAATACGTCTTTTGTCAATGATAATGAGCCCCCTTCCACACCAGGGTTTAGGTTAATGAGGTGACTTTTGAAAAGCCTCTAAGGATGAAGACTTGCCAGGGGAACCAACCCGTGACTAGATGGTTGGAACTTAACCTAACCCTCTCCCCCACAACCTCCATGGAGGGGAGAGGGGCTGGAGATTGAGTTCAATCACCAACGACCAATGATTTAATCAATCATGTCTGTATAATCAAGCCTCCACAAAAACCCCAAAGCACAGGGTTCTGACAGCTTCTGGGTTAGTGAACATGTGGAGGTGCTGGGAGAATGGCAGGATGGAGAGGGCATGGAAGCTCTGCGCCCCTTCCCACATACCTCGCCCTATGCATCTCCTCCATCTGGCTGTTCCTGAGTTATGTCTTTTTATAATAAACTGGTAATCTAGGAAGTAAAATGTTTTCTTGAGTTATGAGAACCTCTGATTTACGGCCGGTGAGTCAGTAGCACAGGTATCAACCAGGACGTGTGGCTGGTTTCTGAAGTGGGGGTGGGGCAGTCTTGTGGGACTGGGTCTGAGCCCTGAGCCGGCGGGATCTGATGCTATCTCCAGGTAGACAGTGTCAGAACTGAACTGCACTGTGGGAGACCCAGCTAGTGTGGCAAAACCTCCCATGTATTTGGTGACCAGAAGCGGCAGCGGTGAAGGAGTACGGCAGCAGAATATCGAATAGAGGAGACACACAGGAGAGTGCTTTCCCTTACGTTATACAACAGTGATGATGACGATTAAAAAATAACAATGAAAGAATATATCTGAACAATGCTTATCTTCTGATACTTGCTCAGAGAGTGGCTGTTTTTATCTTAGATTTTTATATTTGTTTATGTATAGGAACCAAAATAAGAATCCCAAAGCATTCTAAATTAATACATTTAATAGTAATGTTCTTTTCTTAGATGTCATAAGAATAGTTTTGACTAAAATTAGATTTGTCAGGCACTTGTAACCCAAAGAATCTAGTTAATAATTCCTCTTACAATGTGATCCTAAATTGTATAAACGAAGTCATTACTCACAGTATTCCTGTAAGATAGATAGGAACGTATATTTTGTCATTTATTCTTTCAATTCTTCATATCCAAGTTAGAAATAATTAGAATAAAGAACAAAAAAAAATATACAAAATAAAACTTGCACTGAAAACATTTTTAACCCCTAAATGAAAGTCATTTTAAAAGTTCAAATAATATATTACTGCAATCACATGTGCTACAATATGTCCATTATATACATGTACACATGGTAATATATATTTTATAACACTAATAATATCAGTTAACCCTTACCAAGTGCTTACTATATACCAGGCATTCTTGTAAGTGCTTTGGGCACATACTAACTCATTAAATCCTCACAACAACCCTAAGAGATAAATTCTATTACCACCAGCATTTTATCCCTGAGGAAACTGAGGCATATAGAGGTTAGTGTGTCTTAAGAACCAGAGATGGGATTTGAACCCAGGCAGGGCTTCAGAGTCCATGGTCTTAACAACTGTTCCTATGTCACGTTAGAGATAACAGAACGGAGAGGCTGAGGTTCCAGAGACCACGGAGAAAATAAACAGTTATGTTACCAAAGGATTCCTCTATTTTAACAAAATATCCCAGGCAGGAGAAACCATCAACAGGTGTCATTATCCCAGAAAACTTACTGAATTCAGCATGCTGCGGAGCATTCCCAGTAATAAAAAAGCAGCTTCTGTGCACACATTATGGATAGAAGAGACCACAGTTCCACTGGAGGCAGGAACTCCAAAGATAAATGTCCAAATGGAATCTAAATCAAACTGCAGAGGTGAAAGTGAATCAGATTAGCCATTGTCAATTTTTTCCAGTAGAGATGAGACCCTCCTAAGTTCTAATATTCTGAAATTCCTTTGAAGCTAATTAATTTTTTCCCCAAAGTGAGTACTGATAAAGAGGTGGAGACCTAGTACTCCCCCTCCCGTATTTTAAAACTCATTTTTACATTTATAAAAAAAAGTGGATACTATGTATCCTCCTGTCTTAAGTACTATGTTAAAAACACTGTTTTCCACTTTTTTCTCTGAAGAAAACAAACAAAAATAAAATACATGCTAATTAGCCAGGAGATGAGATTACAGAACTGACGATTTTAAGCAGGATCTTTTGGAAAAGCATGTTGAACTCACTTTTTTCCCCACTCTCAGCAATGTTCCCATTCACTTTTAGATTACGTACAGATAAGATTTGACAAAATAAAAATCAGTTTGAGGAGCTTTATTCATAGCAGTTTTACATAACACTTAGGAGTATGGTGTCAAGCTTATTTTGAAAAATTACATAACCAACCAAACTCTGCTAAGCATGAATCTGTATTTTGATTCAGTGTAAGGGTAGAGACTCAGTGCTTTCATTTAAAAGGTTTTGTCAATTACTAGAATTGATTTGAATAGCATTTGACACTATGATGGAAGTATAGCTGAGTTTACAACTAAATGCCTAAGTCTTTGCAGTGCCAGAAACATAAGATCTACACAGATATCCACAGTAGTCTTCAATTAGAAATCAAGTCAAGTCATGCTGCTTTCCTAAAGTGGACGTCATCTATCACTGAGAAATTAGAAACATTTTTCTAATTAACTTGCACTAGGAATCCTGTCATACCCACACACTAATTTATGGTATATATACCACTCTCTTCAGTTTAATTCTACAGAAATTAAATTATGTTTCTGGACAAAATCACATCAAAGAATTCTTCAGCTCGCCCTTAAAATATCATCCAAAGTCTTTAGGCATATATAATCATATAGAGTAACCACATATACATAGAAATGACCAAACAGGGACAAAAGACTTTTTGGGAAAATTTTCTATGGTATTTGCAGATTTTTCTGCCCCAAGTCAAAGGCTAAATGTGAGAAAGGGATGGAATCAGTTGGTTTTACTGTGATTTACCCATTACCCTATGGTGATTTTGGGGGCACATGTAATTACTTACACCTACTAGGTAATTCCTACCTGGCAACCCTGCTTACATCGGCTGCTGCTGACAGGCACACTGACCTGCAGGTTCTCAGGCAGCTCACTAACTGGCTGCTGCAGAAACAATGCCATGAGGAGAAAATAGAGGGCAGGGACATTAGTGTGTTTAGGGAGGAAGGACTGAAGAACTGGAAAACCAGGAAAATGACAAGCATCCCGGTTAATCTCCCTGACTGTCGATCTCCCACCAGCACTCCTGCCCACATTGAATCCTAAGAGAAGAGGAAATATAATAAATACAAAATTAATAACCGATTACCATCTGCATTAACAAAGAAGAGAGTAATTCAATATATGTCACATTTCTATCCAGAACATTCATATTAAATAGGCAATTAACTATTCAATTGTTGAATTAATCTTTTAGTCAAAAGTTTTCTTTATTACTCTGACTTTAGCAAGGCTGTCTATTAGGACACAGGTCTTGAAACATAGCTGAGGCAATCAGATATGAGAGGTAATATAAATTCTACTCATTAAAAAAGAATGACCTCAAAAGAGCTCTAACATTTCCCTAAGAAGAAAGTAAAATTCAAAATATAGCCAAAATTTAGGATGCTACAAAAACGTAACTTAAAAATATAACTTCTATAATGTAGCTAATACATTTCATTTGTTCTGAAAATGATGATAAACTAGTTAAGGTTAAATTATCTGTGAATTTAGAGACAAGACAAAATGAATAACCAAAACAATCTTTCCTCACAAGGTGGTCTGTGATTCTGTTGGAAAGCTGTTTGGTAGTGGGACAGCAAATCCGAGCCCACCATGATTGTGGTTATCTGAACATCCAGAGTCCTTTCTAGAAACACAACTCTACCAGGAGATGGTCACTGCTTACTGATGTGGCTTACAGCATCATCCTGTCTATCAATCCTGTTTCCTCTGTTATATGACAACTTTCAGCATACAACTCAAACATTTAGTTCTTTCGCCACTCCAAACCTGTGACAGCACTCAGCACAGAAGGAATGCTGGCCAGAATGTTCAATGGAATTTTCTGAACAGTAAACAAGAGATGAAGCATTGATTTCTACTCTGAAGCAATTTTCACTTCAAAAGAATATTCACATTTTTTTCCAACTTCTTTTTTCTAGGATGAAGTAAGCACATACTTGCTAATTAAAATAATCAAAAAGAAATTTGTATCTAGGTGGCTTTTTAAATATTTCATCCTAACCAACTGCTCAATGTGATGTGAATTACGAAGTATGCTCTTCTAATTAACAAAAAACTGTACAGCAATTTACCAGTCTCTTTCATAGATCATCTCATTTCTCAAATACGATGAACACGTGAGTTAGAAATCGCTATTACCCTTTTTATGACATAGAAAATATGTGACTTATTCAAAGTCGTAAAGTTAATGAGTGGCGGCACCTGAACGTGGAGCCTGCTGCCCCTATTCAGAGCGTGTGAGGTTATGCTGTCTCCCCTGGTCTGAATGACATCGCCACAGTTTTGAAAGACTGGCTGCCTCAGGACACTGCGTGATTTTTGTTTATAGTAATTCTAAATGAAATTATGAGCATAAAAAAGTCTTGAGCTCATACATTAAATAGGAAAATAAATTTTGATTAAACTACAGGTCCTAAATGAAAATCAATACTAGCAGTCATTTTCCTTTCTAAATTCTCACACTTCATTTTTCCCAAAAATTAATCTTAAGGAACACTTAATATATTATTAACAATTACACATTAATTTAGCTTCAATTTACAGCGACATGGAAGGTATTTTTATACAGAAAAATTTGACAGAAACTAATAAATGTGAATAAAACATTCAAAAACATTAGGTTGCTCATCAGATGAAAGAGAAATAGAATCAAATGAGATGTGTGTATATATATATAATAGATATCTGTATACACACATACATATGTATGTATCAGACAGATATTCAGGGAAAATTAAATTCAATTGAATCAAATTTAAATTAAACTTAAATTAAATACCTAGATTTCTCTTTTAGAACAAGAGCAGCATATGCAATGTGTAGGCAGGTATCAATGAAGGACAAATAAATTTGAAGAAATGAAGTCAGGTAGATCTGATATGGTAAAAGCATTTTTTCTGATATTACTTAAGTGATGTAGGACTGACAAAAGGACAGGACTAACAGTCAGAAGACAGACACTTAGACACTATTAATGTCTGCCTCAGGAATCTTATGCATGTAACAGTCTTACCTTCCTACTTAGAGAAATTAATCCTTAATTTATATTTATTAGGTTTACTTTCTATAAAATATCTTATACACTACAAAATATATACCTGTCTCCAGAATCATGAAGGCCAAATGAGATGATATATGCAAAAGAATTTTGCAAACTGCAATGTGCTATATGAATCTTAGGTGTTATTACACTGTGGTTTTTCACCTTCAATGAGAAGCTGTCAATTAGCATTTAAACTCTCATATTCAATAGAATTCACATTCAATTGTACCTTTCATTATTTATTCTCTTAGTGGCTATTATTAAGGTTATTAAGCTAAATTCTTGCTACCAAACTGTTCATAATAATAACATTTGTAGCTATATCGCTCCCTCAGAGTCAATGCAAAATAGTGATTTATCTTTCAGATCATAAAAGCATTTATAACAATAATAATTTAAAATGCATATGTTAAAGCAGAGAATTTTCTCGAGAAATCACTTCACAGTGAATTTCCTTCTTCATCACACACAAAGTTTCTGCAGACATTTTCCACGTGTGAAATAACAATGAAACAATCCTAGGTTGTGAGCTCTGTCTTTCTATCATTTGCTTTAATAGAGGAAGCAGTACAGGCAGCACCCAGGTATTGATACGTTCACTTTCTTCTTAAAACAATAAACTACATATTAAATTCTGATCACTAATTTTCCCATCTGACAAGGGTAAATAGATATTCTTGATGCTTGTTGCAGAATACAATTATATCTACTTTTAAAATGTAATGTTATAAAGACAAATATATTTTTTAAATACTTTAATAACTGAATGACTGTAATTTTCAGTAAAAACATTATCTTAAATATATATTTTCCAAAATAAGGTCATGAATATGAATAGAAATATACCAGTTCAAATGAATCTAAAATAGAAAACTATTAATTTTCTAATATTACTTAATGCTCAGTTCCATGTTTAAAACAGCACAGAACTACTGAGCAGAGAATAAGGAGCTTTGCCTGAAACTCTGAACTTAAATCCTTGAGAGGCCATATAACAGACCCATTGAAAGCATGGGCTTTGGCCTCAGAAGACCTGGATGCAAATTTTGATACTTCCTAGCTGACAAGTGACTCCACCCCTATTCCTTGACTTTCTCATCTGTAAAATGGGTATGACAGTATTTATACCTCATAGGATTATTGTGAAAATGAATGTGTTTAGTAACCGGCACAGAATAAACACTCAAAATATTGGTTATCATTATTAATTCAGTTCTGATAATTTGTTACGTATTTACTTATAGATCAGAAAGGGAACAACACAACAAAAAGACCATAAGGAATTCTCTTGAGTTTTCATATCTTAATATCCTGTCTCTGACTTTGGTTTAATTTGCAACTCAAAAGCCAAATTTGAAACTTTCTAAACTTTTTACTCTATCATTAATTAAAATTCCTAACTCTTCATGGTTGTGAGATAAACTGAGGAGTATAAGCTTACATAAGATTTAAACACCAAACACAACAGCTTATTTTAAAGCAGCTGACTGTAACAGTCCCATACCTAACACTGTTCCGATCTTATTAGTTAAGACAGCATCTGTCTGTTCCAGCCACCCTCCACCACTGAGTCCTTCTTTAAACTTGATGAGAATAGACTGATTACTCAGCAGGACGACAAGGATCCTCATGGCTGCCGTAACTGTGGTGGAATGCAAGTGTTCTTCCATAAACATCATAATCCAGTCAAAACCCAGGGTCTTGACCAGTTCTTCACAAGCTCTATTTAAAGACAAATGGATTAAAAAAACAAAATAAAATATTAATTTCATGGATTATGATTTCAAATTAAAAAGAAAAATATGACTAGGTTCTGTTCTTGACATACTACAAATTTCAAGCTTAAAAAATATCTATTAGAAGTCAGTGGCAATTCTTTCTTTTGTCTGCTATGAATTAACCAGTAACAGCAACTGGTACCATGAATTCTAAAAAGATTTTACTTACTGCAAATTAATGCTTGTCTTTTCTTTAGATGTGTAAACTAGTTTTAGCAAGATATCTAGAAGTCTGTTCCTCAAAAGAATAAGATTGGCAGATACAAGACCACCAAACTCTTCTTCAGTTCCTACAATGAAAATAAATACATTAAATTACCCTAGCAGATAAACCAGGACAAAATCTCCAACACCGTTCTAGAAAATCTCACTGAAAAATACATCTTTTAGAAAAAATTTTTTCTAGGAGTACTTTCCATTAAAGTGGACAAGAAAAAAGGTCCATCTCTTTAGAATCCTGAAAATTGTTCCATTATATTTGATATTATCTAAACAAGTGATAATAAAGGCTGTGAACCCTTTTTTACATTCATATTCCCCTCCCCTCCCAACATGAATCTTCTAAACACAGGAAAGATTTTATTTTTAAAGTAAATTTTACACCCTATTAAATTCTGTAAGGAATTTTGTATTTCTGCAGATTGTACAGGCCTGATTTAAGACAAATATATCTGTGAAAAACCAGAAGAAGTAATGTAAGGAGAAAAATAACAGAATAGTATCACATATAATTCAGGTTTAACTAGTGCCAGAAGAAAACAGGGAATGTAATTAGTTTTCAAGCTCCAGCATTGACTCACCAGTGTCAAGCTTCTCTTCATTCTTTATTTCCATAATGACAAATTTTTCACAAACTGCAAAGGTTGGTAAAGTAGAAGAAATAAACTGGCCAAACCTTTATATACAAGAAAAGAAAGATTACAGATTTTATTTTTTCCCTCTCCAAAACAAACAATAAAATGTGAAGAAACAAAAAAACAAAAAAAAAAAAGAAAAAAGTACTTCTTATTTTAACTATCTTTTACAGATCTCTAGTGATTATATGGTTTATTTCCCCAGAACCACTGCAATTAACATTATATGTGTTACAATGTTTTAAAATACAGAGAAAAATATGCTTCTCCAGAAGTATGAGTCCTTTAATGCACTAGCTCAAATGACTTCAAGAACCGAACAGCATGATCCAAACTAAAATGTCCCAACATTATCTGTACGGATCCACCGAAGCCTCGCAGTTAACAACTCAGGCTTAGGAACACAGGTAAGTGGGAAATCCCGGCTCTGTCAATTGTCAGTCCTCTTACTTGGGGCAAGTAGCTTAACCCCTCTGGGACTTAATTTCTTAATTTGTAAAGTAGAGAAAAATAAAAAACTTGATAGGTTTCAGTGGTAATTTTAGCAAAGTGATCATTATAGCACGAGGATAAGATCTAAATAAATATTGCAAACAACAATCATCATCTCCAAAATAAGTGTTAAACTCCAGTCTTAAATCTGTCACCAAGTGAAAACAATGTTTTCAAGGTAAGAGAATCTAACAGTGAGTGATTTACATGCTCTACAGTTTAGGGACTAGTCTCCTGGGATTGCTCTAATGACTAGGGTGGTTTGACCTGTGTTTCCCGGGAGATTACATGAAAAGTGGTAGTCAAGTCCAGTTTAAGCAATTCCCTACCTGGAAAATACTTAGGCTGGGTAGTTTTTTTTCTTCCATTTTCAGTTAAGATCTGAATTATCATGTGAATATTAGAACATTTCTACAGATAGTCCATAAATATGTCTTAAGCCACATTTTACATTAGCAGCAAAATAATACATCATATAAAAGGTTTGAATATGTTAAAAAAAAGGTATCATCTGTCTGGGTGACAGCGAATAGATCTAACAGAGATGGCACGCCCACTCCGGGTGTGTGTGCTTGTGCACATACACTTGAGAAGCAGCAGGGCTTGGGGAAGAGGGATGAGTTTCCTACAGTGAACACTTTTATGTCCAGGACAATCAATCTTATTGGGCTTATTCCTACAACTATTCTCACCAATATTCTACTATTTACTAGTGGCAACAATTGGCTTTGCTTTATAGAGGCAAGAGACTGAGACACGCATGTTTTCCGTGCCTTCCAGATATCTTGAACTGTATTAACATTACACACAGGCATAGGAACCAATTACACTCATCTCATTCATGTTAACGTCACTGGTACTTTTAGTTAATAAAGAGACAAATACAGAAGTTGTCACTACCTGAGCAGATCATTGCTGTTGGGAAAACCTTGCAGTAAGAAGCTCAGCACATTACTAATAGCAGCAATGGTAGGCTGGGATAAAGACATATCTCGAAGAGTCAGTAGCAGCTTTGGGATTAGCTGGAACTCCCTCATTAATTTGGCATTCTTCGAAGCTTCACTATAAGAAAAAGAAGACTTTATACACTGTACTCTCATCCCTTGTATAAATGAACAACTGACTACATAGGTATTAACTAATACCTGGACTCTGTGAGCAGTTCAATAAAGTGTTCAAATAAGGAAAGATGAAGTTCATACGGTGCATGGAGCCAGACCTACAACAAAAATAAAGAATAGTGATATATTTGCAGTTAAAAAAATACCCAAAATGCCAATCCAACAAACACAAATGCAGCACATGGAACATATTTCACTTATATAATTAATTGAACATAACTACTCTATTAATTTATATTTGGTGAAACCCTTTAAAACTCCTTGCATATAGAACTTCTGGTTCTGTTCATAAAGGAGTAACTGCTTATGGAAATTACTCTCCTAGAGTAAACAACCATAAAGGCAAGATCTACAGAAAGTTTCCCTGGAATCAAGGTATTACTGAATACTGAATATAATATACCGAATAGAGTTAATACTGAATGCTATATACTGAACACAAACACTGAATGACTGGAATCTTGTGTGGGGTCCAAAACCGGAAACAACCACTGTAAATAGTAGATCAAACAATTCCTGGAACTCACACAGGGCTGAGACTAGTCTGCATTCTCAGCAACCAGAGTGTAGAGACTTCATAACACATGCAGAGTTGGGTAGAGGTCTCAGAAGTGTAATAACCTTAATAGTGGGGATAAATTAGCACTAGACTGAGGGTTACTCTAGGTCCAGCCTAACAAAGTCTAAAAGCATTTTCAAAAGGATCAAGATACCTGCAATGCCAGAGCAAAGTTCAATAGTTTTTAAAAGGAATACAACAAAATCTAGCACTCAACAATGTAACATTTAGCCTCTCATCAAAAATTTCCAAGTATGCAAAGAAAAACGAAAATGTGACCCATAAGTAGGAGAAAAATCAACTACTACAAATAGCCCAGAAACGACAGAGATGATGGAATTATTAGGAACTTAAAAAGCTATTAAAAATATGCTCCATGCACTAAAGAATGTAACAAAAAATATGAACATGATGAGGAGAGAAACAGAAGATAACCAAACATCCAAAATGAACTTCTACAGATGAAAAATAAAATATCTAAAATGAAAAATATAATGGATGGGAATAACAGCAGATTGGACACTGCAGAAAAAGATTCAGCAAACTTGAAGACAAAACAGTAGAAACTACTCAAAATGAAGCATGAGATAAAATTCTAACAAGAAATTACTAGATGAGTATTAGTGACTGTGGGACAACATCAAGCAATCTAAGGCATGTGTAATTGGAGTCCAGAAAAGGTTGAGGGGAGGACACCAGGAAAAATAGTTGAAGAAATAATGGCTACAACATTTCCAATTTAATGAAAATGACAAACTCACAGATCTAAAAAAGTCAACAAACTCCAAGCAGAAGAAATATAAAGATGACAATGGAGTGACTGACACCTTTGAAGTATGAAAAGAATAAAAAATTGTCAACCAGAATTCTGTTCTATGCAAAAATATCTTTCAAAAAAGAAAAAATAAAGACTGTTTCAGATGGGAGTATTTTTCGCCAGCACTTACAAGAAATGTTAAAGGAAGTGCTTTAGGCAGAAGAATTATACAAGATAGACATATGGATCTACACAAAAGAATTAAGAATGCCATGAATACTATCTCTGTGGGCAAATATAAGAACTTCTAAAATGTCTTTAAGGGGCTGGCCCGGTGGTGCAGCGGTTAAGTGCGCACGTTCCGCTTCGGTGGCCTGGGGTTCGCCAGTTCAGATCCCAGGTTTGGCACAGCACTGCTTGTCGAGCCATGCTGTGGTAGGCGTCCCACATATAAAATAGAGGAAGATGGGCACGGATGTTAGTTCAGGGCCAGTCTTCCTCAGCAAAAAGAGGAGGATTGGCAGCAGATGTTAGCTCAGGGCTTATCTTCCTCAAAAAAAAAAATAAATAAAATAAAATAAAATGTCTAGAAACGACCACTGAAAAAGAAAATGCTTATATACTATTACAATAATTGTAGTTATATTTATCAAATGGCTGTTCTAAAAATAGGGCAAATTAATTATTTATAGACACTGTGGTTTGGGGGTAATTAGGAATGCTATATGAAGCCATAAAGTGAGCAAGTGAAATCAAGTCAAAATTTGTCGAGCCAACTAAATTTCTGATGTTTGTATATGAGATTTTAATCAGAAATCTGAAACTAAAGATGACTTAAATGTGTCAAATACCAGATGAAAACAAAGCTAAGCTTGGTTAAGTAGGTCTCTGTAGTACTCTCATAATCCTTTCTGCATACTTTTATCTCTGTGCTTTCACAAGTTTTTAATCATCTATTTGTTTTTCTCTCTAAAGGACTAAATGCCCCGAGGCATGAACTCCGTCCTTCACTTGCACATCCTGAGCCCATAATACAATGCCTAGGTCAAAGATGCTCAATAGGTATTTACTAAAAGAATGAGACGTTTGTGTATCAGAACTCTGTATATCAGGCTGAGAAATGCGTATTTTATTGTGCAAAAGGGCGAAATCACTGCAAGTTTTTGAGTAAGTGATATGATTATGCCTTAGAAAGAATGAGGTCAAAAGATATATAGGAGAGATGGAGGAAAGGGGAGAGGAAGTGGCAGTTAGCCTCGTAGGTAAGAGGAGGACTGATCAGGGCGTGGATAAGGACGCAGCAGCAGAAAGGAGGAGTGCATGAAACGTGCAAGCAGAATCTACGCCACTTCATATCTGTTTATAAACAGTGAGGAAGAAGGAAGCTGATCCTTCAATTTCAAGCCTCAGCGACTAGGGGAATGGTGGTGTTATTCATAGAAACAGGAGTTAGAAGGAAGAACTAATTTGGGGAAGGATGTTAAGTTCATTTTAGGTGTTGCTGGGACATAAAAATGGAAATGTTGAACAAGAAGTCAGAAATAAGCCTGGAATTCAGACGTCAGGCTAGAGATGTAGATTTCAGAGTCATCTCCACAGAGATGAGGCTGCAGCACTCAGCGAGAATCTAAAGGAAAGAAAACAAATAAAGGAAAAGATAAAGAAGTGAAGTGCACACTTTTGTATAAAATAATGAATATTTCACAGCCAGGAAATTATGAGGAAAGTAGTGAGGAAGGTATAAGAAGGAGGGCAGTGCTGCCTGAAAGCTAGCAAAGGATCCGGGAGATGCAAGAAGAGGGCAGGAGACTGCTGCCCGTGCTCCCGAGGGCCGAGGGCCCAGCAGAGGCCAGGCTCCTGACAAGCCTTCCAAATAAAGTTTCAGGAAAGCGATCAGGGCACCTCGCCTGCTTGTTAGGGACTTAGAATAACTGACAAGAGCAGACAGCAGTTCTGAGGAAGACAAGTTAGCGCCGAGATGTGACAGTTAGCCAACTCTAAGCGCTAGGGGCCATTCTGGGCGGTAGGGACACAAAGGTGAAGACAGATGTGATCTCTGCACACAGAAGCCTGCAGTCTCAGTGGGGAGAGATATACGTAGGTATGTATATAGTGATGAGCATGCAGAGTGCCCAGAACAAGACATTCAATGGAGAGAGGATACGTGAGATTAAGTGGTGCTTTGAGGGGATAGAGTGGAAGCTGTTATGGTAAAAAGACAGTAGAAATGAAAATCTCATTATTTTGGCGAAATGAATGGCATTTTACTAAGCGCTACTATTACAAACCAAAATTTCAGGTCTAGCTCCTATTCGGTGAGGAAAAGTTTCTATCAGAATTATTTGACGAAAATATGTTTGCCTCTTGTAATGCCAGAGGCAGCAGTAGATTATTTATAGTTAGGTATCTGCATTGCATCATTTCACTTCTATCTATCTGTAAAATGGATTATCCTTGGGGAGAAGGACTCTATCACTACCCTATTTTTTATATTAACCAATATTTTACTAACATGAGCATCATTAAATTATAGAACTTAAGCATATCTTAGAAACAAAATTGTAAGTTAACTCTATATACAGAATAAGAAATGGATTCACTGATTATATATTATCAGTTAGTGTTCATATACATACATCGAAATCACAAAGTAGATCCTGGAAAGCGGTTGAATTGGGAATAATGGAGGTCTCATGTCCACTATCAACAGTTCCCACCAAGGAAAAAGTTAGATGGAGAATGTGGCTGTTAAGAAGGGAACGTTTCTTCTTAAGCAGCATTGCCAGCAACTAGAAGAAAGCAAGACCAAATGCCTGTTGATCAATCATCGTACATATATATATACCATCATATATATATATACACACACACATATACATACATCCACATATATATATGAGAACCACAGGTATTAGAATCTGAGACTTCTAATATGATTTCTCAATTTTTATTATGATAATAGAACATGAGAGAAAATCTGAAAAACAGGGTAATTATCACTTTGTTATTAAAATATAAAATATCCACTTTTACACAAACTCCTTCAATTCACATATAAATATTTAAGTTGTTGTTGCCATTATGTGCACACAATTTTCCACTCTTTTCCTCTACACAACATTTTATCAAAAGGATTTTTTCTTTTGCGACAGTCTTCATAGTCACAATTTTAAAAGGTTGAATGATATTCTACAGAATGGTTATAGTACTATTATTCATTCTTATGCTGTTGAAACATTTAGATTGTTCCTATTTTTTCATGATAAACAACGCTGCAATAATCATTTTGAACGTTCTGCAAAACACTTATCAAAATAGTGTGATTAAATCTACAGAAAACAGTTACAGTAAACAGTTTATCCACTGCCAGGGAAGCTCTGGCTGAGTTGGAGAAGGCACTTGTACTTCATCTACACTAGAGGGATTTATAATCTTCCTCCAAATACTTGTTTCTCTTCTTACAAGAGCAGAACTGAGCGGAGATGTGGCTACATGATCACTGCACACTTTAGTCCCACGTGAGTTTTCAGGACTAGCAATGGCACACATATTGGAGAGTGGTTCGCACATCCCAGGGGGTAAGTAAGAGTCAAGGATGACGGGTGTGGAGGGGAGATACAAGGAAAATGGGAGAGCTCTGGATCTATTACCGCTTTGGAGCTCTCTAGGGCAGGTGGTAATGTGACCCTACTTCATTTCATTCCTATTTCCATAGGGCAAAATAACTCCAAAATAGCAAACCATTGTTCTGAAAATGTATTCAAATATATCAAAACTATACTGAAATCATGTAGCCTAACTGAAGGGTCCAGTAAGAGAGACTTGATGAGACAGGAGAAAAAGGATGAACCAACATAAAGAAAACAATTCATATTCTCACTTGAAATATGTTAGTTTTAATAAAAATTACTGACTTTTAAAGTTTACTTGGACAATATAATTCTTTCAGAATTTGAACAATATGAATAATAATGAAAATTGGAAGATTTTTTATGCAAAGTAACGTGAAGGCAGAGCTTTATGGTTACAAACCTGGTAGCCCCTGATTCTTTCCATTTCTTTGCTGGCTAGTGGGTTACTCTTGACTACACAAACCAGGGCCTTGACTGCTGCATACAGCCCTTCCACATCAGAAGCCATGGCCACCAGGCCCAGGATGGCTGCAGCTCCACCGATGTACTGCAAAGTAGTGGCAACAGGCTTAGGAACAAATGTTCTTACTCCTGATTAAAAGACAGTGAAAAACAATTAAAATAAATTCCCCACATAAACAACAACTGAAAATCATCTTAAGAAGTATTTAATTAGTTACAAATTACACACACACAAAAACCTTCTATCCTAAAACGAAAATTCTAAAAAAATAATTCAAGGTAGAATTTGGGAGAAGGCAACAAAGGCTTATATATACACTCTCAGAGAAGAGGTGGGAGTAAGAGGGCAAGTGGAGAAGAGCTGGGATTGAGAGCAAGCACCAATGTTTCCGCTACGTAGCTTTGGGCAATATAGACTCAAATGCACAGAGGCCTTGGGGATGCAATTCTGGGGTAAGTGAGAATGCGTACTAGGGACTGTGGGGGAATAAACTTGGGGAGAGCAAAAGCACTTTACCTCTGTGAATTGGGGAATGGGATAGAGAAGCCATCCTGGCAAGGATGAAGTATTCCCTACAGAGAAGCCAAGCAAAGTACATCACTGACCATTACTCAAAGCTTCTCCGAGTTATGTAACCTGAGTGACAGTACATCAGTGACTTCAGAAGAGCATTATTATGAGGAATGCTAATTTTGTGGAAGCACAGTACTAGACTAATTTTGTGTCCAAAAAAATTTTCACATCTACACTCCTAACCTTGTTTTTTTACGCTGGGAAAGATTCACCCTGAGCTAACATTTGTTGCCAATCTTCTTCTATTTTATGTGGGACGCTGCCAAAATGTGGCCTTACAAGTAGTGCTAGGTCCACACCCAGGATCCGAACCTATGAACCCTGGGCAGCCAAAGTGGACCACGCGAACTTAACAACTATGCCACTGGGCCAGTCCCAAACCTTGCGTTTTTTTAAAGGCATTGTTTGAATATCATTTGCCTACTGATCAAGATTGAATTTTTGAAAAATAAAATTAAAATGCATACTTTCGTATATTATGGCACTGGAGTTTGAAAACTACCTTCTAAGGTAATTAGGGCCAGTATTACTAGTTTACAGAGAAGAAAATGGAAGTCCATAGAGCTCAAATGTCTGGTCTAATGCCACACAGTGACAGCACAGGGGCTAGAACCTAAATCTTTGAACTCTTCATTCACTGCTCTTTCAACTAAACCACAATTCTGCTATATTTTGGCAAAGGACACAGAGCAGTGATGAGTAAATATTTGTTGAATTGAATAAAGAAAAACTACCATGTGCTTTATTTAGCATAAAGGAAACTATTTTATCAATGCAATATGGTCAAAAAAGAAAAACAAAGTTAAGATATGTGCACATCTCTGGGACAATGAAAAGTGCCAAAGACTGGTAAACATGTAGGATTCTGACCAGCACGACGCTAACTTTTTGTCAATCTAAAAAGGAACCAACATTATGTACTGATTTGCACATTAAAATATATAACCGCTGGTTCTGGATTTTGGATGGCCTAATAGGATTATGTCTCAAGATTCTATCTAACCAAAAAAAATCAACTCTTTTCAAGTAGACATCAGGTACGAGGCGCTGCAGAATGTCCACCAGCTCTAACTTTCATTAGAGTGGATCCAAAGTGTTTATGCTCCGAAGCTCTTATTTTTAGCTCATTTCCAAATAACAGAAGCACCCATGAGCGCCACCACTGCTGCGCCATGCCATGCAACCATCGTCAATATTTCTAAGTCTTTACATTTCTCCCTAAATGTAGTGTGAAATTTACCTTGAAATTACACAGAAGCAGGTAGTCAGTGCTCATCAGTGCTGACAAAAGACGGAAAAAGTTAACGGGATTTTATAAAAGGTCATAATTTTTAAAGTTGATTGGAGTTTGAGCTTGTTATATTAATCTCTAAATATCACAAAAACATTATAGGTCAGCACGATAAGATATGAATTTAAATAACACCTCTCGAGTGAGGTAAGTGAACGCAGATTTGAAGGCAAATAAAAAAGTTTGAATCAACACAGACAATTGGACTCACCCAAGTACCCAATCAGAGTGGCCCCAACTGTCCGTGCAGGTCCATTAAGATGTCCTGCTGCATTGTGTATCAACTTCACAGGAGTGGCATTTTCATGGGAGGAAACGCCTAACTGAAGAACAGAAAAGGAAAAACAATATAACTATAGAAGAACCGTCTGAACATTTTGATTGAGAAAGAAAAAAAAAGACATGATTGGTAACATATCTTTTCTCTCTCCTCTTATCAGAATATTAAAAACATGAGCATTCATTTTCTTTTAAATGTGCAAACACTTCCAAAGGTGTGGAAACTCATAGAAAGTAAGTTAAACACAGTCTCCCGAACTCCAGCTGCTGAGGGGTTCTTGGGAGACAGCTTCAGGGGTCTTCCAGAATGGAACTCCGTCGTGGTTTAAAGGTCTGCCTCACCTGCTGCCTCCCAAGACTTCCGATCAGTGAGCATCATATTAGCTTTGCTCCATATCCAAGTAAACGGCACACAAATTATCCAAGAGTTTAGAGAAAACATGCCTACATAAAAGGAATGTTAAATTTTGCATACACAAACACACACACACACACACACGTGCTTTCAAAGCATAAATAATCCTAAGACTTTAATTCTATGTACAATTAAAGTTTACAATGAAAGTAAATTTAGTTCTACGTAGAAGTTTATGTAGAATTTATGTTCCTTAGAAGATGGCACATGTATTCACAGACAAACCTCTGCACAAGAGTTGTCAATACTTACTGTTCCCAAATCCTTTCCTCCCAGTCTCTTGATTTCCTTCCCCTCGGGCTTTGCCTCGCCTAATCAGCCAAATAGCTTGTCAAGCTCTCTGATGACTTCCACCATGTCAGTCCTAACTTTCTTGACTGCTGACACATTCGCCATAGTGAATCACTGATTCTCACAACACCAGACTCTCCCGGTTTTTCTCCTTTTTGGCTGGCTGCTGCAACTCAGTCTTCTCTGCTGGTTCTTCTCCTCCCCAACTCTGTAACACTGGAGCGTCCCAGGCTAAGTCTGTAAACCTCTCCTCTACCCACCTCTATACTCTGGCGAACACAGCTAGTCTCACGGCATTAAACACCACCCACGGACATTCACGGCGTTCCAACCTCTCCCCTCAACTCCAGAGGCCTGTTTCCAATGGCTTTGATATCTCCACAAAGTTGTCTAATATGCTTCTCCAACTTTTCCAAAACATATTGCCCCCCAAAACTGTTCTTGTAGTTTTCTCCAAATCAGAAAAAGTGACTCCATTTTCCTGGATGTTAGAGCAAAAAACTTTGGTGTTGTCCTTGATTCCTTTCTTTTGCTCACATTTCACACCTAATCTATCATCAAAACCTGATAGCTCCATCTTCAAAATATACCTCAAATCTGATGGCTTCTCATCACGGCCACTGCTATCATCTCAGTTCTGACCACAACCATTTCTCATATGAATTATTACAGCACTGGCCTCAAAACTGGTCCCCCTGCTCTACTTTTGTCTCCCTTTAATCTACAGTCATTTGTCACTTAAGGATGGGGATAAGTTCTGAGAAATGCAGCGTTACATGATTTCATCATTATGCAAACATCACAGAGTATACCTACACAAACCTAGATAGTATGGCCTGCTGTACACCTAGGTTATATGGTACTAATCTTATGGGACCACTGTCGTATACATGGTCCATCATGGACTGAAATGTCACTACATGGTGCATGACTGTATTCTGAATAGAAATCATAGTGATCCTGGTTAAAAAGTAAGTCACATTTCATTCCTATGTCTAGAACCCTATGATGCTTCCCCATCTCACTCAGTTAAAGCCAAAGCATTTACAATTGCCTGTAAATCCTAAACAACAGAGTCCCCATTACCTTTCCGAGTTCCTCTCCTACTACCCAGGCCTGCTGTCATTTTGCTCTAGCCACACCTGTCTCTGTGGCAGGCACGTACTCTCCTCAAGGCCTTAGCACTTGCATTTAAGAGGGCAAACCCCCCACCCCATACGTATATCCCATTCTCCGTATTCTCATGGCTTGCTGCTTCATCTCTTTCAAGTCTGTTCAAATTTCACCTTCTCAGTGAGGCCTCCTCTGACCATCCTATTGAAAACTATGAGCTTCTCTCTTTCTCTTCCCTGGTTTATTTTTCTGCATAGTACTCTTCACCTTCTAACATACTCTATGATTAAGTTATTTCTTTAGTTATTACTGTGTCTCTCTTCCGGTAGAATGTAAGAACTATAATGGCAAGAATTTTCTCTGTATCCACTGCTGTGTCCTGAACAAAATAGGTGCCCAGCACATAGTAGGTGATTCAGAAAAAGTTATGGCCTTAAAAGTGGCAATTGTTTTCCAAAGTGTAATTTCTTAATTACCAATAAAAACATAAGAATATAAACCATGTACTTAAAAGGAAATTCTCGCTTTTCCAAATTAAGCTAAATACCTAAATATGTTATGGCTTAAATTCAAAGCCAAGCAAACCAAATATAAACAATATATGAAAGGCACTGTTTTTAGCAACCACTCACACTTGGGTGGTACCCATAATGCAACTCTGAAACATCTTTCCAGTGAGAATCAGCCATGGTTTGTGAGGAAACCATTCTGCTTACCTGCTTGGCAATGGCTTTGCTGTCCAACTTGTTGTACACTTTCCGGATTCTTGCCACTGTTAGAGAAGACACAGAGAGAGCAGAGAGGCCAAATGACACCTTTTCTTCTGGTACTAATGACACAGGAGATGGGATGACACCTTCGGATTTTGCATCTTTACCTTCAAAAGAAGAATAATCCTTTTCAAAATCATTAGTATTTCTCCTTAGCCTAACACAAAGTTTTTATTCTTACTATCATTTTTAAATGGGCAGACTTGATAGTCTTTTAAAGCGGAACAAGGGAGCTGAATTTAAAACTGTTTCATTTAATTTTCAGCTCTTCATTTGTCTTTAGTTAGAAAACAGGGAAAATCATCTACTCATAGAACTTTACATTTCAAGTTTTGCTCATAAAACATGCTTAACATACAACATAATGTAAAGGAAAAGAATCTTAACTGTTATCACACAAATCACAGACACCTGCCCTAGAAACAAGAGCATGGGATTGAGTGGAATGTCCACAAGCTTTGCAGCACAAGGTCTCCTCTCCAACGAGGGCCCTCATATACGCCTCTCTCTATTCTTCTAGACAGGACAGCGGAGTAGCTCAGAACACAGGTTTTGGAGCTAGATGGCTTAAGTTTGAATCTCTGCTTTTTCACTGAAAACCTGTGTGACCTACACATCTCTGTGCCACAGTGTCGTCATCTGTAAAACGGAGATGATAAGAAGAGTGCTGAACTCCCAGTGTTCTGAGGAGGTGAATAAATACAGGTGAAGGGTTCTGAACAGCCATGTCCTTCATGTGTATGAACTCATCTGGCACATATTAAGCACTCATTGTTAGCTATCATTAGATGCTGTCTAAATCAAGAACACGCGTGAAAGACAAATCACTTGTCCATGTACTTGTCCTCACTCTTCTGAGAACTTATGTACAATGAGAACAAGGGAATGAAGTTAACGTTTGGAAAGACGACTACAAAGGAATTGTAGCTTAATATCAGTTCCTTTGATTCTAAGTTCCTTTTAGGAAAAAGGATAACAAGAAGTGGACTGCAGAAATAAAGGGATGAGGAAAACAAATGTTACTTGGTCTAATCTAAAAAATACATGCGTGTGTTTTCCGGACCCATTCTTCCTTCCTTTAACCAGAGTAGACACACTTTAAATTGCTTCATGTAATAGAAGAAATTATAGAAAGAGAAGGTTGAGGTTAGGCTCTTAGAGAGTATATACCTACATCCAGAGCAAAGAAGAGAAACTGGAAAATCAGTCATCAGGCATGAAGTCAAAATCAGGAAAGTACAGTATGATCAGTGGAGGAGGGCATTTTGATTAGGAGTGGTCAATAGAATCATGCTGAAGAAAAGTAGAGGAGAAGGCCCCTTTTGTAGATAAACACAAAGTATAACATTCTATATACACATGCACGTATTCATGCATCTACACTGCAGGAGTTGAGTTTTATACAACTTTAAGAACAGAGAATAAGTTACTCACATGGCATACATACGGCCTGAAAACTTCCAACATAATTTGGTCCTAGTTCGTAAATGGTAGTCACATTTGAAGGAGGTAAAACTTCTTCCAGAAAATGTGTGGGTCCCAGGCGCCAAACCAATGAAGCAATTTGGCGTTGGGCAGGTGGAGTACCAATGTACGCATAGACTGTGCTAACCACCGGTGGGTTTACAGAACCTGAACCCCCCGGAGTACTGTGAACATAGTGAAGCTATAAAGTAAAGCAAATGTGTGAGATATGACCAAAAAACCCCACTTTCAACAGAAAAATAAGCACTTATTGTGTATATTTTCATTATCCTAAGGTCATACAACTTTACAAATGTACAAAAGCAGTTGGGCTGAGAAACATGAGGGCAGGCTGAGATTCTGGAACCTGATGTAGAGGTCAGAAATTTCTTCGACAACTCTCTACAGATAAACTATCTAATGCTAGAAAGGGCACAATCAAATACAGGGATCCTGTCACTGTTTGGTGGTTGTGCATATCAAATTAACGATTCTTCTATGAAATTTTTGGGTTGATATGAAAACAGAGCTTTCCAACTATGGAATTCAAGTAGTCTGGAAATTAGCTATATTACCTTCAATGTGAGTCTGTTCAACATAATTATTCATGAACAGTCTTTTATAATGGGTAAAGTGCTATAAAAATATTAGAAAAATGAATAGTCTGTTGTTATATACTTTATACACATATTTTAATCTCAATGTAAAATACATTTTCAGATTTGAAATTACACTAGTGTTTACCGACAAGGTGCTTAAATTATCATTCGATTCATTTATAATAAATATATAATTAGAGTATAAGAGATAAGGAAATCAAGTTGATTCTTGTGTATAGGCAGCTTTCATTGCTTGATGGAATGAGGGACATTTCCACCGATCGTTTTGTTGTAACATTGTCCTTGCTTCAGATCACATCTATTATTCCACATACCAAAGAAGAGTTCCTGGTATGAATGTGAAGACCAAAACGTGACCTAAAGTTGGTTTCATGGGACTGATTTTTCACAGGCACAATGATGATAATGGGAATATATCAATAATAAATCTCCTACTCTCAATTCTAGAAGGTGAGGGCATTTTATCTTCAACAATACTAAAAATGACAAAGGAACAATCCACTACAGAACCTACTGGCCAATTTCAAATGCAATCATATATACAAAGAAAATAAATGACTGTCCCCAGAGTGCATTTTAGAGTTTATCATTGGGAAACACAATGTCACAGTAAAATATCATTGAGGAAGGAAATGTACTCAAAGAAGCTGCCAATTTCACTGCTTTTAAAACTTTAATTCACAGAAAAGGACAAACTTTCCTTTGTTGCTTCTTTCAAGTGATATTACTATAAAAATGGATACTATCTTTTAGAAGTTAAAGAATGTCAAGAGCTTGCCAGCTGAGTTCTGTAGAAAGTAACTAGCAGTATTTATCCTGATTCAAAAAAGGAAACTCTCCTGATTCCTTACTGGCTACTTCAACTCTCTTGCCTCTCTTCTGAATACCGCAGTATAGCTATCGAAGGTAATATTTACATACTCGTTTATTCAACAAACAATGATGGATCACCTACTATTATTATCAGGGACTAATCAGGGTGATCTGAAAACAAAGATATGAATAACAACACTCCAGCTCTAAAGGAACATAGAATCCACTGGACTGTATACAATAACAATGAAGTGACAAAACCAGCACGGACATATTCACTAACTTCTTTAGTACCCTGTAACCTCTCCTTTCTATTCTTCTCTAATAAAGGGATATGAATTAGCCAGCCACATGACTCTAACAGATTGTTCAAATGGGTACTGAACGTCGATTTAAAATTAAGACAGCAATTCGAAAAATACCCCTGTAAACACACATACACACAAGCACACCCACCCCTAAACTATCTTGTAAAGCAGGTTGAGATTTACAAGCACAGCATGCTTACCTTCACAGTGTTAACAAGTTGTCCATCAATATAAAGGGCTGCAGTACTGTTTTTCAGCATGCCTTTGCTCATCACCAGAACCAGATGATGCCACTGTCCCTCAACTATAAGCTCTCCACATCGAAAGCGAGCACAGCACGGGAGAATCTCATAAAAAGAAGATTCTTCACTAAAATCATCAACTAAAATAAAGAGGGGAAAGAAATAAAAAACTCAACATCATCCTCAGTCTAACAATTACTTTTATCTAGATCTTGACTTTATGTTAAAAGAATATGATGATGATGATACAAATGAAAATATCCTATTCATTCAATGACCTCATCTATTGTTGTTTGTGCCGTGGAGCCGATTCCAACTCCTAGCGACCCTGTGTACAGCAGAGTGGAACCCTGCCCGGTCTTTCTGCACCATCCTCTCACCTTCCGGCACTATATCAGACACTGCTCTCCTATTCTTCACAAGGTTTTCATGACCAATTTTTTTGGAAGTGGGTGGTCAGGTCCTTCTTCCTAGGCTGTCTAGTCTGGAAGTTCTGCTGAAACCTGTCCACCATGGGTGACACTGCTGCTATCTGAAATACCAGTGGCACAGCTTTCAGCATCAAAGCAACATGCAGTGACCACAGTATGACAACTGACAGATGGGTGGCGTGGTTCCCTAGCCAGGAAGTGAACCCAGGCTGTGGCAGTGAGAGCACCAAATCTTAACCACTAGACCACAGGGCTTGGCCAACTTTACCTGCAGTAAGAAGTAAAAGCTGGGATATATTCTGCTTTCTTCTGCTCAAGATACATAGAGTTACAATCAAATAAAGTTATAATAGCTAATAAAATGAAAAATAAAGTAAAATAAAGTTACAATAGACAACAAAAAGACACTAGTTGATTATTACCTGTCATGGTCTGTTACAAAAGGTCTTTTTAAATTTTAGTTCAACAAGCATTTGATTACAGCATTGGTTAGAAAAAGAATCAAGAAAACTAAAAATTTTATTCTTACTATATGCTCTGTTTAATGATATAAGCAGGCAACTATCTGTTCTTAGGTTGTGGTTGTACTAGCCTGACCCTTGCCTGACAATAGCTGGTAGTAAGGAGGTGATGTAGGGAGTGGAAAGGTATTTGTAGACCCCAGTTTCCTGCTTCACCAGACAGCTCTGGTGATGACCACATTCTGCAATCACTTCCTGACTCAAGTCTGGTTTCTCTCTGCTACCCAGTATGTTGCCAGATTGTGCCAGGAGACAATGAGTTAATATTAATTTAATCTTATTGTTAAGCTAATTAAAAATTAATCTACCTTTTCTAAGTATTCAAAAGAAGGAATGGACAGCAGCAGAAATCCAAATGTTAAAAACTCATTCCTCCTCCCAAAAAATTTCAAAAAGAGCTATCTGTAACCGTGTAACTTTAAGGAGACCTACCATTTTTCAGTATAAGCAAATAGGAGTAAATATACTCAAAGTTAAATGTTTAAGTTATATGAAGAAAGAACTATTAAAAAGCATTAATTTCTATTTTTGGGATCTTAAAATATCTGCATATACTGAAATGCCAAGATTATATTTTAAAATGACAATTCAGAATATATATCTAGTGATGAGTTAAGACTACGACGAGGCAGAATCTTATCCACAGGGGACCTAACACAGGTTCAGAATTGAATTAACTAGGTGAAAAGCATGGTCAAACAGCTTTGAAAGGCCTGGTTTTATAAACCAAAAGATGCGAAATAAAAGATAAAAGATACGGGCGAAACCAGAAACTCTTCCCTGGTTAATAGACTGAATCTTCTCGAGGACTGCAAAGCATTATTACTTATGAAACTTTCTGAGAGCTCCACATTCTGACTCAGGCTTAAACTAAGACATATCCAGCTTTCAGTGGTATGTAGGGTATCTTGGTAAGTTAACTGGTTTCTGACAACTCTTGTTTACCTAGACATCTTAATGGGCTACAGCAGTTCAGAGGATGGATCCTTGTAGTAGTAATACCATATATATTACTAATGTATATGTTACTATAATTTCTGATATATGGACTATAGCAGGCTTGCAAATTACACTTAGTGAAAATGATACAGAGTTAGAAACCATTTCCCTAGCTTACCGAAGTATCCTTGGATCTACTCCTTAACTCTTCCATTAAATTCTATCCTCTTTCTAAATTCTCCATTATTATTCACTTTCTCACTGTTTCTGTTTCAAGCCATCCATATTTCTTTTCCTTTATTCTTCTTTCTTCTCATTCATTCATTTATATTTTTAAATAATATTTGTGGGCCTAACATGTACGAGGCACTGTTTTAGGTGGCAGGGCTGCTTGGAATACAAAGATAATAATGTGTGTGGGAGCTTACAGTTCCAGTAGGGTAGACAGACAAAAATAAAATAAAGAATTAAAATCTATGAAGTCTAGATAAGTGATAAAGAATATTAAACAAAGGCTATGATAGTGGGCATACAGAGGAAGGGAAGATTCAAGAAATATTAAGGAGGCGTAATACAGTAAGGTTCAGTGGAAGGGATGGTATTTTCAAGGTTGACCTGAGGTTTCTAGCTGGGTTCAGTGTCAGTGGGGGTGTCATTTACCAAGATGGGAAAACAGCAGGAGATGGAGGTTTTATAAAGAAGAAACATTACAGTCTGAGTTGTTTACACGAAGACTATTCATATGAAGATGTCTAATATGCAGTTGAAAATATGAGGACAAAGCCCAGAACACAGACAAATATGAAAATTTTAATTTCAGAGTCCTTGGGATAAAAAGACCTAAAGTCTACAAAAATGGATGATGTTTTTCTCACAAAGAGCAGGTTGAGTACAAAGACTAAAGATGAAACCTTGGAGAATATGAATTTTAAGGGGAAGAAGGAAAAGAAAGCTGTTGAAGGAAATTGCAAAAGAGAGGTCAGAGAAATAGTGAAAAAACAAGAGAGTGGGTATCCCAAATTGCAAGACTGGAGATGGTTTTAATTAGGAAGAAAATATCAACAGGATCAAACACCACAAAAGGGTCAAATAAAGCGTCCTAAGGAGAATTTTAAGGCAGTTACTATACTGATGCCTAACTCGGTGCTAGTCACGATGAAGACGACTAAGTAAGACAAGAAGCCTTACAATCTAATTGAAGAGCTAACATTGCTATTCAATTAATATTTGAATACTAACTACATGTGAAGCAATATGTGGTATTATTTTATTTAGTTACTTAGAAGATGATAAAAAGGAGGTGTAGCTATATACAAATGCTTATATTCAGAGCAAAGAAAATTCAGTAGACTGAGATTTATATTTTATGTTATTTACATCATTTAGGTAGATCTTCACAAATGCCTTGAGTTTAAAGTTCTCCTGCACAGCAAAGTCATGTTATAGCATGTTGGAGGGAATTGTGGAAATAGGATTATTAAATGGTATGCATTAAGTCTTGAAGGTAAGCAACGGATAAAGTAATTAAAATGTTATTGTGTCTAGCACAGAGTGGCACATATGGTAGGCAGGTGCTCAATGAATATTCATTAGTTAAGCAGAATTCACAACCAATGAAAATCCTTACTATAATATATCAAACAAGCAACCTGTTTCCTAGCAAAAGCTGTTATTTCTTGGCAAGTAGAGATTAATCCTTATTTTAGGAACTCTCTCCACTCTTGTCTATCTAAGTCTTCTTTGAAAGTTCCTTAAAATTCACTGGTAAACGACATTCAAGATTTCACATAACCTGTTCTATTCTATACTAATTTAAATTGGAAAATAATTACCAGCTGGACCTTAAAAATGAATATGAAAATAACGTTTAATATTTTTACTAATGACAAGAAGCAGAAAGAAAGACAGATCCTGACCATAGTTCTGGAGCAGCTCCTCTTTGGTGGAGACAATCAGGGATCGGTCTTTTGCTGACAGAACGACGGCAAGGCACACGTAATGCTGCTCCGAAGAATTTGCTCGGCGCACAACAGTTAGCAGTCTGACAGGGTGGTTATTTGGAGGGGAACTAAAATGTTCAATACAAAACCAGCTGGAGTAGCTTAAGCCAGACGGAGGAGGGAACAATCTTTCACCTAAAGTAAAAATAGAAAAATAACAATGAAAAAGTTCGTGTTGACTCACATTTACATTAATAAAAGAAGCCAGAAAAAAAAAAAAAGCAATAAACTCTAAATATAATCGACTGAGAAAAAGAATCTCATAGGCAAAGAAAAGTAGTATTTACCAGAACCAATGCCACTGACCACAGCCCCATCAGTAAGACATGTTGTGACGGCATTGTTTGTAGGGGCGTTATGAGGGGCCAAGCTGGGCAGGAACAGGCAGCTGTGAGAGAAAAGACAAGGCAGATATCAGAGCTCAAGTGTTCTCATAAGCACTGTGCACTTACCATGTTGAAATCAATTGCCATTATTTAAAGGTTACTAGAGATGAGAGATCACAGAATAAATCTAGATGCCTGACAAACTCCTTCCCTTCTTTTAATTATGTAAGACTATCAAAAGACATACAAAATTTCTAACAGCATGATTTTAATTTAAACTTTTAAAAATCAAAGTATAATTTGCATATGGTAAAATGCACCAGTGTATAACCCTGTTGAATACATTGGGACAATTTCTGTTCCAGATTTTTCCTGTTCTGTTTCTGCAGAAAAATTTCCTTGTGCTCCTTTCCAGGGAGTCACTCTCCTCTGTTGCCACTGTTGCGATTAGCTTTGCCTATGCTCAAATATGTCTTAATCCACTGTTTGATAAGAACCTATGACAACGTTCTTAAAATACAATTTATAGTTTTACCTATTTATTTTTTTAATTTTTCCTTTTTCTCCCAAAGCCCCCCAGGACATAGTTGTGTATTTTTAGTTGTGGGTCCTTCTAGTTGTGGCATGTGGGATGCCGCCCCAGCATGGCCTGATGAGCGGTGCCATGTCCACGCCCAGGATCCAAACCGGCGAAACCCTGGGCCACTGAAGTGAAGTGTGTGAACTTAACCGCTCAGCCATGGGGCCAGCCCCACAATTTATAGTTTTAGATCAACGTATAAGAATCCCGCAAACAACTAGTATAGACAAAGATCTATTCTATTAGCATTTGTGTCCATTTTGAAGCTGATGGACTTTATAAACTCTTCTATAATCTCTATAGATTCTTTATTGTTGCTTCTGCTGCTACAGCCTATTCTGCCACTTAAAAGTGTTTCCTCATTTCATATGTCAGTCACTGAATATTTATAATGTATAAGATACTTAACCTAGGTAATTTGAGGGAATGAATGATGATAAAACCCAAAGAGCTTTTAATCTAATTTTAATTTGCATATCAGCTATAAACTTATTGTACTAAATTAGAGGTTGGCAAATATTTTCTGGAGAGGGCCAGACCACACATACCTTATGCTTTGTAGACCACACAGTCTTTATCACAACTACTCAACTGTGTCACTCTAGCACGAAAGCAGCCATAGATAATACACACATAAATGAGAGTGGCTGTGTTACAATAAAACTTTATTTACAAAAAAAGGACCGTGGGCCTTAGACTGCTGACTCCTATACCATATCAATTTATTCAGTATAATAAATAATTTAAAATAATTAAATCTAAAAACCTTAAAATAACATGTTCAAAGAACTTAACCATCTGAAAATAGACAATATACAGCATATTTTAATCAAGTAGATTTAAAACCAAAGATCTATTTGTCAGAGGCAAGTATGAGGCATAAAATAATACCATAAGGCATGGCTACCTTGCAAATTCCTTACCCAAACCCTTCTAGGGATGTGTCAAATTCAACAAAAGCTGGAGTAACTGATGACCCATGAAGTCGGATGTCATGTGGGGTTGTCATGGAGACCAGACACTTCACCCTGGTTAGGGGCACAGTACTTCCTTCTGCAGATTTCACCAGGCTCTTGCTTATCCGGTAATGGTTATCTTCATGTAAGCTGAAAACATTATCAGAACCCAGACCTTCCAGAGATGTGACCATACTACCTGTAAATGAAAGAAAATCTCTTGGCAAAAATATGTGGATTTCTATAATAATGACTTTACAAGGCTGATTTATTTTTAAATACCACTCTTCCATTTTAATATACAATAACTATTTTTAAACACCAAAGCTATTATCCAGTTTTAATGTACTTTTTTTTTTTTTTTTTAAAGATTTTATTTTTTCCTTTTTCTCCCCAAAGCCCCCCGGTACATAGTTGTATATTCTTCGTTGTGGGTCCTTCTAGTTGTGGCATGTGGGATGCTGCCTCAGCGTGGTCTGATGAGCAGTGCCATGTCCGCGCCCAGGATTCGAACTAACGAAACACTGGGCCGCCTGCAGCGGAGCGCGTGAACTTAACCACTCGGCCACGGGGCCAGCCCCCAGTTTTAATGTACTTTATGTTCATTTTAAAACTTAAATAGCATGTGTTTCTTTTTTTACTTATTATTAAAGTAATAAACACATTGCAGAAATGCTGGAAACTACAAAGTATAAACAAGAATAAAAATCACCAATAACCACCATCCAAGTCACTGTTACAGTGCAATTTAGTTCTAAATTACAGTTAGTGATGTTTATAAAAACCAGATGACACTTTTATTTCACAAAATTATTTCTCTTTGAGAAGAAAGAAATATATTCTAGAAGCGTTATAATGGAAAGAAACAGGTCATCTTTCTCACACACACATAAGAGATAAATAGCAGAAACTTGTGTCTCCCATTTTCTCATTTTTAATTCTTCCCTTACAACTATTAAAATTAAATAGTGATCACAGAAGTACTTTAACTAAAAAATTCCTATATGCATGTAAATGATAAGTCAAGAATGAAAAGACAAATATTAATCAAACTGCTCTATTTTTCAGGAATACGTTACAAATGTAATGGAGAAAATATTCCCTCTCAAGATACTACATGAACGTAACTGTTTCCCTCTTACATGTGCTAAATATTGAGGCAACCAAAAAATATTTCAATATTCTCTTAGAAAAAGGAACCGTTTTTGTTTCTACTCTTTGCAAAGGAAATCACAACTCAATTCTAAAGAACTGTGTAAAGTACAAAACAACAATAACAAATATATACTTATCTATCTAGGGGATGCATATTCATTGATAGGAAAAACTGCAATACTTTCTGTTTTCCGATGAAACTGTGTTGGACATCAAAAGATGTTCAAGTTTCCAAACACAGTATTCACTAAGCACTGATGATAATTTATAGGCAGAAAAATTACGATTGAAATAATGGTTGAAGGTTATTTATTCTTTCTGATTCTCACCTGAAAAAACAAAGGGTTGAACTGAACGATCACTACGTCCTTTCAGAGCAGCCATTCCACTTTTCTAAGTTTTATTTCCTTCCTGCTTCACTAGTAATAGTCACTTCAATCCAGCAAAACAAATGCCTTATCTCTATGGCTAACAATGACATAAAGTGAGTTGTAAAGGCAAAAAACAAACAAAACTACTGAATTAACATTGGGAGGAAATCCAGTGCGACGAGCTCTCTCCTGAGAACACTCTCCCGCCAGCTCTGGAGGGGATGGAATCTGTTGCCTCTCCCTAGTCCTCGCCAGACTGGTTGGCAGTGCCCACGTTCGGCTACAGCGCATCATCATTCCATCAGTCTAATGTACAAACTCCTCCTCCTTGAAGGCTCCTCATCAGCATTACTATCACACACTTCACTAGGAAATCTCCCATCTGTATTGTTGGAATTTCATTCTCAGTCCTCTCTGCACTAATTCTGCCAACGGACTGGGGGATGTCAAGGTTCACATGAACAACCCATCTAACACCTCACTTCTAGTTCTACAAGCACCTTTCCTCCAATGAGCTTCAGCTCTATGTCACTCCAGAGCCACTCTCTGGGCCTGGACCTTTTCTTTGCTTGTTTCACTGCTCCAATTTTGATTGCCTTTATCCCACTCCATTCTTCCAGTTCTCTCATTCCTTTTCTCTCACTACATTTGCTTTTTGGCCTAATTATTGTTCTCCAGTCCAGCGACCTATCCCTTTTCTCCTAGCCTATCACTAGCTGCTTGGGCTTCACTTCTTTCTCTAAGCAGCCTATACTCCTTGGTCTATCTCTTCAACTACTTTGATCAGTACTTTTAATTTCCTATCCTCCATGTCCTCCAGCAGCAGCTGTCCTACAAACCCATGGCCTGTTAGTAATCCAATCAACCACTCTTCAGCCCAGGCAGCAAAGGCTACTAGAGAAAGGCAAAGAAATTATGGCTCCTCTGAGAAAGAGGTAGTCCGTCTTCCAAGCCAACAGTTATTCTGCACAACACTCTCATCTCTTTTGGATCTTGCTTACATCAGTGATTCCTTCTCCATCTCGAACTGTTCCCTTCTTCAGTCAGTCTTCATTTAAACAACAAACAACAAGAATAAAACTTACTCCTTCCTTTCTTTCACAGTCAAACTTCTTGAAATAATATTCATCCCCTACATGATTTTCATTTATAAAATAAACCAAAAAAGATAACTTCAAAGGTCAACTTACTTGTCATCTCTGGCTCATAACTCAGTGAACTTGGTTTGTGGACCCGATACTGTTTTAGCAGTTTTTTGTCCCAGGCACCACAATTCAATGGACTTGCCAAACGCAAAAACTCCCTAAAGAAGAAAAAAGTAGAGTTATTCCTTATATAATTCATAAGCCAAACACACAAATAACGGGCTTTATTGAGTTAAAACAGACTGGTTAAAATACAAAAGACATCCAAACAGTTATTATAAACAATATACAATGTTAACTTTACATTTTAATCACCAAGCACTGAGAAGAGCACAGAATATTGTGAAGGGCTAGAAAATGATATCTGGAAGCATGTTCTCCCAGAATGAATGCACAGAAATACACTGAATTGTCTAGGAGTTACAGTACCAGGAGTCCTTCATTCTAGTCATTTATGGCATCAGGTAAAAGGGAAAAAAAAAGAACAGAATACTTCTATATCAGAAAAAAAATTTTTTAAGTCAGGTACCCTTTGCCATTTTTTCATGCAGAATGCGATATGCAATTAGTTTAGAACTAACGGCTTAGCGGCAGCAAGGTATCTGTACCACCATGTGACCTTTTCTTCTGAGAACTCATTCATTGTGAAAACTGAGCATTTCCATTGCTTACTCTCTTCATCTAACCAGGCAGTATAAGTTACTTAGTAAAATACTAGTATTAGGTATGAGACTGTCTAGTTTTAATGTATATTACCAAAAAGGATCAGGAGAAAATCTCCATGCTATTTTCAATATTTTAAGTCTCTGAATATATCTACAAGATGATGGATGAAGTGAGTAGACAGTATGTCTTATTCATCTTGATATTATCAGGGCCTGGCATGCTGCCTAGGACAACAGTGTTTACCAAATGTTTACCACATGGGTTTTTCTTATCCATCATTAGTTTGGAATTAGTTAAAAAACACAAATTACAACTAAAGTTCAACAATTTTTAAGAAAGTTCCCAGAAATTTTCAGAAAAAGGGGTACTGTAACAGCAGAAAAAGATTATTTATAAAGAGAGCTGCTTATATTCTGGAAGTGACAAAATACATGAGTGTATTTTTGTAAGGAAGGACAAGATGATTTACATATTAAATCTGTTTGGTAAGGCAATTTCAAGGAAAATATCTTTTAAAATGGTTCATCCCCAAAACACAGATCATTATTTCTCTTGCATTAAAAAGGTCATTTATGGGGCCAACCTGGTGGCACAGTGGTTAAGTTTATGTGTTGTGCTTCAGTGGCCTGGGGTTTGTGGGTTCAAATCCTGGGCACAGACCTACACACCATGCTGTGGAGGTGTCCCACATACAAAATAGAGGAAGACTGGCATGATGTTAGCTCAAGGACAATCTTCCTCAAGCAAAAAGAGGAAGACTGGCAACAGATCAACACATGTTAGCTCAAGGCCAATCTGACTCCCCCAAAAAACAAAAATAAAAATAAAAAGGCCTTTAAATATGTATGTATTTTTTGAATGGTTAAACTGTTGAAGGTATGCCCATACCATGGAATATAACTCAGTAATAAAAAGAAACCTACTATCAGTACATAACAATTTGGATGCATCTCAAAGGCATTATGATAAGTGAAAAAAGTTAACCTCAGAAGGTCACAAATTGTATGATTTCATATCTATATCAACAAAATTATCAGTGACAAAATTACGGAAATGGACAACAGATTAGTGGTTTCCAGGGTTTAGGGATGTGAAGGTTAGGGGTTAGGGGAGTGGGTGTCACAATAAAGGGGTAGCACTAGGGAGATCTTTTTGATAGCTTGATTGTGTGGTGGTTACATAAATCTACATGTGATAAATAAAAGGGAACTACAGTGTACATGGATACATTGTATCAATGTCAGTTTCTTGGTTCTGATGTTGTACTATTGTTACATAAGATGTAATCATGGAGGAAACTGGGTGAAGAGGACACAGAACCTCTCTGATCTTTACAACTTTCTCTGAATCTACAAAAAAAGTATTTCTTACAAGAGTTCTTACCTATAAAAAGCTCTTAAATACAAAGTAGATGCAAGTCACATAAATGTAACATGACTATTTTTGAAGGAAAGTGAGAGTTTGCTAGATTCAAGTGGAAGAAATAACCAATGGACAGAAACATCATTTGTTTACTAATAACTAGATTTATCTGTTTATAAGTCCTATATTTTGAGCATTTTGTCAACTTTTGCTGTGTTTTGGTTTTTCCCACAGATAACTGAATATATGCCTACTAAAACGAGAACTCTTAATAGAAAGACTTTAGGAACTGCCACTACTAACCGTGGCCCATTTGAATGCGAAAAAGAGCATGCACTGACCTCAGCACCATGGGCTCCAGGGCCTGCGAGGCTAATCGTTCAAACATGCGCTGGAGGGGCGGGTGCAGCGAGTGGTCCTCGTCAGCCAGCGCAGCACTGCAGCGCTGCAGCAATCGTGCATGAAGACCAGCTTCACACATGACCTGTTGGTTTCTTTCTGTATGCACCAGGGATTGTAAAATATTTGCCACGGCAAGTTGAAGGTCCAAAGCATGCTACAGTTAACAAAGAAATCCATGCCACAGGGCATTCTTACTAAGACAGGTGATAGTTCTCTCCACATGAAGCACACCTTTTAATATGACGTTTCTATATGCTGCAAATTACACTCATGAATTAAGTAGTTGACTTAGAGTGGTAAGTTAACTCAAGACCAGGGCTAGGCAAACATTCCCTATCCTCATTTTGCAAGAAGCATACCCAGCTGGACTCTATTCTCTTCTACATCTTATATATTACTTGACTGTATAACTAATAGTATTTTTATTTTTATGGAAATAGTGGGTGGAAAGCCTTTTTCATGTGGGTAAATCACCAGTTTAAAGGAATGCCTATTGTTTACATTTGTGACACTTTAGGGCTTAGAGGCCATACAACATTTTAACAAAATTAGTCACCCAAACTCCAGTTCACCCAAACACTTGAGTGCTACAAGTCAAAACAGACAAATAACCTCAGAGTGGTATCTTCAGTCATTTTTCTTTCTGTACTATTTTCTTTCTGTACTAACAATTTCCACTGCTGAGCAGGATTTATAAGGACAAACAGAATTAATTTCAGCACCAGAAGTAACTGTCCTGGTTGCATTTGTAACAAATGAATTGTACTCTAAAACGTATCTACCTACCATTCATTAAGAAAGTTAAGATTTAATAGAGAAATCCTATTTTTCCTTTACTTATTGTAGCACGTGATATGGAATGCTTCCACACCACTTTCTTTCTTGGCCCCACTCCCTTGCTCATGCAGTCACACTCACGCCCTTTCACTCGTTAAAGATGGGAAGGAACCAACATCTCCAAGCTTACTTCTGGCTGTGTCATGGACCCAACAGAGGCTAGCAGGTCCAGCATAGCGAGCATGGCTCCAGGGTGGATGACAACGGCATCAGAACTCTGGAGCGATGAAGCTGCCACATGTAGTTTCAGGTCAGCAACATTTTTAGGAGGGCAAATGGGGGGAGTTGAAACAGCATGATATGCATGCCTATAAAAAAGAGAGAAGGGTAATTTGGTATTTAATTCCAAGCACATTCCATGTTCATTTTCTTGATCTTTTGTTATGTTTATCCACTGATAAGCAAAAAAGCCTTGTAATTCACGGATGGGTTACAAAGCACCTTAAAGTTAGTATATAAAAAAAGCAATACATCATCAATTCTTAATAAGTCACATATAGACAATTTAACTAACAATTCTTCTAGGCTTTTATTTCTCTTTACCATTTACTGTTTGGACTGTTTCATTAAAGAATGGCACCTGTACCAGAAGATGTAAACAAGTGAAATCATAATGATTCAAAGCTCTAGGAAAGGAGACAGTTCTGAAAATAAGTGATGAGAGAGCAAGTTAAATTCAATCCCTTGATGAGATTTTCTTTTGAAATTACCTATGTGTTTTTAACCTTTCCTTAAACCATGGGTAACATAAACAAGAACTAATGAGATCAAAGTGGCCTCCTCTATAACTGAGTCAACTGAGGCCGGGTTGGCTCAGAAGCTTGGCTACCTGAGCATAAATATATGAAGCATCAAGGGAGTTTTCCTTCAGTTTATTTGGAACTGCATTCACCTTTTGCCTTGTCCCCCTTACCACTGAAAATATTCATCACATTTTTTAAGAACTTAGATGGCATATTTTATGGAACAAGCTTCTATGAAGTAGAAACAGCCATGTCCTAAATATATAACATTGCTTCTCATCAATGATCTCCACTTTCTATTTCATACTATTCTACTTCTACCTTTCATGAGTTTTGCACATTTTGTATCTTGGCACTAGGAAACACACGCTCGTGGCTTTGGCCTAGGGGAGCTCTTTGTTCAGTGAATCCGTTTCAGCGTCCTGTTGTCTAACGCTGAGCTCTGACACCGGGAGCAGTGCAGGTTCAGCTTTGACACAAGAGCAGCTTGGGAAACACATGCTTGAAGTCAGCGATTCAGTAGCAAAGAATTGGCACTGCCTTTTTTTTTTTTTTTTTAAAGTACTATTCTCTTTTTAACAGAGATTCTAGAAAGTATTCAGCTTCACTTACGAAAAAGCACATGGCTCTGTTAGTTTAATTAAAGTCAGCATATCCTCCACCCACGCGTGTTTCCACTCCGTTTCTTTGTTGTGTTTGCTCAGAAAGATTTAATTTCTAAACTTACTAAGCAAGATTTCTAAGTGCTTATTACCAATAGGTTCCCTCCTCCTAAGCTGCTCCCTTTATTCTTTAAAATATTTTACTCCATCTAGGAAAAAATATTATAATACCTCTAATAGTGTAACAGGAATTTAAAACCATTCAATTAAGAAATTTTATTAAAACTGTTTTTATTACATAGAAAAAAATAACTGAGATTTGAGAAAAACATAGATTCTAATTGCATATTTTAGTTAAAGGCCTTTCAAAATTATTTCTGAGTTGCCAAATTTATTATGGATTTGAACTTAAACTATGGATATACCCACGAAGAAACCTTTATGTCTTTGTAAACCAAACTCTTTACTAATATGTAACTGTTAGAGTAGCAAACTTTTTCATCTTATGCAAGAAAACAATATTCTGATACAGGAATTGCATTTATTCTTCTCAAACTAGAAAAAGATTGCAACGTTGCAGAAATCTAAAACATGGTATTTATTAACTAAAATTAGGTCTATTTTCACAAGCATTATATAACGTTAATTCTTACTTACTAAGTCACTTAAAGTATCACCACAGCTATTACCACTTTTTAAATTTAGAGAGTATGGCAAGCTTATTAAATGGATAATTTTCAAGCAAGAACTAACCATTTGCAAAGACAGGATAAAATGACATTTCAAAATTTACTTAATTTTTATGTTGCAGTTACTTTTAAAACTTACAGAAATTGGTACTTAATATTTCAATCTAAATTCTCATATATATTTAAGACTCATCTATCTCTCTTGGGAATATATACTTAAATATTTAAATTTTGAATTTGCTTTGCTTTAATTTCCATCAAGTGTGTACAGGCACTAAGTAATGGATACCATGTTTGAACGATAACTAGTACTCGCCACCTTTTCCTCCATTGCAGATACACCCTGGAGTCCCTGGGTTATTTTTCTGTATTTTGTTTTCACTTTCTGTAAATCTGACTGAATACTGTTCAGCTACAATCCTGTTCCATTATTCTTTCTGAATAATGAATAATAATTAAAAAGGTTATGCGTTTTGGTTTCCCAAATATGAGGTTTCCTACTTCTTTGTGCCCCCAATTCCTAAAATAATTAGAGAAGAATCTCCAGGATTTTACATGCCAGACAAGTAGCGTAAGCTCAAACTTCCTTAGCATGGAATACTCCACAAGCCGTAGAATCTAATACAATGTTCGTTTCTCCTTTTGCCAAGAAAACAACCATGTTTTGCCACAAGAAAAAGATGCCCATGAGCTGATGTAATTTGTTGAGAAGTCTAGAAATTAGTCTAATTTCAAAAGTTACCATATTTGTGAAATAAAAACATTGTTTTCTTAGTAGCTTATGATTCTTATCACTGAGCAAAATGTATGTAAGCTGACCAGAATGGCAACCTGAAAATGTCAACAGTGATCTTATTATCAGCAGGAACAGTGACAGGAGCTTCCTTGGGGTAACATCAACCTGTAAGGCCGATTAGAATTCCTGTGGATAAGACTCATTCAACCAGGACTGCTGATCAGTGACAGTTTCCCCTAAAGTCACAGAAGTGGCATCCTGACATGGGGCCATGTTGCCAATGACGACAAAATGTTTGACTCTAAGTTAAATAACTCTATGATATGGAATAAAATGCTGTTCTCCCTTTGTCAAATTACCATTTAAATAAATAGTAAGTTCTGACGGATTTTTTTAAATGTGTTCCTTTAATCTGTAAATTTCTATGGAAAGTATTATGTGGTTTTTGATTAATATTTAAAGAGAATTAAATGTTTTAAGACAGCAATTTATAAGTCTTTATCACTTATGGTAGAATCATAAAATACAATTTTTTAATAATTAAAACTATTTAGTAATTGAAAGTATTTTTCCAACATCCTCTAGTTCTGTGGGATAGTGAGCACACAGGAATCTTCAAACACAAAGAACACCTTTTACCTAATTCATTTTAGCAGCAGAAAAATACACTAGGTCAACTCAACTTGATTTTATGGTCTCTTGAATTAAAAACTTCTGCTCTTAAAAAAATTAAAAAGAAATAGTAGCTTTAAAATACAAACATACTGAACAACACTAGGTTCATTTAAGACTATTCTGAACTAGGCCATGATTTACTGGAAGAAAATGAGCTGTAAGCCCCACAGTAAATTTAAGAGAAAAAGGAAAATATTAAGTCGTTCCATACACCTAATGGATATTACGATTGAAATATACTGAAATACAGGATTTGTAACAAACACTTTTGATCCAATAACTCCAGCTATATCCAAGTTTCAAAATCTGAACAAGAGAAATAAAATTGAATAACAACACAGCAGAAGCTCAAGATTCATTTTTAAAAGGCCACAATGGAAGAATATTACATGATGTAAGCACTTGTACTTGGTTATGAGGAAAACAGGGGAAGGAAGAGTATTCGGTGCCAACTGCACAGACTAGGATCATTTTAAGTACAGGTTGCAAATGGAATCTTAACTGGGTCTCAATTGCACTCTTCTCAATCAACTACAGGTTCTTTATCTTCCTAAGCTTTAAATTCAAGGCTGGCTAGATCAGCTTAGAAAGAAATTTACACGGAACTGATGAAAGCAAGGGCTGGCTTAGGTTTTTATTTACTTTTTCAAAGCTTAGCTGTGACAGATCTCCATGAGAGCATCACATTGCAACTGGTTGAACCTGACTGAGAAAACACGTTTCCTTGCCAGTGCTGCAATGGTCATTCTGGACTAACAGCAAAGACCAAAGGATGCTTCCAAGCACATTTGAAGTAAAAAGAAAAAGCAGAAAAGTACTCTCCTTAAAGATACACTAAGCCTCCATTCCCAAATTGATTTTCAAAAGATATGCCTGCTCTAAAAGCAAAATGCATATTTTAATCTAAGTCATAGAGTTCAATGACAAAACTCCACATGTGCTTTACGTCTTCATAGCATCAACACATTTACTCTCATAAAAATACTCAAGAGTAGTTGACAACTTTAAAACCCACAAAAAAATCAAATAGAAAGTCAAAAAAAATGTGAAGTTACAAAGCACAATCATCATATTAACATTTAATTAAACACAGAAGGAAAAAACCACACAAATGCAGATTGACTTCTGTTATAAGATCAGTACCTTTTCCTGGACAAAGCTGGTGTACCCCAAGGAGAGGGGAGAGAAGACTCACTTGTCAGGCAAGGAGGAATCTGCTCTGCACGACTACAGACAACAAAACAGACAGGGTGGTTTAGAGAGGTTAGAAGAGAACACCAGGTTGGCAGCTGGTTAGTTTCACAAGAAATACCAGTAAAAGCCTAATAAGGAATATCCTCTATACTCAGTAGGAACAAGGAACAAGACTGCAACACATGCACTGAGGGAGACAGAAAAGCATGCTTAAGGCAGATGCTTATCCATTAATGTTGACATTTAACACATTTGTTAAACAGAATCCTGTAAACCCTGTTTCTGACAAAGCAAACTAAAAATAAGGTATATTAACTAGGATAAGCAGGAAACAAAGGAAAAAAGATTGAATCTGAATACAAATTTCAAATTTAAACAGCTTATTCCTAGAACACTACACTATCCCATGTTTCCTGTTAGTTAACAATATATATGCATTTTTATTTTCAAGACAGGAAAAATGGAAAACAATTTTTCTCACATTACCAGGATTTTCTTATCTAAATATTAAGGCCAAAGAAATATTAAGAAGCAAGAAAATATCTCAGTAGATATTTCACAGCACAGGAAATAAAGCCTATTAGAAGCTCTTTCCAATAGAGTTACTTGCTTTATTTATGAGGGCATTAGAGAAACAATCATTTATTTTATGAAATAAAACTATGCTAACTATTAAAAGTGATAATGCTTGGGACAAGTTAGCAGTATGATTATTCTTACATTATTTTCAAAGTGAGAACTTAATTGAAACACAGTTTAAGAACTGAAAATAAGTAATTTAGGTAAAGTGGCACTCCCACAATCTCCCTGAGAACTCTGGATTTCCTTCATCATAGATTTTATCATGATCTATTGTAACTGTTTGTTTATGTGCCTGCACTTAAGCTAAAGGATGGCCAGGACCAAGGCAGTCTTGTGCTGAGCTGAACCCTCAATGCCCAGCACAAGGAAGGGAATGCAGCAGGCGTTCGCTAAGTACTTGCTCAGTGAAGGAATGAGTAAACAAGTCTGATGGACTCTTGAACTACTGAGGTCTCCTAGGGAGCTATATCGTTTTTCAAAGATTATGCAAATTTAAGAATGATTATGAATGCTGTGAATATATCATCTGTCTGGAAATACATATAATCATAAGAATGTTCTCCTACTGATAACTAATATCAATAAGTCCGGATCACCTAATATCGTTGAGAGTAAAGAGGAAAAGACAACAGTAAACATCACCATTAAAGTAAATTTCACAGAAACTGTTCCATTAAGTACTTTGAGAGCTAACTGGCCCGAGATTTATAAAAAAGACACAGAGGTCTACGTTGAAAAACTTAACATCAGAGCAATAGTAATATTCACAAATAAAGTGACAGATGAGCAAATAAGAGAGAAGATTCCTTTGTTTTCATTTTTTCAGGTTAACTAATCATTCAAGCCTTACTGTTGAAGTCATACACAGTATGCTCCTTAATTCACAGCACAGAGCAGCACCATACCTGTCAAAAGAATCTGTGGCTACTTTGTAGAGATAAATAAAGAGTTTACTGCAGTTCTGTAAAGTGGGTGACACCGAGTCCATTGAGATGACGTCTTCCTCTAGAAGTCTTTGAAATGGCTGTGTATTTGAGGGGAAGACATTCATGGGGCTTATTTTTCTTAGGTCTGAAAAGCAGCCAAGAAATCGAACGGCATCTGCCAACTTCTCATACTGAATCTCTGTTTTGAAGAAATGAGAGTTGGCTGGCTCATAGCGCATTGCTGCAGTCAATGTGCAGAACACAGTGTGGAGAAGTTCAAACACTTGATTCTGGTTCACTTTCTCCCAGCCACTCTTGGGGGGTGAGCTCAAAGATCTCTCCATAGCAACAAACAAGGACGTAATGTACACAAATCCTCCAACTTTCCTAAAAACTGTTCTTGAACGATGGCTTTCTCGAAGGACTGATAGGAGGGCCTACAGGGGACAAAAAACAAAACAAACAAAAACAAACATAATTCAAATTAAAAGAAAAAAACCATACGTGAATGTCAAAGGGGAACACCATTCTGTAAACATCTGATGTGAATGTTTCCGTCATTTACCCAGTAAGCAGTCCTATGAAGCATATCAAATACTTTGCTAATTAAAAAATTCCATATTAAAGGCAGAAGATAATTTTAGGGAACACTATCATACACTCCTTTTGATAGAATAAGGCTAAGTCCAAATCCTGGCTGAAAAGCTCTTCATGTGTCTTTGATGGATAATGACATCAATGACTTCAGTGATTTTTACAAAAAATCTTAGTAAGTAAAATACATATTCTAGTATAATTTTATATAATCATGAAAACTTACAACTGTGTGTGTATACAAACTGATTTATTCTAGAAGGGATCAGAGAGATGGTCAGCGCGGCCAAGACCTGCCGTATCTCAGTTCACATAAAGTGGCCATAAACTGATGCTCTGGAAAGAGGTGTCACTTCAGAGGATACACCTTCTCTCTTGCAAAGTGAATGGGCGCCTGAGGCCCGAAGGCGAGCTCTTTTGCAGAACAGCTTAAAGTGCTAAGAAATAAAACCTGAAGGCCAAACAAGTAAAACAATCTCTCATAACTACCTATTATTTTCTGAACTGTCATACTTTTAATTTAGCTTAGTATTCCAAAGAACACATTATAAAATTACCTAACATTTTAAGGGCACTTACCATGCACTAGACACTTCTTTAACTGTATTTATGCACTAGCTTGTTTAATCCTCTCAATAATCCAATGCCTTAGGCACTAGGCTCACCCCTTCTTTATAGATGAGGAATTGAGGTCCAATGTGTTGAACAGCTTGATAGAGACTCTACAGCTCATACAACGGCACAGACAGGATGCACACCTGGCAGTCTGACCCCTATTCACACACTCACACACGACACTATCCTGCCCAACAGCATTTTCGAATGTGTCTGCAGACACACAGGCTCCTTTTCCCTGTTTCAGCAAGTGCAGCACCAGGGGTAACTAACAGTACTCAAGACACAATTTATAATCTTCCCAATCATTACATTTGAAAAGGCTATTTTATTAAAATATCTCACACATTTCTAATGGTATTTCAAGAAGGGAAAGACTAAATTAATATATATAATTACCTTTTTGAAATATACTATTTCAGAAATTTTGAAGATTTCATTGTATGTACCTATACCTTAATTTATTACTTCAAAAGATAGGGAACATGCAATCTGTATATGTAAATAAAATTCAAAAATACAACGTATTCCTTCCATTATTCTGCAACCAATGAATTTTCCTTTTATCAGGATTTGTTAACAATACACTTTCCATATCTTGTCAAATTTAATAAACTGTACTTATACTTGCAGTATTGACTGATATTAACACAAGACTTCATAACTTTTTTTCCTTTTAAATATCTCCTAACCTAGCCTGGAGATTAAATGTAAGGGCTAGAGCCAGAATGCTTGGGTTGAAATTTTAACTCCAACATCAGGAAGCATTTTACCACAGTCAACTACTTAACCTTTCTGTGCCAGAATTTTCTCTTACGCAAAACTGAGACAATAATAATAACTTACTTCACAGGAAGTACATGTAAAACTCTTAGCAAAGTGCCTGGCACATAAGCCCATCACCACCATAATCTTCAGAAACACATTAAAACAGAAAAGCAGGACAAGCATTATTTTATATACAAGAAAGAGTGACTTCAGAGTTAAAGCAATACATACAAAACTAGATCGCTGGTTAGAATCATGACAGACGTTCGAAAAACATTGCTCATAAATCCTTAGTCCAATACTCTACATGATGTACTTCTGGAAAGTCCACCTCCTACTACCTCAAAACCGGCACTCTGACACTATCACAGCATAACCTCAGTATTTGAAAAATTTCAAATACCACGAATAATTTAACATCCTGCTTAAATCAATAACTAACAACAAGTAGCAAACACCAAAGCTGCAATGAGATGCAGATGTGAAGTGGTTAGACAAAATCATTAGCTACATATTACCTACATTTGCGTAACAATAATGCATAGAATTCACATTTGTGCATCATGGAATTTTGGGTTTGTGCACAAATAATTACAAATTAAATCACACAGATTTATGGTTGTGTCAACTTGAATGCAGGCACTGAGAAGTGGTTCTGAAGGTAGCAAAAATGGAAATTGAAACTGGGATCCCAAAACCTTCTTGCAGCCTCCCTACACCGCTTCATGCCCTCAACGCACTGGAATGCTGGAGCCAGCTCATACTGGCTCTGCAGAGCCAACTGTGATATTTTTGGAATTTTGCGTGCGGGTTGTTAAAACACAACCATAATTAAAAATTAAGTTCTCTAAACTAAATAAATTACTTTAAAATCAAAAGTAGTAAATACTCAAAACACCACTTCCTAGTTATTTTCTATATTTTATTACTATCTGTGTTCTTAACACACTCTATAATGGGGTGCTGTTGTACATCTCTTCCCAATCCACATTCAGCAACACTTTAGTTTCCTGAAATAAGGTCACAGTAGAGTATTCACGCCACGGAAATCAGTAAAGGCAACAAATCAAGGGCTCCCCCCACCCCGTCCAGTCTGAGAGTCGGTTATTACCATTTACCAGACCAACACTGCCTTAAAATCAGCTCAGCCAAGTACCTCTTGTTGGCTTAACTACCAATATTTTACAAATCCAATTAAAAAGCTACTAAGAAAGGAGGAAAATGTATGTTAAAAAAGTTGACGTCTTTACCATCTTCTGAAAGTACTTGTTTTTTCCCCCAAGTCCCTTCAAATATACAAACATTCCCCAATATTGACATGCATGTAGATTTCCTTCTTGTCTAAGAGATAAATTGTGGTCAGATTAATCTTGCTTTTAAAATAAAATGTATATTCAAAATTGTCAATATACTCAATCAAAACAGGATGAAATATACAACAGCATGAAGAAAAAAATGCACACCTGTCATTACTGATGAGAAATTGAGTACAGCACAAGTTAGTAAAAGAAACACACGATTCTAGAAGGCAGCTGTACTTCCTGCGATGTCTGAGGCAGGAATGAGGTGAGGGTATTTGGGGAGTAGGGCAGAGGGGAACTAGACGGCGTCCCGAGGGCCTTGGAGGCCAAGTCAAAGACACTCACTTTTCTTCTGCTATTATTATTTTGACATAATTTTAGGTTTGAAGAAAAACTATAAGAATAGTTCATAATAATTTTAAGTCATTTAAAAGTAACCACAGATTTTAGTAGTAAAACAGTAATAACAACACACTTGTCCAACTTACCCTTAAAATGTCTGTCTTCAACTGCAGTTCTTTTGGTGGGGCTGAATGCATCAACCCCAGGAGAGTGCCCATGTCATCGTCCCCATTGGGAGAGAGCACCAGCTGCTGGATAATCATCAGGGCATGCTGCCGGCACTGAGGATACCTCACTATGTTATGCGCACACCTCGCACCTCCAAATTCTCGGAAAATTCCTTGAAGAAGGGGGACAAAAGAAACATGGGTCAACTTAAAACATTCTGAGACAAGTCAAATGAATTAAAATTTGATCTCTCTGTAGGAAGAGTAACTCAAAAGAATGCAAATAAAACGCACCCAGCTTCTTCACCTTTTAAATTACAATATAAAATTGCACTGTGGGATGTCAGCAAACACACATGCAAATTTTCTCTAGATTTCCTTAATGCAAGATTAATGTCCTGATATGTTCACCATGTCCAAATTCTCCAAATCTAGACCTTCCAGAAATTTCCCAGGTAGACACCAAAGAGATCCAATATTTTTATGTAAAGGCTTTAAGCTGAACAATGCTTGAAATCAATTTATATAAAAGGCTTTCAGACAAACAATACTCCAAATAAATGAGATTTAAACTGAACAAGACTTACAAAATAGTAGCAAGAAAGGAATGGAATAAATTATTCTATCATGAGAAAAATTACAAGGAACCAAACTTTTTAGTTAGAGCACATGAACAAAGAAAGACCAACTCTATAATAGAAAGCATCAGGCACTGTACTGCTCCCAAGGCTTTGTGTGGATGGAATGATTTAATCCTCTTCCCTTACGTACAGAGGAGGAAATGAGACATACAGAAGCTGACTCACATGGCCAAGGTCACACAGCTAGCAAGCAGCAGAGCAGGATTTATGCCCAGACAGTCCACCTCTATATAGCCTGTGCTCCTGCCCGTGAGTGGTATGTTCTCACATCAAATACCATCTCTGAGCAGGAAAACAATGGACCAAGCAGCTTAAATCACTAATTAGTATTTCCTTTGAAGTGATGGTTCCTCTACATTTTTCAAGTACCTTGTATATGCCACTATTATAATAGTTTATATCAAACTGTCTTAGTATTGTTTGTTTATAGGTTTGGCTCCCCATTAAACCTGGAATCCCTTCTGGTTTGCGTTTCAATAAATGTTTCCCAAGTGAATAAGTGTCAGTGTATTTTGCCATAGCGGCTACCGTCCTACTGAGTGACTTTCTATTTGCTAACTTTATAAGAATTATATGACCTGGCAGTGAGTCTAAGTCAGATGCCTGAGATGTAGCACATGGAAGGCCATGTTTACTTACTTCCTTGTGCCAGTTAGTGTCCATCGGATAATCCTAAGGGCTAATAGTTTTTGAATACTTACTATGAGCAAAGCACTATTTTAAGTGTCTGAGATGCCACAGCTAGCTAGCAACATCTGTCTTCACAAGGAAAAGACAGTCACTAGAAAGAAAACTTTGTGAAAATGTCTGGTACTCTGGGAGATGTATTAAATTACTTCAGTAATACAGAGTAAGTTCTCTACTTTCCTACATTAGTAGAATTGTTCAGTCCCTCCCTGGTAACTCTAGGTCATGTCATCAAAAGCTAATTTATCAAATAAACTCTTGCTAGTATATCCTTATTACATTTCTGACTATCTCAGTCAACTAAACCTAGTTAGCGGAAATAAGAAGATTGTACATTATACCATAGACAAACTGTTAACATCGTAACTATTAAACTTCATCATACTTATTGTTTAATTTACCTACTAAGTTCATTCAACTCTGTCCTGGCATCAGCCAAAACAGTATTTAAATAATTACTTATATAATTACGTGTTTACATCTTTCTACATCAGGTTGTAATTCCTTTCGGGCAAGAATTATCTTTGTATCTCTAATATCTAGCATAGTGCTTGGGACACACAGTATATTTTAAATACGTTAAATACCGAGTTCCTCTGCATTCAAGCAAATAGGCATGCATTTGTGCATTCGCTAGTTCATTCATTCGTTTGTTCATTCATTCATTCATTTGTGGCTTCCCATCACACTTAAAATACAATTCAAGTTCCTCAGCATGGCCTAAAAAGCTCTATTTGATCTGGGCCAAGCCGACTTACCTGAACTCACCCCCAGTCATCCACTCCTCTCAAGCTGTAATGACAGTTACCTGAGAGGTTTCTGACATTGACTAAAATTTCAACTAATCTTTTTTAAACGCAAGTGATATTTTATAAATACAGGTGGACTACCTGTTAATGACAGGTAGAAAGGATTGAAGACCAGTTTAATGAATCCAATTTACCTGGGAAAGACAAGTTTTACTAGAGACTCATTTTTCAATATTTCCCTAGGGTTATAACATTATAATACTCTAACTTGAGTTACTAAAAAATTAAGAAAATCACCATATGAAGCAGATATTTTGGAAAATATTTAAATAAGCAAAGTTATTCAACTAAGGGTCTGCATTATGTAAATAAAAAAATAGAGAAATACCTCAAAATCAAGGCCAACTATAAAAAGCAATAAAATATAAGAATATATTTTGAAATCATAATAAAGTTACATATTTTGTCATCAATATACTTATAAAGGTCAAAAGTACTGTACTTCTAGAGATAGGACAGTACCATTACTGAATCAATAGTTTTTTCTCTAAGCAATAGGAGCATTTCAGACACAAGAATCAATAGAGAAGATATAAGCAGAGGCAGTAGCCTCCCCAAAGCATTCTCTAGTAGCTTTTCTAATTACCTGCATTTGTGTTTGATCCTTGAAGAAGCACTGTCAAGGTCTCCATAACCAACAAGGCCAGGTGTTTTTGGTCTTCAACTGAACTATTATTTCTTGAGTCCACTACAAAAAAAGGATCCAAGGTCCAAATCACAAAAGTTATAAGCTTATTTTTTTCTTGATTTGGTTTTGTTTTAATAATTTTAAAAATATTTGACAATCACTTTTACCACTAATACAATCAATATAATACGACCTTTAAAAATGATATATATGTCCACCAGTTACCAAAAGTAAGGTCAAAATCCATGTTTACAGATTTTACTTTGGTGTGGCTAGAATTAGTTATCTAACAAATATTAAAAAGGAAAATGCCAATAAAAATGAAATGTGTCTTTCTCATAGAGGTTTCCCTAATCAAAGAGGTCAATAGGAGAATTCTAGATTTCAATGCACCAAAGACAAAGAAAAGCTTATGAACAGTGCTATCTATTTAACGTGTATTAACTCATTCAACACATTTAATACCAAGTGGCAGATACTACTATACTTTCATCAGATTTATCAGAAAGGATGACAAATATTAAATTTAAAGTGTCTAATAATAATATATGTGTGCATATATAACATCACTAAAGAGACATATTTATTTATGCTCTATAATTAATAAAAACATTTTGAGGCACCCAAACATCCCAATTGTTTCTAGAAGCTTTATTTTATTCCCTCTTAGAACAGAAAATAGTAGACACTAGTCATGTGGATCATAAACGTTTTCCTCAGTTTTTACTTTAAATCCTCTTTCACCACAATGAGATATTTCTAGTCTCACCTCCCCATTCCCAATTCTGGAACAGAGACTGAATGAACAAGTTAACTCTGGGAAACATTCACAAGGATGTCACAATAACGCACATTAGTGAGTCATTCAAATTAATAAGCGAATGAAAGGCAAAGTATGAAGAAAACCCCTGCCCAGACCTCTTTGTCAAATAAAAATAAAATTATGGAAAATGCTTTACCTTGCTCATTTAGTGCCTGAGTTGGATCCTTCAAGAGGGCAGCATATTTGTGCAAAAGGGTTACCATGACCTCCAGAAGGCCCACCTCCCTGAACACGTCTTTAAATATGTAGTCATGCCGTGTAAACTTAAGGAGTGTTTTCATTGCAATAATGCTACAGTGGTAAGAAGAGCTAGATTTTAAGAGGATGCTAACACTAATAAGTTCTTTACAAGGGATATAATTTAAGCTAAAAACGACAAACTCTAGCATCTCAAAGTATTTGTTTTGTACTTCTGGGAGTTTAGAAATCTTTTCTGCAAACTGTGACAGTGTGTGCTGTGACTCTAGGATGAAATAATTGGCATTGTCAGCCATGTAAATATTTGTGATGGCGTCAAGGATGATTTGGGCAAGGAAGCTGGTTTTTGCTTTTAAAAATGCATTCTGAAGAACTGCAAAGGCCTGGACATTTCTCACACTGTGACCTAAAATAGAAAAGAAGAACACAAAAGTAGGTGCTATGTGATATTTTAATCATGGCAAACTAGTCTATTTAACAGATCAGGAATTCTAATATTTATCAACTGTTTACTAAGAATACATCCTGTTTTCACAAAAGATATTATTTTTCTTCACCAGGTTCAGTCATTTAATTGAAAAATAAGTAACAATACTGATTAAACTTTTAATGCATCATTATGAATACCGTGACTCAAGAATAGTACACGTTGAAACATTAGACTGTTTTAGAGAGAATAAAGCATATTATATAAGTCCAGGCTTCAGAGTTTGGAAATGTGCAGAGGTGTCGCTTTTTATTATCTGTAAGAGTGACCTTGACTGTAAGAACAGTTACCTCTCAATCTGAAAAGACTTTCAGGTTGACTAAGTAACAGGCCTGAGAGCAGCAAGAATGGCAAGAGGAAAACAGGAGAGGAAAATTCTCTAAGTTCCAATCTTCCTTTATAATTATGACACTAGAACTTTCATAAACTTTAATTTGTAAATTTATTCTGTTTTCAAGCTCAAAGTGCAATTTCTTTACATATACTAAACGTTTGTTAAAAGCAATTTATCGCCAGCTACCAGCTATATTTCTAAACATCTGATTTTCAAACATACCAACTGGAAAAAAACAAAAATTAGTACTCATGACTCTTGTGAGGCAAATTAGTGATAATAATTATAAAAAAGTTAACACAGAAAATATTCGAGGCATGTGAAAACAAGTGTTTGCTTCTAAAAATGGTCCCAAGCTTCATAACTATTAGGAGTATAGGGCACTGGCAAGAGTGACCAAAAAATTAATATAGAGCCTTACAGAATAAGCTAGATTTTAGGAAAAGGATAAGCACATAACAAGGAAAAACATAAAATGGGTTAGAAAGACTGCTCAGAAACCCTGGCTTGGACATTATCTGAAAAATGCAAAGATTTTAAAAAATCTTCAGTCTATATGATTTCAATTTTCTTTTTGTTTATAAGATATAAATTTATTCCATGTGTGGCAAATACCAAAGATTTATCTTTACTTTCAGCTCCTTACTAATAGTATGCTTGTTCTTTCTGAGGACACCTTCACTTTTTATTACCTGCAGGTAATCCAAAAACAGGCTTGGATAGACCGATGGACACACAAACGTAAAAGTCTGACTACACGTGACAAAAAGGTGACAAATAAAGTTAAAGAAAAACTCCAACCAATATTTTGTATCTTTCAGCTAAATGACAGTATCAATTATCACTACAAAGAAAGAGTTAAAAAGAGCTGAGTTTAGGATAACATGGGAAAATTTGGATTTTCCCAAGTTTCTTCTTCATTATTTGGTTTCAAGTGATGTCACTGACAAAAGATAAGGCATATTAATAACCAACCCCAAGAACAAATTATCCACCACTGGGAAATGCAGTGGTCAGCAGTTTGGCTCTTAGTAATTTTTTTACTGATAGTAATGAACCTGCTCTGATCCATCCTTAATCCTACTTGTTATCCAATTCATCTAAGGGTCATTAGTATGTAGTTAAAATAGTCTGCTCAGAGGAAACGACCAAGGAACGCTGAGACTCTAACTGGTCTCCATTACCAAATGTAAGAGCAGAAAATTCTAAGCAACTGAGGAACCAATCAGTCTACATGCAAAATTCAATCATTTCCAGTGACTAATCCAGAAAAAGAGATGTTCTGTTTGTAACATTATTTCCAAATTAGTAAATCTTATGTACAGCGGAACTCAATAGAATCTAATAATTTCGCTTCCTATCAGGAAAAAGTATCTAAAGGAATGGCTGAATAATAACACCAAAATAAGCAGCACACAAATTTGAAATGTATTTTGATTGCTGATGTCGTCAGAAGTAGTTACTCAGGACTACTCCTGAACCCGCAAAGTTATACTCCAGCAAGCCAGCTGAACACCAGCCCTGGCCACGTCTGCATCCAGCACAGATAAAGGGGAGCAAGAGCTCTCCAAAGACAGCCCAAGAGGAAGACTGAAAGGCACTTTAGCTACTAGTTTCAACAAAAACACAAAAGGGAAAATACATTATCCTCTTATATTGGTGCTGGCAGAATTAATGTGTTATGAGAAAACTTTTGTAAAGGTAAAGTGACAGAAGACTTCTGAAAAAGAAAGCTATGGTCTTTTCTCATGCAGAGATATATTCTCTATTAAAAATATATTAAAAACTCTCACTCTGTTTAGGGAACAAATTTGGAAGCTAAGGAGAGCTATGAATTATGCAGCACAACCTCCCAAAGTTTCTAGAACACTTAAGGTAAAAAAAACACCCCCCCATGGAGTTGTTATTAAACAGAAGCAATATTTCTTATCTAAGGGAAAGGAGTGCTACATTTTCCTTTAATTTCCTTCTTTAGAAAAATCTTTCTGCTGGTGAGGGTACCAAATTTTATAAAAGCTCTTGCATATAATATAGAAATGGAAGTCATTTTCAAGATTTAACATATACAAAAAAACAGAGAAGTTTACCAGCTACATTAATAACTCAGTTTACTTTTTCTTTTAAATTTTATATTTCTATACTGTTTCACTTGATCTAAAATCAGCACTAACGACAAGGCACGTAAATTATCTCTATGTATAGAGCGACAAAAAGTAGATGCATTCATGGTTTCTCTTGTAAATGTAATTATCACTGAACGGGTAAAAATTTTTGAGTAATAAGAATTTTCTTTCCATAGATGATGACAGGAAAACCAGTAAAATCAAAGAAAATATTCCTCAAAGTACCCTGAACAAACAATTGACAAAAAGTAAGATAAACAGTGTCAGATATACCAGAATATACACAGCCCCAACTTATAAACAGTCCAGAGCAAAGAGCTACAATTTGAAAAGGACTACCACTGCCTCATTCTATCAGCGCTACACATGACATCGTCACAGGTGGCCTTCCTCATCTCCATTCCTGTAAAATAGTCCATCATCTCTTATCTAAAACTAGATTAATAAGAAATGCACCAAGGAAAAAAACCACTAAAATGAATCATCAAATTTAGCAAAGTTATAGGTAAAAAAGGATATTTTAAAAAATCAATTACATTTATATAAACTAGCAACAAGCAATCAAAAATGAAACTAAGAAACAATTTCATTTAAACTATCAAAACTAAAAAAATATTTAAAGATAAATTTAACAAAGAATTGAAAGTCCTGTACAATGTACACTATAAAACACTGCTGGGGGGCCAGCCACGTGGCACAGTGGTTAAGTTCACGCGCTCTGCTTTGGCAGCCTGGGGTTCTCCAGTTTGGATCCTGGGTGCAGATCTATGCACTGCTTATCAAGCCATGCTGAGTCGGCATCCCACATATAAAATAGAGGAAGATGGGCATGATGTTAGCTCAGGGCCAATCTTCCTCAGCAAAAAAATGAGGATTGATGGTGGATGTTAGCTCAGGGCTAATCTTTCCCCCCAAAAAACAATGCTGAGAGAAAATAAGACCCAAATAAATGGAAAGTTATATATTCATGGATTGGAGAACTCAATATTGTTTAGATGTCAATTCTCCCCAAGTTGATCTACAAAGTAATCCCAACCAACATCTCAGTAGGCTTTTTGTTTTCAATAACTGACAAGATGATTATTAAATGTACATGGAAGTTCAAAGGACCTAGACTAGCCAAAATAATTTTGAAAGTGAAGACCAAAATTGGACAGCTTAAATGACTCTTTTTCAAGACTTAGTTTAAAGATACAGTAATCAAGACTGTGTAGTACTGGCTTAAGGACTGACACATTAATCAATGGGGAAGAACTCAGAGACAGTCCCAGATTCATAGTCATACATGGTCTTTTCAACAACAGGTCCTGGCACACTTGGATATCCATTTGAAAAAAAAAACCCAAAACCTTATTTCCTACATACACAAAAATTAACTTAAATGTATCAGAGATCTTAATGTAAGAGAGTTAAAATACAAAACTCCTAGAAGAAAACATAGGGAAGTCTCAGGGAATTTGGGAAAAATGAGATTTCTTCACTATGAGGCAAAACCCACAAAGTATTTTAAAAATGATAAATTGGACTTCATCAAAATGAAAAACTGGGTTCTTCAAAAGGTGCTATTAAGAAAAGAAAAGGCAAGTCAAGACTAGGAGAACATACTTATAAATGTATATATATCTTATAAAGGACTTATTCAGAATATCTAAAGAACTCTTAAAATTCCAATAAAACAAACAATCCTATCAAACATTGAGCACAGAGATCTGAATCAAAGTGGAGATAAAGATGGCAAATAAGCACACGAAAAGGCTCGAAATCATTTGGAAAAACGCAAATTAAAAAACACAATTAGATACTACTACACACTCACTAGACTACCTCAAATTAAAAAGACTAACAACACCAAGTGCTGCTGAGGATGCAAAGCAAATTTTCATACACTGCTGATGTGAATGCAAAAGGGGACAGCCAGTTTCTCACAAAGTTAAACATACATTTACCACGTGACCCAGCAATTTCATGGCTTGATATTTACCCCAAAGAAATGAAAACATATGTCCGTACAAAGACTTGTTTTATATGGATGTTCATAGCAGCTTTATTCATGATAGTTAAAGAAATGCCATCAACCAGTGAACAGATAAACAAACTGCAGATATCCAAGCAATGAAATACTATCAAGCATTAAAAAGGAACAAACTTCAGATACATGAAATAACATGTATGAATCTCAAAAGTGAAAGAAGTCAGATCCAAAAAGTGCACACTGTATGATTCCAGTTTATGAAATTCTAGAAAAGGTGAAATCAAAGCAAATCAGGGGTTGCCAGGGCAAGGGGGTGGGGAAGAGGGTGTTGAATGCAAACAGGAACAAGGCAATTTTTAGAAGGATGAGAAAATTCCAATTGCAGTTATGGTGGTGATCACACAACCATATCCATTTATCAAAACCCATCAAATTCAACACTTAAAATGGATAGTTTTTAATACACGCAAATTATACCTCAACACAGCAAAAACAGACATATTCCATATTTCCTTTATGTGGACTAGAACTATCTTCTTTAGTCCATACAATAACCGTACAAACTATGCCACGGGAAATAGATAATTCTGAGTTACTAATGAAAGTCAAAATGATCTAGCTTGATTCATTCATTTTACAGAATACTACACCAATTTTTCTGGAGAAGAAATCGATATTTAGAAAGGTTAGGTCACTCACGGTCACCTGAATACTGACTCATAGGGCAATGTCCTTTCTAGTTAACCTTACTTTCGTAGACTTTATGTCGCTGTATTCTCACAATAACCCCAGGACGTGCTAGGTTATGTATTTATTATCCCTGTTACAGATGAGACAATTATCAGGCAGACACATGAGGAAGGTTAACTTTGCTGCATTAATGCTCTCCTTACCATATTATACTATTGTAACTAGCTATTATGCCAGTGTCATGATCAGATTGATCAGCCAAATGAAGGAACGATAAAGTCTAAAGTAGGAAGGACATTGCTGAGCTATTTTTAAATTAACTCATAGGAAGAGTTAATTGTGGAATACTCAAAGTAGAGTCTATAAATTAGAAGTTTTTGGAAACCTCTATTTTTTACTAAATATTAAATAAAATGATGCCTTGAACTGCTCAGTAAAATATGCCTTAATTTCTTATTGCAGAGAGACTCATTTAAAAAGTTCTATACAACCTACACACAAACGTCTTATTGCAGTATGTTTGATGACTCCAATCTAAGTCATGACTTTTCAATATAATTTTCTTTAGAAAATCAAATTTAGGATCTTCTAATAAATCCATTTATTCTCATTAACTTAAAGACTTATAACTGCTGACTTCTAAGTCACGAAATACATAGAAATATATTGTAAAATTTAAATCACTGGACATGTTGACATTTTGTGGCTAGTTAAATTTACATGCAAATATTATAACTGTATGGAATACTTAGTAAGTGACAATCCAGTGAAAGATACTATTAGAAGCCTCTAGGCTCAGATTCTTTCAGAATGGTTATTATGCATTTAAAAAAATTAAATAAACAGTAGAACTAGTTTGCACTCTTATGTAACTAAGTGTTATTAACTATACAATAAGTTTTCTTAGTAAAAGGTCACTAGATGAGAAGCCAAAGTTAGGAAATACGAACTATAAAATTTGGAAAGAAATATGTAACTTCTTGGTACCTAAGTTTGCTTAGTTTTAAACAAAATATAAACATCTGCATCTCATGCTTTCTCTATAAATCTTATATAGAGATAGGTATAGAGATCAGAGCGTAAATTGAGTTCCAGCCACACAAAGTGGAAATGTGTGTGAAGTGCCAACAATCAAAAGAGAGATGTTTGGATTATTAAATTGTTTGAATGGTAAGATGAAATACTAAAACATAAATTTCACTGTTTGATTTTATAATATTTTCATAATATTATTTTCAAGCATTTGATCTGCTAAAGACTATCACTCAAGAAATTACACTACAAAAAGCATAAACTTCAATGAAAAACAGTATATTACCTTTATTCAAGTAACATAAATAAAGAGCAATCAAAGTCAGACTAATTCTTTCTCTATTTCTCTGACTGGCTCAGAATAGAAGGAAAAAAACACTCACCTTTGCCTGCAGGCTGAGGTACTGCAAATCCAGGCAATAAAAAGGGTGCCCCTGTGGTAACACCAGCTGGTTTGAGCTCACTGACACCATATGTTGTTAGGGAAGTTATCAGATTAACCAGATCTTTCAAGGCATCTTTGGATTCTGCCTCTTTTGCTTGTTCCAATCTAGGAAAAGTATGATTTAGCATGTATTTTTTCTCTTTGCTGTATTCTCAGATTTAATAAAGAAAGAAAATTTCAGTTTTATATGCAATAAATAAATAAATATATAAAGTACTCCAAGAAGTTTCTTCTTATAATTCTTCCTATATAAAAACATAATATTTCTACAAATCTACAAATTTTATTATAAGACATTATGGTGTATTTAAAAGAAAATTATACCAATAGTGAGAAAACCTGATATAAGTGCTGATTTTGCCAGTAACAATGTTATTTCAGGTAAATCACTAATCTTTGGTAGGAAGTCTCTACAAAAGAATTAAATATCTCTTAAATTCTCTAAGGCTCTAAGGTTATAAAGTTTCACTGCTTACAACAAAAAACCTTATTAACCATTTCTTTCCTAAGACATTTTCTCTGTTAACAATTTTTACAAATGAATTCCTCGGGGAGAGTTCTAAGACTTCATCTGTATTTCATTAATTTAGGCATTCTCATTAGAATACCTTTGAAAAAAGTTCTGAGAGTCTAACAATTTTTGAAAGCAATCTTAACTCCTTTAAAAGAACATTGGAATCATTGCAGAATTATCTTTTGATCGCAGCTTTATTGAGAGCACAAAATGAATGCAAAACTACCTTTTTTTAAAGAATAAGATTCATTGGGGTTTTCCCCCCATAGAACTAATACTCCCATTAAGACAAACAGAGAATGCACAAAAGTAGAAAAGAAAAAAATATGCTTAGCCTCACAACTAAAAGACACTTTTAACATTCTGATTTTAACTTGTCTTTTTTTAATGTGAAAAGTTTTGTTTTAATAATAGTTATTTTCATATCATATACAGAATTTTGTAACCTGTTTTTTTTCATTTACCAGTGTTATACACATGCTTCTCTATGTTAGTGTAAGCTCTCCATGGATATGCTTTTGATGGCCATGGAGAACCAACCAGATTTGGAGAGAGGGACAGCTAGTAGAAATCAGGATACAGAAGCACTAATACACACAAAATTTTGTCTACATTTAGGATTATATCTTTAGTATCAATAACCATAGTGAAATTATTATGTCAAAGAGTACTGACATTTTTGAAGCTCTTGATTATGTCTGGTCAACCTGCGTTCTCAAAGGATCGCACCAACCAACAACCCCCTAGTAATGTGAAATGGTATCCTATCAACTTGCAAATGTCCTCGCCTGTAAATTAGGATATATATGCAAAATTTACATTCTTGAGAGTTGCCTAGTATTAAGTAATTACAGCTAGGTTAAACTGGTGTTAGAAATAAGAAGTTTACAAAATACTGCTCGTTTACAATAGATCAAATGATTTAAAAACAACCACTGGCCCAGGAACAACTAGTGAGGCATGAGTACCTTCATCTTAATAAATTTGTGACCAGCCATGTTCCCCAGTATATGCGTGGAATATATGTGATGGAAGAGGGGCTCAGTGAAACATTTTAGATTGACTAGTTTTTTTTGTTTTTGTTTTTGTTTTGAGTATGATTAGCCCTGATCTAACATCTGCTGCCAATTCTCTTTTTGCTGAGGAGGACTGGCCCTGTGCTAACATGCGTGCTCATCTTCCTCTACTTTATATGTGGGACGCCTACCACAGCATGGCTTGACAAGCGGTGCCATGTCTGCACCCGGGATCCAAACCAGCGAATCCCACGCTGTTGAAGTAGAATGTATGCACTTAACCGCTGAGCCACTGGGCCCGCCCCGACTAGTTTGTTTTATACATATATATATCGTAGGCTCTCATTCAACCTACATAATTATTATTAACTATGTTAGTAACAACATGAATTACTAATAAGGAAAACCAAAAATATAATTAACCAAAAAGAATATACCCTAGGAAGATGTTAATTAGTTCGTCTAAACTCTTCTCCCTCAGCTACTAAATAAGAGTAGACTGATTCTTTACATCTAATCACTGGCGCCACCAAATTTGCAGCCTGCATTTGCCAATTTAACTCTAAATTCTCTTTTTGTAGTTTGTTGACAGAACAGTTGAATAAAAAGAAGTGATTAAAGCCAGGAGGATAAAGTATACAATAAATAAGTATTGATTCCTTTTTTCCTATAACTCCAAACCCACAATGTTCCCCTTGATGAAATATACTGAATAGACATTAAAATATATACTTAAATTATGGGGTTTTACCTAAGCAAGAGATCACAAAGGAAATTATATCCTTGCCATATCCGAAAATCATCCAGGAGAGTCTGAGAAACGTCACTGGAATCTTTGAGGAAACAAGAAAGTCCAGCAAACATTTCAACAATCTCTAGGGGAGACAGGTCCTCTGACTGCTGCATATTCTGAACACACGTGGATAAACACTCCTTTTCTGAGAATCAAGGATTAAATAAATAGGTTATTTATGTCAACTGCTGGAGAAAATTTTCTTCATTCTTAACCAGTGTTTAATGAAACATTAAGTTTGCATGTGTCTGTAAAATACCATAAGATAAATGTCACACACTCTAATAGTAAACGCAAGATTCAGATTCACTGGGAAAGCGCTGCCTCTTAGGAGTAACCCAAGGGTCATACAGGAAGTGTTGAAAAACTGTTGACATTTATTAAGTGTTACATCTTATTTGGATGTTTTATCATTAAACAAAATGATTGCCCGCTGCCAAATGTTATTTTTGATCTTTTATATTAATACAATAAAACGTTGAAAGAAATAAAAAAAAATCTTCTAAGTTTAAGAAGAAAAATCCAATAATTAGTTAAACGTTCAAATCAGAGTGAATACACACCGATGGGACACAGAAATACTTCAGGAAATAAAATTTTAAAAATTATGTTTGTACTATACATTACTAGTTTAAAACATGGTTATACTCCATCACTGACTTTGGGGATTGAATGCACTTCAAAGAAGACTCCCTCTCCTATCTTTAATGAAATTTATTTGTCTAAAGAAACCCGGTGTCACATAGCTAAGAAGCTAAGAAGATTTAAATAAAAGCTAAGAAGATTTAGCATAGGAATGAAGGCAAGAAACATTTAATGACTGACTGATGTTAGGTAAGTGAATAAATAATTGTACTAAAAATTATTTTGAAAGATTTTCAGGTATATATATATATAAGATATAATAAGTGGACTATTTGAAATGCTACAATTGTCTCCTACTTAGACATTTTAAAGGATAGTCAACACTTATATATGAGGTAAATAGAATGGACAATTTCTCCTTAGTGCTCATTAAAGAATACACTAATTTCATTTATGCCACATTGAACAGAGTGAGTTATCTTCAGAAACACTTTTAACTATAGCATCCCAAAAAAACTCTTTTTTTCCCAATAAAAGAGGAGAAAAGAATAGGCTATGTCATAGTAATTACATTCTATTATGACTGAACATTTACACGACAGTGAAATTATTTTAACTCTTGTAAATATCCATCGTTTGGAACATAGGAGAATTTCTTACATTTGAAATGCCTCACAAAGCAAAAGTAAATTTTTTTCTGCCGGCAAATACAGTTTTTAATTTAAATTAGAATCTTTGGAGAGTTGAGAGAGAAAAATAAATCTGTCACTATGAGGAAGAGAAAAGTGGAGGACATCTAGAGCACCTCAACTGGACACTCAAAGAGCTATTCACCATGAATGTACTTGACTACGTTGACGCTGAGGCCGTGGCGGGAGATGGTCATCAGGACTTCTCCGGCGCTCTTCCTCCAGGGCAGGTTATAGGGAGGGCACCAAGAGGTTATTGCACTGAATAAAAGCTGGAGGTCATCCTTCTGAGCCAGCTCTTCCGCTGGAGAGACAAAACTGCAGAGTTTCACCAAGATCTAAAAGACAAAACAAAACAAAAAGCAAATGTGTATATAAATAAATGAAGGGCTGGGGAAAGGGAGGAACTGGCAAAGGACTAGATCTGATTATTAAAAACTCTGAAAGTTCAGGGTCCGCACAGAGTGATATCATTAAAGCCACAATGATGAGTGCTCTCAGTCAGACAACAGTAGAAAAGACAGCTATAATTTAGAAGTGTGTTATGGTAAGACAGGAAGCCAGCCCTGTTTTTATCAGCTTATTTTTTAAAAGAATGTTCAATGTTTACTATCCTCTCCTCACCATGGTATTTTTGCATACCTTACCCTGAAACAGAATAAATCAACAATAACTTCCAAGGTCAACATTTTAGTTTTCTAATTTAGTTCTTTAATTCTTAGTTTCTCATTGGTGGAATATAATTTTCTTCTCTAAAAAGGACAGTTTCAGGGAGATGATAGAGTAAAAACAGGTCTTCAAAAGTATTTTCAAATTCTTTCAACTTCTATATAAGTAGAAGGGGATATTAAAATAATAAAATCATCTTCATTCAGAAGTATCTTTTAATTATGTCCAGTAGCCAGAAGTGTTCTAAAGCTTGGCTTTCAAAGAAGATTCAAATCTTCTTAAATTTTGGAATGAGAACTTACTCCTTAACTATGACATGCACAATATGCACTACACAGGTGCTCACAGCACTAAAAGCCTGCTACTTGGGGAATTTAGCTATGGTTTCTGTCCTCAATAGCATTTTTCTTCTAATCTCAATTCAGTGTCAGAAAAAGTTAACTTTTCTTCACTGTGCTAAAGTTTCTCATCTAAATATTTCAAAAAATATATAATATGAATAAAATAACTCTAATTTATGAAATAATTTTCTTCTCTTGAAAGAAAAGTGCTTCATGAAATTTGAGTATTTCAATCACTGTGGGGAAGCTGCTAAATAGGAAAAAGTATTAGAAATATCATGTTTTGTCTGAGAAAGCTAGGTCTTGCTTTCCTATTTCCTTCCATGCAGAAATTTACTTAAGTAAAAGAGCTTTCTAAATCATAGTTGCCAAATATCAAGAAGAAGAAAAAAAAGGGACTAAGAATTCAGAGAAACAACAAAATATTTATAAAATTAATAAATACAGGCATTTCCCCACAAAAAAATGCCTGGAGAAATTGCTGGATACCAAATGTCCGTCTTGTGATATGTGCATCTTTTCCCAAGTGTCTCAAACGCAACAAAAAAGACAGTCAATTGCAGCAAAAAAAAAAAAAAAAGCTCAGAAGGGTGTACTGCTGATTATATTTTTTGTCGGTTCTCACATTACCTTTACGTGATTAGAGGGATGGATGTGATTTCTCTGTCTTGTAACATAAAAACAAACCCAAAAATAAAATATTTTTTTCTAAGTCAAATCTCTGTTCTCAAAAATAAATTGGGGGGCTGGCCCCGTGGCCGAGTGGTTAAGTTTGAGCGCTCCGCTGCGGCGGCCCAGGGTTCGGATTCTGGGTGCAGACATGGCACTGCTCGTCAGGTCACATTGAGGCGGCGTCCCACAAACCACAACTAGAAGGACCCACAACTAAGATATACAACTATGTACGGGGGAGTTTGGGGAGATAAAGCAGGAAAAAAAAAAAAAAAGAAAGATTGGCAACAGTTGTTAGCTCAGGTGCCAATCTTTAAAAAAAAAAAGAAAAAGAAAAAGAAAAAAAATAAATTGGACTTAATTCCTTGAATTTGTTGACTCTTAAGAGAAATGATTCTTAATCTTTAAAGGCAAAAGGATTCTTACAAATAATCTAGTATAATCCTTTCATTTTACAGAATAGACAGCTGAAGAATCTGCATCTCATTCCTCTTCTGCCCGACACTAACCACTTCTGTTTGTGGGGACTCTGTTACAAAGGCCAGCCAAGTGTGGCAGAGCAATAATTGGCCACATCAATGCAAATGGAAAAAAAATGAAAGCCTACATGAAGCAATACCAACTGCTAAGGTCCCAGGAAACCATCTGTCACATAACACAAACATAGGGATTTTATCTATCATAAACACTATAAGTTCTGAAAACATTTAATAAGTTTGTCCCATGGGTTTCCTAGGCAAATGATGAAAACACGGTCCAGCCTGTGATGAGGAACTAAAAAAAAGGAGGTGATGCACTAAAGGGACACTGGACGAGGAGGAGAGAGCCGGGCGCTAAACACAGCCACGCACCTGCTGTGGATCACAGCCACAGTTTCTACAGCTGTAAATGGGGAGCTGCACTTAAATTCTCTTTGAGCTCCTTCTGGCCTTAACATTCAATGATTCCAATATGCTAAAACGAGCTCCAAAATTAGTTTAAAGTTAGCACCCACCGCTTTCAGATACAGAAAAAAAAAATTTTTTTTTAAGTTTTAGAAGAAATCTTTGCTTTATTAGTTATAAAATTCAGCTTCCACTTATTGCTTACAGGGTTAATTAGTTCTTTAGAAAGGCTTTACTGAAATACGGCTACTAGTCTAATCAGCAAAGACTAACCCACTAAATTCATCAGCAATGTCTTAAAGCAGCTTTAATTCCTGAGATTTATTGCCACTGCTCTTCTCATCCAATCCAACTCAGAAGTCAGAGATACCTGAGTTCCAGTCCTATTCCTGACATTTGCTCACATCATTTTGGCAGAAAACAAAAGCTCTGAAGTCATAGGTTGCCTTGCAAACTATATGAGATAACAAATGTTAACCACTAGTACAAAAGGATCTAATACATCAAGTGTTCAATAAATATTCGTTGAATTAGTATTTTATTGATAATCCCGTCTTCTTTCTAAAACTGCCTTAGCCTCCCTCTCCCTGTCCTTTCACGGCTCGCAGCTCTACACAGCTGAGGCATTCCTGCAGTAAGACCCCAGTAACATGAGGCGCAATCGTCCTTTGTTAGTGGCTCCACCTTATCTACTGCACATCCGCTGTCCTCGGCTCTCTTCCTACTCTCACTGACGAGGGGATGGTAGTGGGAACAGCAGCAATCACACGGGCCTTTATCTCATGTCACTATGTCCTAAGCAGAGAACCACAGCTTTGTGTATTATTTTATTTAGTCCTCACAAAAATTCTTTAGATAGGTATCATTATTTTCATTTTAGAGGTGAGAAATCTGTATCTTAGGTTACATAATTTCAGAAAACTGGATTCAAACAGGTGTGGGTCTTTTTAATTGAGGTGAAAACACATAAAAGAATTTACCATCTTAATCGTTGTTAAGTACACTCATGCATTGCTTAACGATGGGGATACGTTCTGAGAAATGCGTCATTAGGCGATTTCGTCATTGTGCAAACATCATAGAGTGCACTTACACAAACCTAGATGGGACAGCCTACTACACACCTAGGCCATATGGTACTGATCTTATGGGACCACTGCCGCATATGCGGTCCGTCATTAATCGAATGTTGCTATGCGGTGCACGACTGCATACAGCCGTGTTAACTATATGCACATTGTCATCCAACACATCTCTAGAACATTTTCACCTTGCAAAACTGGAACTCTATACCCATTGAACAACAACTTGTCTTTTCCTCCACCCTCCAGCCTCTGGCAACCACAACTCTACTTTCTAAGAATTTGACCACTTTAGATACATATAAGGGGAATCACGCAATAGCTGTCTTTTTGTGTTGAACATGTATTTTTTAATACTATATTAATGGGCAGATTGTACTCTAAATGTTTGTACTTTGCTTGTTTTAAAAATTTTCTCCCAAGAAGAAATATCAAAATAACGATACTATTTCCAGGCTAGCTAACAAAGGTCTATTTAAACCTTTGTTACTTGCTAATGCTGTTAAAAGAATAGCGGCAAGAGTGGGAAAGAAGGGCTCTACCGGCAGGCAGCAGAGGCGGTGGCAGCAGCCACTAAAATAAACTATCTTATATAAGTTAAATATTTATAGGTTAGGGACTTCCTGTATTCAGACAGCAACAAAATAGAATTTCTTGACATTATAAGAAATATTACCCCAAACTTAATATGACTGTCAATAAAAGTTTTCTTTGCTTAGTTCATTTTAGAGATGTTATTGCTATATCAAAGGGAACCTTAATAGTTGAATCTGTTCAAAGAAATAAACTTGTTAATGCCTTACTCAAATATTCCTCAAAAGAAATGCGCAGATTCAAGAAATGTGATAATTACATGAGATAAAGTCAATTTACAATAAACAGTATGAAATACTACAGAAAATGGAATACGCAGACCATCTATTTAAGGAGTGCACCTGCTTCACTTTAAATGGAGTGGTACAGCCAGCCAGGCACACAGCACCTGCCATACCTGTACAAAAACTTTCTGGAGTAGTCCACGACGTTCTGCTAGAGGTAGCTCATTCTGTGCCCCTCCAACCGCCTCAGGCACATGTGGAAGGTCAAAAAAGAGATATAAACATTTAACCAGAGTGGAAGGCACTGACATCGTTGTCATGCAGTCCACGGTTTTCTGGAAAACAAACCAATAAGTAAGTGAATAGACAGATAAATACACAGACAGACACAACTGTAATTGGTACAGCTAAGTAAGCTCACAAATTTTAAGCCAGAAGTTAAATCATTAACTCACACATTTTAAGCCAGAAAATTATATACCAAAATAACTTTTTAAATGCCTGAAAAAATTTAAAAATGACTCCATGTTCACAAATACTCATTTCCCACTTGGACAAATTTGCTTTCATTGAATACTGAGATGTCTGTGTGTATGTTATTAAGATAACAAATGCAAAGGCATATTAAGCACTAAATTATATATCCGTAGTTGCTTTACTATCACTTTTATTTTATTCTTATTGTAGATTCTTGAAACTGTAAGGACACTTGAGGGATACAGCCATCACTGACACACAAAAAATCTCTATATTATTTTCAATGATTTCCAGAGAAAGAAATTCCAGACCCTCATATGGCGAACAATTCAGTTTGTTACAAAGTATGCTATACTAATTATCAAAATGTTTCCAGAGTGCAGTTTGGAATGAAAAGTTTTACCACACTAGAGATTAACAGGTTGGCGTTATCTGTTGAGTAGTTTATTAACTTTTTCATCAAACATTTATCGAATGCCTACGGTATGTCAGACAGCATGCTGGGAGCTGCGATGCAATGACAAAGCGTCCCTGCCTGTCAGAACACTAGTCTACCGGCAGAGGCAGGTTCATCAACAACGATGATTTAATCTCTTAAGTGTAACAATGGAAGTACAACCAGCCAGTATAAAAGGGAATGATCCAAACTGCCAGGAGTGGAATGGAAAAGTGTAGGAATTAAATAAGGTGGGAAAGATCACCTGTAAGGATAGGCCACATGGGACAGTATGTTTCAGGAACCTGAGTCTAAAACTGCTGACTCCTGAAAAGCCACAATCACTATGTCTAATCTTTAATGAGTGTTTATTATATCACAGGCATAAGGCTAAGCACTTTAAATCCCATTATCTCATCTATTCGTCAAATCAGCCCTATGAGGCAGATTCTATTACCATACGACAAATGAAGCAGTTGAGGCACTTTCCTTACAACACCTGGCCTCAGGTCAGAGAGCTGGGTAAGTGGTCCACAAGTGGATATGCTCAATGACCTATGCATATGGTCTCCCATTCTGGCTTTGCTTTTTAGTTTGCTGGCATTGGAGACCCAATGAAGCCTTACAAACAGAGGAGTAATAGAACCAGATTTCAGAAAATGAGCTGGTAGTAGTATAGATAATAAATTAGATATAAAGAGCAGGAAGGCCAGGGCAATTTGGAAATGAATACAGAAAACCATCTGAGAGACGGGGCCTGAATTAATGCAGTAGCAGGGTGATGGAGAGGGGAGAGAGCCTAAAGAACAATCCCTTGCAAGATCGGGCCCCTTCCTACATATCCAGTATCATTTCCTGCCTCTAATATTCAAAAACCCTCTGCTCTTCCCACCTACAATTTATTATTTCTAGACACCCCATGTCTCCATACATCTAACATTCAGTTTAAATGTCTGCTCACGTCTGAAACTTTCCTTAATTCATCATCTTTCCTCCTACCCTCACCTACAAAATTTATAACTCACATTTCTATTTTCAAAGCACCACATATACCCCATTATTGCATTTTACAGTGTTATCTTCATCCACTTCATTTCTGTCATCTACATGTTGATTCAGGACCACGGTTTAGTCATCCCTCTATTTCACTGCTGCCAACAGAAAATGGCATGCAAATAAACGTCAGCTCAAAACACAATGCTGAATTTTCTCTTAAAATCTCTTTCCAGTTAGATTATCACTAGCTTTCCTTTCCCATTAAGCAAAATGGTATGACTTTTCATTTTCATCTTACATCTGATAAATTAAAAGCATAACTTAGTATCCAAACTGGTAATGAGATACATTTGAAAATATTTTTTAAGTGATTAGGTTTCTCCTGATTCACTTCTTAGACTTTGAAGGCTATCTATCCATTTGGGCACGTTTAAGTTAGTTCACATTTACTGACTTTCCACTATTTGATAGTTATTATGGTAGGACGTAGTCTCTGCTCACAATTGAGAAAGAAATACAGCATCTATGGAAAATATGAGTACAACTTAAAACTATTCCATATTAAAATTATCATTCTGCATGCTATTCTAAACCAAAGCAAATTGTGGTACAGCAATATAGAGGCAGTTACAGCTACCATCAGCAACAAACAGAATTGGCACTTTGATAGTCATCTGGTATGCTCACAGATCCACGGAAACAATGGGCCACTTTAGGACGATCTGTAGGCTACTTAGGGTGAACAAACATCTCATTTGCCTAGGATTGAAGGGGTTCTTAGGATGCAGGGCTTCTATGCTAAACCTCAGAAAGTTCCAGGTAAATCAGGACACGTTCACCTGATTCCTTTTCTGATTTAAAAAACAAAACAAAACACAAAAAAGGAAAACAAACCATTCCAAGAAAAACAAAATCCAAGTGCCACTTACTTTGGGCTAAAGACTAGTTTCAGGATACGGTTACTAAGAAACTTGCATTGTTTCTGCTATGGTCAGTCACCACAGTATGACTGGTGTCACAGTCAACTTTTGTAAATTCCATTATTAAATATGCTAGGTGTTTTGAAAGCCCCTTGTAATTTAGACAATAGCCATTCTCAAAATTGGCACTGACTTTGATAGGTAATTCTACTCCGAATTTTAGAAGGTTGAATAAATTCATCCCAAAAACATCACAGGCCAAAAATCAGGTACCCAAACAGCTCATAAATAAGTACATGCAACATATATCATGACAGGTGCTTAAAGCTGACTGGGGTTGGGAGGGAAGCAATCTCCAGAATAAATCAAGTGGGAAGAGAATATATATTATCCTAAAAATGGCAATATTTCCTTATTTTCCATAAAAATTAGAACAACTTTAAAGGATTTTCCATCTCATTGATTCTTTATTAGCTAAGTGACCTTAGATGAACCTTAGACGATTCTTCGAAGCCAGAGTTTCCCTAACATGGTTTACAGAAATGTTGAGCTGGGCCTGACAAAGCCAGGGCCCCTGGGCTAGCCACCTCCACCACAAGTAGTCCATCCTTTTGCTCAGTGTGCTGTACAAATGGTATCATGTTCTATGTGTGTTATGACATGACAAAGATGGAAAACACTGGTCTAAGTTAGGCATTTCCTCATGTGTAAAATGCATAAAACATCAACATCCCCCAAAAGATGATGTGGGAAGCGTCAAATAATGTATAATAAGAATTAGAAGAATACAATGATTATCAGAAAATCTTATTTGGATATGATGATAAATTAACTTCACAAAATCCCAAGAGGATAGAAAAGGAGGCTGAGAGAGTCATTCAACGTGAAAACAGAGAACTTACCTGACCAGAGGATGCTAACAAATTAATTGTTGTCAGAAGCATCCAACCTCTACTAGCTTCTTCACTCTGATTGATTTCCAGGAATTGGACTATGGCCCGACTTGCAGCCTCTATAAAACCAAAGGAAAGCCATTAGGTTGGGGGGGAAATGACATATAAAGAGGTTCTTCCTTAAAACCTGGAGAGAAATGATTATTTGCTAAGCACATACATTTTATCAGCACAATGACATGCTTGATGTAAAACACATTAAAAAGAGCAATGTTTTAATGGTATATATAGGCCTTTATAGCATATCATCATATCAGTACAGAAATGTAAAAATCAACTTACATATTTTAGGGAAAGGTATGTTGCAAACTAGTCAAAAGAGCCATGGAAGAAGTGAAATTTGAGCTAAACCCTCCTGGAAAAGAAATCTATGTTTGTCTAGGAAGTAGGAGGGAGGAAAGGCAACAGAGAGCTTAGAAGCACAGTATTAAAAGTATGGCTAGAGGACTGAGCTTAATATGTACAGACCAAGACAAAGAGCTGTAATAACACTGGGTTAACATTCTGGAGGAGCACATGTTGAGAGTGAGCCTAACAGCAACAGCAGTGATAAAAAACCGATGCCTATTTGTAAATGAAGGGAAGCTCAGGGCTGTACTGACTCTTCAGGCAAGAGGGAGCAAATCTAGTTTCCGGAGCAAAGTAGATGGTGATAGGATTATTCTAAGACTATTAATTTAGTGGTGATGTATATGACAAACTGGAAAGGTAAAGATACTGGTGGGAGAAACAAGTTAGGAGGTTGCCTCAGTAACACACACAAGGGGTGACTTGAGCTGCTGACAGTAGGAACAGAGGAACGATGAGAGAGTCACTCACAGAACTGTAGTGTTGGAAGAATCCTTGACAGTAAATTTAGTTGATTATGTTTTTAGAGATATGGGAAAATGGATAAATCCCTAACCATGCACTTACGTCATCAGCAGAGAGTTCATCAATTTTTATATTGATATACAAGACGAATTAAAGTTGTCAGAAAATAAATCCAATCTGTCCACTCGGAACTAAAGTGGTAACTTACTCACCTAGACTTGACACACGTCATAAAGACACAGAATGTACAATAACTAGCATCTAGATTAACTTAGGGGTATTTTTTGTTTCCATTTAAGACAATCAAAATAAAAGTAGTTTATTAAATAATTGGATTAATAAAAGACTAACAGTGCTGGGTATATTTCATCTTTATATACTTCCATTTGAAGTTGCCAGATAAAGAGATCTGGATAAGCAGTTGTGGTGTGAATGATAGGGGAGAGATCCCAAACTCTCAGTGACAAAATAAAACTATTTTTACACAACAAATGTATTCAGAATAACTATTGTACTTTCACCTACTAATTTTAGTATGCTGCCATTCAGAACACCTTAATGGAATCTCCCACTTTTTATTTTAAATGAATCAAGAAGCTCACTTTAAAAGTATATAACATTTAGCACCACCTTTAAAAAATTATTTATAGTAGAAAGTACTTTAAATTAAACCTCCGTAAATCACAGTTTCTTAAAACTTTGAAGGAAAAACACTCCCAGTCAAAAAAATATTGCATTTGGTTCTTTTAATTTCACTAATGTTTAACAAATACAAATTTAAATGATGATTTAACTTATTCATAAGTTAATGAAAGGAACGTATTAACATTAACCCATCTTGACAATTGCCAATCATTTTGACTCAAGCTTTAGCTTTCACACTGCATTTCAATACACATAGTTAGACTAAAAAATACAGAAATGGAGTTAGTAGAGTTCATTAGGAAATAGAACAAAATGCAGACAATCTTAAAAGAAATGTAAGTTCCCAGTCTACACTGAGAGAATGTAAGTGAATTCAATTAGACAGCATTCAGAACAATCAGAACGTAAAACCTGTTAATAGCTAAGTGCAATACAATTTTTCCTGTGCAGAGCCCATTTAAAGCATTATCATTTTCAAACGTATGCTTCAGGATGATAATGTGAGACATGACAATAGTTTTATTACACTTATTTCATTAATAAAGAAACCAAGCCCTAAACACTCCTTTCCATCCAAAAAAGAAACTTCCACAAGTTAGTCAGAAAAACAGTGTTAGAACTCATAGCTTCCATGCTTCTTTTCATTTGATAATACACAACCACACCCTGGGAATGAAATTACCTGAAGGTGTTGTGGCTTTGAAATCCTTGGAGGACAGCGGGGCATACTGTTTTTCTGTTTAAAAAAAAAGGCTGGGTTGTCTAATTGGGGATTCACTACATTATACTAATCCCGCCACAAGATGTTGCAATGAGACGCCAACTACGGTCAGCATCACCCAGCTTCTCCATCAGTGGGCGGCTGCCCGTTGGGGATTGCACCACTGTGTTTAACAGTGGCACCCAGCATGCAGCAAAATCATCAATAATAAATTGAAGATACTACTTTTACACAGGTGGGAATTTTCTGCTTCAGGAATGTACACTATGTGCCCTTAAAATTCAGCAGACTGCATGGTTGAACTTAACAAGTAACTGGAAGAGATGGGAAAAATCTTAAGCTACACTTGTACACAACATAGCCACAAAATTATATATTTTCTCAAAATTGTTAAGAGTCACTACATATTTTTAACAAAAGCCACACAAAGGCAACAAGCAAGAGAGAATTAAGGGAGACAGAGAAAACTAGAACTGTGAAGTTGCCCTAATATTTTACAAGTCAGTGTATGTATCCTTTTTGCATATTGATATTCCCCAGAAGTTTCCATTTTTACTAACTTCTGACGGATTGATTTAAACAGCGGAACTGCAGATAGGCATGGTTTCTACTGAGGTATCTACAATCCATGTTAGAAGTGATCTGATAAAAAGACTGGATATGTGAGTGGTATTAGGTAACAAACAAAATAACAAGTATTCCACACCAAATTCAGAGAAGTCCTGGAAAAATAATCTTGCCTTGATGCAAAACAAATATAGCCAACTTTCAAACGACTAACAGAGGACTCACTTCATCTGCTTTCTTTGGAGGAAAATTACGTGCATGTAAATTATAACAAAATTACTTTAAATGATAACTTCCTATAAAATAAAAGGTTATGTAACGTATTGAAAGCAGCAAACTCATAGAGGCCGCAAGTAGCATGGTGGCTGCCAAGGGCTGGGAGGAGGAGGAAATGGCAGTTGCTGTTCAATAAGCATAAAGTTACAGTTATGAAAGACGAAAAAGTTCCAGAGATCCGCTGTATAACACTATACTTATAGTTAACTGCACTGAACACTTAAAATTTTGTTAAGGGGGTAGATCTCACGTGTTTTTTACCACAATAAAAATCAGTCAATCAGGGGCTGGCCCTGTGGCTTAACGGTTAAGTTTGCCTGCTCTGCTTCAGCAGCCCAGGGTTTTGCCAGTTCGGATCCTGGGGGTGGACGTGGCACCGCTCATCAGGTCATGCTGAGAAGGTGTCCCACATAGCACAACTAGAAGGATCTACAACTAGAATATACAACTATGGACTGGGGGCCTTTGAGGAGAAGAAGGAAAAGAAAGATTGGCAACAGATGTCAGCTCAGGGCCAATCAAAAAAAAACGTTAGCTCTTTAAAAAAAAAATCAATCAATCAGAAAATAAGGATGGGATATGCAAGAGGTTAGATGATGGAGAATGTACCTCGATCCTCAAAATCTAGAATTTTTTACTCGAAAAATCAAAGGATGAAAAAATCTCCTTGAAAGTGTTTTTGGTAGCAAGACTGACCAAAAGAAACTTCCAATGTTCAAGATTACAAATGGGAGAAAAGAACAAGGATTCCCATAGCCACGGTTCTGTAAGGCTGAGGAGATACTCCAAAAGTATACTTTTCTCTCTTAACATCAGTAAGGCTGACCTTTCTAACAAGACTAATCCTCAAAGCATTACAAAAAGAGGTCACAAAAATCCCATGTCAAAAATCAGTAAAAATTTACTGAGCACCTAACTGGTGACAAGCAGCCTTCTAGGAGACACAGGCGTGAATGCAACAGACAATAAAATTAGATAAGTGTGTAAACAAGATACTTTCAGATGACGACAAAGCTCTGAAGGAAGTATTTAAGGCGACCGAATAAACACTAACTGGTGTAGGGACAGAGGATAACAGACCTATTTACAGGGCCTGCAACTTCCCCTGGGCCCAAAGGCTCCCAGGGCTAAACAGCTAGCATCCACAAACAACTCCAATAAACATCCAACAGATACTCAAATGCAGTACTTCAACAGCTAGATCACAAGCAGTTTGCGTGTTTCCTCACTGATAAAACTGCATTCATGCTTGTACTTTAAGAATGGAGGTGGGGTGGGGGATCTCCCAAGCATACTTTGCTGCGAGATAATGATGGTGGTGGACCTTCTTTCCTCTTGTTGACTCCTGGTTTTATAAGTTTCTGCAATAAAACCATGCTATATGATGTGATGGGATTTGATGTGATGGCACCTGAAAGCTTGTCAGCCTAAAGGTATCACCTTCCTGAACCCATCTTACATAGCAAGAGTCAAAGATATTTTCACTCATGAGATTTCTAAAAAAAAAAAAACCCCAAAATCTAAAATGTAACTCCCCTGCATCCTTTCTCAGGGAGCTGCTGAAAAAAGATGCTTTACGAAGAATGAGCAAGTTAATTTCAGAAAAAAGATGACATGAGATTCAAGAGGCTCCATCCCAAAGAAGTGGAAAGGCATCCCAGGATGACGTGAGCGAAGGTGTAAAAATAACAGCTGTCCAGCTGGCCTAGAGAGCTACTACTATAGAAGGTTCCGGAAGAGCTATTTGCAAGATGAAACTGATAGAATCTCTTATGTCTTTGATCATATTGAGGGGAGATTCAGAAAAACAAGGGAGTAGGGGATGAAAGTGTGATGAAAATGTAGAAAACTAGTAAAGAAAAAAAGGCAACGATTAACTCTGATGGAGGTGGAGGAGAAGCTTTCAAGAAAGGAGAAGTAATCATGGCATACCATATGGCTCCTCTCAGAACAGTGTTTTCATAGTCATAATAATATAATGAATACTGATCTAATCAAATTACGATAGAACAATATTGGGGGTACAGGAAGTGTGCATCTGTGGGGTAGTGGTGGTGAGCTTAAGAGAGTAAAAGTCTCATCTTGTGAGAAGTCAGAAGAGAGTATCTAAATGCGAAAAATCAAAGGCACACATGGTAAGAACGTTATTTAAAGACATAGAGGTAAATATCAAAAAAAGTTAAAAGAGTTAAAAAGTGATTCCCTCTCAGGAGTGAGGAATGAGGATGCGCCAGGTGGATGGGAGATGCTATTTTTATTAAACCTTTTAACTATTTGACCCTTAAAACTATGTGCCTATATACTTTTAATAAAAATAAAAACTAAGTAAAAAAATAAGACTGTATAACTAAGGCATTACTTTACTATTGGAAAAATAATAATTTGATGGGCTGAAAAGGTAAGTGATTTTCCAAAGAGACATTAGAAACAGAACTTAAATCACTGATTTCTTAATCTAACGCTTCAATAAGAAAGCTATCATTACAAAACCAAAATAATATAATAAAACAAAATTAAGATAATATCCCTCAAACGTATTGCTAACTTAGAAGATGACTAATGGTAATTAAAATGAAGAAAGCTCACTTTAACCTTGAGTAAAAGGATGGTACAATATGAAGTTCAACATTACCTAATTATGAATAAGACTAGTTATTCAGGCAGCATTCATTAAAAGGCCTACTGTATGCACAGCATTGTGGTAACGATGGCAGGTTATGTAAAGACCCTTAGACAATTTATGGTGTAACAGGAAGATAAAGACACATACACAGCTACTACTCATGGAGCTGAGAAACAAGGAGTAGTACAGAAGAGAAAGATTTTCTTTGATTAAGGGAATCAAGAAACATTCCACCAAGGAGGTGTGACTTAATCCAAGCTGCAAAGATTCAGACATACTGAGATGAGAGAAGGTTCTCCTTCCTGGGTGAAGCATCCTAAGTAAAGAATAGAAATAAGAGCACAGACATGTTCTACAGCAGCTTGGTTTGGCTGAAACATAGAAACGAAAACAAGAAATAAAAAAGGGTAGTCTAAAAAAAAATACATATGGCCAGATCCTTGCCTTGAAAGTCATGCTAGGAATTTGGATTTTGTTCAGGAGGAAACAGTGTTGGAGTGGAGGTGGTAGTGGTCCAAGGAAAGGAATCTTGAGTAGAACTACTCTGCTTGAGAGCAGGTGCTGAAGCCAACAGAAGAACGTGACTACAAGAATGGGAATGGGGACTGGGGAATGGACCGAAATCCATGTGCTTACAACTGGGTCAATTTTCTATTTAATTTTAACAGCACTTTTACTGGACTGTCCATTCAAATAAATCTGTTTTTGCTGGATTTATAAAAATACCTGTGGATTTGTTTGATGCCCTCCTTCGAATTTCTGTCACCATCAGTCGTGAGACCTGGGTTGTGAACTGCAGAAGATCAGAAAATTTTTCTGTCATTGTATTTGGCGGAGCATTTCCAAAAACCTGCGGATGAGAAAAAACAATTTTAATCAAGCACTGTCCACTTTTTTTTTGGTTTTGGTAGGAACTGAGCTTGTTTCTGCTAGAAAGGAAGAACAGTATAATAGATTTGATTAAGAACTTATACTGTCTCAACTGGAAGTATAAGCATCAGTTTTATAAACAGTTTGAGAAAAGAAAAAACTGTGGTCATACTAATTTAGAATGAAAATACCAGGCCAGTATACAAATGTCAAGACCCTAACTTATCTTTCTCATTGGAAAGTTTTTAAGAGTTTAGCCAAATTTGTACCTCAAGTCACCTGAATATCTGGTTATGTAGTTGTAATTATTTTCTTTTATTCTGTGTATTTCAAAGTGTGGTATGACTTGGAAATCAAGTCAAAAAAGTATGCTTACAGTTACTTTGGATTTGAGTGATATGTTTAAAACACAACTCTTGGGGCCAGCCCAGTGGCATAGCGATTAAGTATGCATGCTCCACTTCAGCGGCCCGGGGTTCACAGGTTCAGATCCTGAGCACAGACCTACACATGGCTTATCAAGCCATGCTGTGGTGGTGTCCCACATACAAAATAGAGGAAGACTGACACAGATGTTAGCTCAGGGACAATCTTCCTCAAGCAAAAGGAGGACGATTGGCAACAGAGGTTAGCTCAGGGCCAATCTTCCTCACCAAAAAAAAAATAATAATAAAAAATAAAACACAACTCTTCCAATAAATCACATCTAGCCACATTTCCTTACACATATTAAATAATTTGTTGAATTAATGATTAAATAAATGAAATCTAAAAGTGAAGACTAGTTATCTATAAAACTGGAATCAATCTTACTAATAAACTTTAGAAAATACAATGTTTCTCTGAGGAAATCTAAATTAAGAATTCAGAGAAAAGTGGTAAGATTCTTTGATGGTACAAGATACATCAGATTGTGAAAAGCAGGGACTTATCTATTGCTAAGTCTGGGCTGAACCTAGAATTCACTAAACTCATCTTACATCTCAGAATTTCTGGAGTCTAGCCACACTAATTCCCAAAATAAAGCTGTTAGGAAATAGACCAGAATAAAGAAAATGAATGAGACAGTCATGAAATATACTTGTTTTTGCAAAAATCTAAGACAAATGAACTTTAGAATAAATAATTCTTAAATCTGTATAGGTTCAGCAAAGAGAATGGACGGACTGTCATAGGAAAAGAAATGGTTATAATGGCTGTATAACTGAAATATTGTTTTAAAAAATGTTATTTATAGCTAAAAGGAAATGCTGTGTCTTCTAAAACTATTATGATAGCTCTCTATTATAATACTACACAGTATTTTGTATTCTTATTATCTGTTCAAATGTCACTACAAAAGGAGGAAACATATCTTATTCAGCTTTGTCCCTACCAGGCTAGCACCCTGCCTTTTACAGGGATGTTTTCTAATATGGTTGTTCATTTATATGCTGCCTGCTCCTCAGTCAAATTCTAGAGAATGTTTAGGCAGCATTAAAGGATACAAACTATAACATGAAAATATTACTAAAAGTAAGAAGGAAAACAGAAACAAGCAAATGAAAAGCCCAGGTTAGGGAATAGTCTAGAAAAAAAAGACTAAATAAAAATCTAAGACCAAAAGAGACCTCTATATTTGCCATGTTTTGGTCATAAATTTTGGCTCAAATATACAAAAGAGAAAACCTAGTCAATTGCATGGTTCATAACGTCCTTAGGTAAGAAAAATATATATTTAAGGAAGTATCTCTATACTTCATATTACAATATAAAATTTTTTCCCAAGGATCCTAATAAAAGGATATAACTTATACTGTAACATCCTTGTAATGGAAATATGTTTCTTACACGCTTACAACAGACACTACGTTTCTTATAACCTCTCTCAAATTGAGCTGAAAGTACCAAGCACATAAGTCAATTTGACAGGGTATACTTTGTCCAGGGATCTAAGTGTGCTCACTAACTTGACACAGGAGTAATTTTAAATTATCTCAAAGAACAAATAAACTGTACTTTTCAAGAACTCTTCAGTAGATTACGTTTTTTTCCTGCTGAAACTTTGATGAACATCGTGTTCTTACAGTTAAATTGTGTTGTCTAAGTAAGACCCATATTCTTTAACAAACAAATTAGAGACAGACTAGAAATCGAGAAGCCTAACAGTGGCCCATGCTGAACAGCCCTTTCGCCTCCACCCAGAGAGGAGTGGGTAGCTGTTTAATGAAGCTGTTTATACAACCACTGTATATTTTGCTCAGGCAATTATCAGACCTATCGACAAACTCATTTAGATTTAAAGTAGATAAATATTCCTATTACTCAGAATTTACTGATGTATAGTTTGTTGCTAAGAATTATTAAGAGCTATTTTATTCCTAAGAGTTATTAAGACAACTTCATAAAATAAACAGCTCATTTCTTAAACAATATATGGCATGGTTATGCAAGCAGTCATCATGCTGGGTGAATAACACACTGCTAAAACCGCAACTGACTTTTCACACAAATCCTGATATCTACTGCCTTATTTCCACAAGGAAATTTTTTTAAAAGATAAGTCTTACTTGAAGTGACCAATCCAAACAGAATATTACGAAAAAGGACTATGTCCTATTTGCTAATCTGAAATGAACAACTATTGCTTTTTTGCATAAATAATTTTGTCCAGTGATCCAACATTACTGATTGATTCATTCTTTCATTTATTCATTCATAAATATTTATTAATCTCCTCTACACGCCAGGCAATATTTGGAGTCATGAATACAAAGGCAAATAAAGAGTTGTGAATGCAAAGGTAAATAGAGCAAATACGATTCCCGTGCTTATGGAGTTTACATGTTAGTACAAGAGACAAACGTTAAACAAGTTAATTTAAAAACGAAAACTATGTTAGAGAGTGATGCGTTCTAAAGGAAGTAAAGGGTGACCGGAAGGGAATGCTGGGGTGGCGAGACGGTTAAAAGGCCTCTAGAAGGATGAGTCTGATGCCAAAGGATGATACTGAGTAATGAAAACAGGTCACAACTCAAAGAGCCAAGGGAAAGGGTTCTGGGCGGTGAGAAGAGCTGTGCTGAGACCTCCAAGTGGGCATGAGATTGGGGCAGCTGAGGAATCAAACAGCTGGTGCAGCCGGAACATTTCAAATGAGAGGGCAAATGGTACAAGAGAAGGTTGGAAAGAGCGACTAAAATGTGAATCTGACATTCTAGATGACACTGAATGTAAAAGGTAGCAAAGAAAAGTGTAGATTTTTTTGGTGATTGACTTCAACAATTAAATAAAAAAATGTTAAGTATTTATTCACTACCTTCCACAAACACTGGTAATTCTTGAAAATAAACAATGCTTCAATCACGTAATTAAACGTATGCCACACAGGGTGGAGCACAGAGCTGGAGTCAGGAGGCTTTACTGTCCTCATCCACAGGGGCTACTGGTCCAATTTTTCTGGTTCTTAGTTTCCTCATCTGGCAAGGGAGAGAGCTGAGCAAGAGACTGGTAGGTAAGACATTCAACTCAGAAGGGACGATTTGGTAGTAGATACATGACATGCATAACTCAGATGAAAGACAGTATTGAGGACCAAACACGCCTTCTGGAAAATTTAATAAAAACAATAATTGGCATATAACGAGCATTTACAATGTACTTAGCACTATGCAAACTCTTGAGAACATGTAATGTCATTTAAATCTCAGAAAATCCTGGACAGTATCCCCATTTTACAAATAAGGAAACTAAGGGTTAGGAAAGTTCAACAACTTAAGTCAGGAGGTGATGGAGTCAGAATTTAAAACTAGGTCTGATTCCAAGCCGTGTTCTTAATCACTCAGTACTATATCTTCTCAATTAAACTTTGCATGAATCCCATCCCCATAACTTTGTACAGCGTGCACCTTAAGCGGGGAATGACATGCTTGGACTTATTTTTAGAAGGGTCATTTTTAATATCCATCTAAATAAATTTCAGAAAATCTCCTGGCATCTCCTCAACTAAGTATTTTTGGCATACTCAGGGAGAGGAAATTAATGGTCTTATCTAACGGCATGCATAAAGGGAAGGCTCAACACATATTGGTGCTGAATGAAGCTATTCAATAAAAATTTATTAAACATGACTAATAAAAGAAAGGCTGGAATTTTTACAAGGTTTTCTAAAATGGTGTTTGTTTCCTAAATACGTGTAATGTCTATAATTAAGTTACAGAGCACTGACCATCATTAGTCCTTGAATAGTTTCCTATATATAACAGATTTTAAAAATTGACAAAAATGTAATTATATTATTTCATATTGTAAATGAGTTAAGATTTCTTATCAATTAATATAAATAATTAGGGAAACAGCTTATACACTTCTTGTTTCTAAGGACCACCAACTTAGGGGAGAAGAAATTGACAATGCCTAACTCAGCCCCTTTCTCTTTCCTCTCCTTATGGGATACGCCTGCCTCAGGAGAACACGCTCTCTCATTTGCTCTGAGTGTGGCTTGCTTGCTGTTGTCCAGTTTTGCCAATAACTGGGTAAGTAAATATAATTATTTCAGGGGTGAATTTAGCAAGTCCTTTGTTGCAGAGACCTAGGCTACATTCTCCAATATCAACTGCACAGGCATCATGTATCAAATAATAAAGTTGTATATATGTAAATAATTCATCTGTCTGACTCCTGATCTGTCTCTCATTTGGTTCTAAACTTGAGTATCCTTTCTTTAAAGCCAACTATTTAAAAAGTAAACATCACTTGTAAGGGATAAAAAAAAAAAACACACTGCATTCAACTTAGATGCTTCTCAAATATAAATTAAAAGCAAATTAAAAAACGAGGGGAGTTTCTAAAAGATCTAGCTAGTAAAATTATATTTTAAAACCACAGTAAGGTATGATAACATATACCAATGTAATTAATAATGGCAGTTAATTCTTAAATGACTAAAATGCTATTCCTTTTTTAGTAAGTTTAAACCAAGTATTTTCTCAGTAAGCTTTTATT